TATGATAGACATTTTCAAATATCTAAGAGCTGTCACATGGAAGATGGAGCAAGCTTGTTTTCTCCTGCTCTGGAGGGTAGGACTCGAACCAATGGATTCAAGTTACAAAAAAGATTTGACAAAGTCATATCAATGACAATATCTTCAATCCAATTTGGATTCTTAATGCCAAATTGAGCAAAGTCATGCCAAAGTCATGCTTTGGTCCACCATTTTGATTCAGAATGGCAACCAGCATCCATACAAAGAAAAAGATTGATGTCTGCCCTTTGGGAATGCTCATGTCATGTTGGGCAATGGAATCTTCAGAGGCATCTAAATTGGCACAGGTTGGAACTATAACATGAAAAATCAGGCAAAGTCACACTGAAGTCATGTTTCAGTCCACCATCTTGATTCAAAATGGCAGCTGGCATCCCACCATTGATGCAAACTGCTTCCCCCACCTCAGAAACTCTCGTGCCAAGTTTGTAATCCACACAATTTGTACCCATCATGCCAAATATTGGGCAAAGTCACACCAAAGTCACGTTTGGGACTGCCAAATGACATCCAGCTTCCCAACAGCAATGAAAACAGACACCTGCACCTCACGAACCCTCATGCCACGTTTGATGATGATAACTCAAGTGGTGACTGAACCTGTTGAGTACAAATGAACAACTCATTTCCCAAAATATATAGTAGATTTGGAGTGAGTTGCAGATGGATGTGAGATATCAACACACAGGATATATCACATCAGGGTTTGGGAGAATAATGATATCCAAGAATAGCAGTTTGTGGATTTGCAAATTGCCTGGCTCTTGAAAGCCATCATGCATCAAACACATTGCAGACGTACCCATTAGAGTTATCAGGGATACAGAGCTAATCCTGCTGGTTACGAATAAATTGACAGTGTTTGAAAAAAGCAAAGGTCCTGACTTCCTTTGTCTCCTCAGCCTGGTCCTCGGACCCTTGTCGGCATAAAAGAGTCCACAAGAAGAGTGTCCTTGCAGAGTATTTTCTGCTTTTATTCTTAAAAAGTCTTTATCTGCAAAACGACCGACCAACTGTACACACATCAACACTACCAGCTTTCACCAGCCAACCCACACACACGCACAACACTAACATTGACCACTCTATATATACGGGTACAATTAGGTGAAAGGTTGCATGAGTAATTGTAGGCCGCTGACTCATGCTGACTTAGTTCTTTTAGCATTAAAGAAACAGCGGCCAATTTTTAGCCGTGACATAAATCCTGTGCGGCTACAGACAAAAGTGCAAAGTCCAAACCTAGACTACAGTGACATCAAACAACAAGCACAACATCACCCAAGAGGACTGAGGGACGGAAGACGTTCATGAGTCAGTTGAGTTGGACAGCAGTGCACATCCCTCTGTGCCTGAAGGAAGCGTGAAATGAACTCCATGCGGGTTTTGTAGCTAAAAAGCCTATTTTGCAACAGGCCTAGCTAACAGCCCATCCCTGAGTTGAATAAGTGTTGCCACCATCCACATGATTCAAACTGTTAAATGTGTGAGTCAATTCTAAAGGAAAAAGGGGGGGGCACTTCCTTTCTCTCTCATGATTGTAGCCTGACTCAAAGACACATATTAAATGCTCTGAATCCTTGTATCTCTTCAGGGAGGACTTGACAGAATCTTTCAAACCCCCAAAGAAAAAGTGCAGTTAAAACCTCTTCACTGTCTTTCTGCCTGAGGCATAAGAAGGAAAGAGGCATTCGTGGTTTATACAAAAAGGTGCAACTGTCCTAGGGATATATGACAGATCTTGATGGCCAATCAGCTTGGGACTACAGTGTGTGTGTGCATCCTTCTAAATAAATCCACAGTTAAGAGCTTCAAGGGTTCCCAGCTGGAAGACAGGTACTACAAATTGAAAACAAATAGGAACTTAAGTGATCAGCAAACCCTGGAGATATTGATCTGAAATAGATCCCGGCAAAGGCACCAGCTTCGGAAAAAGATTAAGGGGGCCCAACGCGGCATCCTGATGTCACATGTGTGATGTAGCAATGAACCAGGGGGTGGAGCCAAACACAGTGACAGCATGGTCCCATTGGCCAGTGGCCCCCATCCTCCCCCTGTCATGCAAGGGAAAGACGGGGAAAGCTGCCCCTAGCCAGTCACTGCAGCAGCAGCAGCAGGAGAAGGAGCTACCAACCATTGAGTCATGCCATGCCCCACTCAGCTCCAGTATTGCCTGCTTCTCCTATTCCTCACCCTTGTAGCGGGATGAGAAGCAGCTGCTGGCAACCAAAAGCCATTCTGCGCCCAGCTTCGCATTCACCCTCTCCACCCTCTGAACATTGGGCGGGCAGCTCCTAGGAGTTGGTGCCTATTGATCCTGCCTTTCATTGGTTCAGGTGATTCAGGAAGGGGTGTGGCCTTGGAAAACTTAGATTGACAGCACTGTTCTGAACAAGCCATTTAACGCAGCTATCCATAACAGCAGAAAAGTATAGAATGAATCTTTCTGTTGCAATGAGCTGCTTACCTGACACACATTCTTGAGCCGAGAACAGCAAAGTCTGGACGAAAGGGGGAAAAACTGAAATCTCATTTGCTCTCATCTATCCTAACCTTGCTGAAGCTCGCTCTTAAGATTGCACATCCTTTGGGAAGATTTTGCAAGTGGGCTTATATACACATCAGATGGGTCTTCTCACTATGCTGAAAGACTAATAAAATCCAGAGTCTTTCACAATGCTTGTAAAGAATGAGTACAATGATATGAAAAAGGTGACTCCTATCAATGTCAATGTAATCTCTATACAACATCAACATGAAAACTAGCCTCATACCTTTCAAATGTTTTTTTAGAGCTCACACTTCATTAAACTAACTCTTCCCCATCTTTCTGCCATCAGAGATAAGTTTCTTGAATGGATGATGAATGTTTCAGTGACTCAGCATATCTGGACATAGTTTTCCAACACCAAAAGCTCTCCCTGGAGAGAAAGAAATCACAGGCTCTGCTTTATACGAATTAAACCTACAGGAAAATTAAAACAATGGACTAGCTGAGCCCATTTTTCTTCAACTAATTAGAAAAGTTTTATCTGTGTTAATCTTTTCAGTCTACCTTTCATTGCACACAATTCTTACAAAACTAGGTTTACCAACTAACCAGGAAAAATGACCTCTCTCCTAACTTTCAGCAATTAGCAAATGAACCTTTTTGTGGCATTGGGATAAGAAGATTAACACCTGAGCATGTCAGGGCAACAGGATCATGTTTAGGGAAGCTTTTAATGTTTGATGGATTACTGTATTGTAATATTTTGTTGGAAGCTGCCCAGAGTGGCTTGGGGAAGCCCAGCCAGATGGGTGGGGTATAAATAAATAATAACAATTATTATTATTATTTTAAAAGTTGGTGATATTATATACAATCTCCACTTAGGTAAAGGTAAAGGGACCCTTGACCATTAGGTCCAGTCGTGACTGACTCTGGGGTTGCGGCGCTCATCTCGCTTTATTGGCCGAGGGAGCCGGTGTTTGTCCGCAGACAGCTTCTGGGTCATGTGGCCAACATGACTAAGCTGTTTCTGGCGAACCAGAGCAGTGCACAGAAATGCCATTTACCTTCCTGTCGGAGCGGTACCTATTTGTCTACTTGCACTTGACGTGCTTTCGAACTGCTAGGTTGGCAGGAGCAGGGACCGAGCAACAGGAGCTCACCCCGTCGTGGGATTCGAATCGCCGACCTTCTGATCGGTAAGACCTAGGCTCTGTGGTTTAACCCACAGTGCCACCCGCATCCCTTATGTGACACTTATCTCCACTTAAGGTAAAGGTAAAGGGACCCCTGACCATTAGGTCCAGTCATGGCCGACTCTGGGGTTGCGGAGCTCATCTCACTTTACTGGCCAAGGGAGCCGGCATACAGCTTCCGGGTCATGTGGCCAGCATGACTAAGCCGCTTCAGGCCAACCAGAGCAGCGCACGGAAACGCTGTTTACTTTCCCGCCAGAGCGGTACCTATTTATCTACTTGCACTTTGATGTGATTTTGAACACTAAATAATGTGATATGGGTCTGGAACTGAAATCTCAGTTCTCACATTTGCAAAGTTACGATAAAGGTAAGCTTATAACACAAACTTTATTTATGATACTTATATCCCACCTTCCCCTCAAAGAACTCAATGTGGTGTGCATAGTTCTCTGCCACTCAATTTTATCCTCGCAACAAACCTGTGAGGTAGGTTAGACTGAGAGACAGGGACAGGCCCCAGGTCACCTGGTGAGCTTCATAACCAAGTGGGAACTGGAATCCTAGTCTTTCGGTTCTCAGTCCAACACACTAACTGCTACACCACATTGGCTTTGTAGTTTTCATCTAAAATGAAGACTTCCTCTCTTAATTTTTTCTGCTTTCAAAAATTAATTGCTAAGCCCACAGACTATGTTTTCTTACATGTAAACTGGATTTGGTAGAATTGAAGCCAGGGTTTTTTTGTGAATTCGTAGGCAAAACTGAAATAGTTCCAAATGTTTCATAAGCACAAAATTCTCCTGATGTCCCAAAATTGTTGCAGCAATTTATCCATATGCAACATAGGTACCATCTGTTGAGACAACGTTGCTTGTTTTTATTTATTTTTTTACATTTCATTGACCTTTCAAGAAAAGATTGCGTTGCGCATAATGATACAGCAGAAGTTTAGCAGCACAATCCTGTGACTGTTTTATGAAAGAAGCAAGTTCCACTCTGTCCAGTGGATACACAGTGTTCCCTGACAAGTGTGTTTAGGGTTTTAGCCCAAAAGAATGATAGAACTGCAGAGTTGGAAGGGACCCTGAGGATCATCTAGTCCAGGCACAGGCAAACTCGGCCCTCCAGATGTTTTGGGACTGCAACTCCCATCATCCCTGACCACTGGTCCTGTTAGTTAGGGATGATGGGAGTTGTAGTCCCAAAACATCTGGAGGGCCAAATTTGCCTATGCCTGATCTAGTCCAACCCCCTGCAATGCAGGAATATGTAGCTATGCCATATAAGGATCAAACCTGCGACCTTGGTGTTATCAGCACCATGCTCTTGCCAACTGAGCTATGCAAATATACACTGGATCTCTCTCCCTTCCATTTGTGGAAGAGACACTCTAGATCCAACTCTTAACTGTCAAAATCTTAGTCTGGATTAATAGGCATCAATGTGTGAGACCCACAGAAATCAATAGACTTAAGTTAAAACTATTGATTTCAGTGTGTCTGAATAATTTGATACATCCACTCAAAAGTAAACTCAGAAATAATTCAATGGGACTTATTCCCAGGTAAATGAATATAGGATTGCAGCCTTCCTTTCTTTTACATCTCCTTTAAGAAACAGCAGCTTGGCTTGATTTTCTTGTTTGCCCATCTGCCTTAGAAGAACCGTTATTTCTATTTTAAAGCCTTTCAAAAATAAAGGCGTTTTCGCACATGACATGCAAAATGCCTTTGAGCCTTTCTTGTGCTATTTGTGTGCATGTGTGAATATTGTTAATACAGGATAGAAAGTGGGAGAGATTCGGGTGTTGTTGTTTTTTTAAATTAAATGTACTGGAACCATTATAGGTTTTGTGTTAATGTTGCAGCTGGTGAAAAGAACTTTTGGTGTCATGTGAAAAAATATCCTTAAAAACAAATAAAAATTAACATTGCCATGCTGAACTCTGTGGATTAAAACCCCTCCACCTTAAAACTGCTTAGCTGGATCAAGCATATTCTACATAGATACAAATGCATCAAATAATCAGTTACTCCAAAGAAGTACTGAGAATTTGAGAGTCTTTTGCATTTGCCTTCCTTTGGTCACCCTGCTCCTCACCAGAGGGATGTGGGGGGGGGGGGAGGAATTAAATTCTGTTTGCATTTAAAGGTGGAGTTGCCTAATTGACTCTTTTCAAAACAATAGATGATCTGAAACACAGTCATTGTTCAAAATTTGCACTTCTCCAAATTTTGCAATGCAGTTCTCCAGCCATGTAGTATCACATGTACAAATATGCATATGCTAGGGTAAAGCGTGCCTAAAAATGCATATATTTGTGAAAAATCATACTGTCCCATAAAGCTTTATAGTAGGAAAATTGCTTTGCGAAAATGTTAGTATTAGAAGTTCACACAAAAATGTTGATGAATGTTCATGCAGACCTTTTTTTAAAAAATCAACAACAATAAATTGCAAACTGATGTGGAAGCATAGAAAACTAAAGTTAAGATTGGCAAAAAGAGAAATGGAGAGAAACGGAAATGGACAGATTTGCTGATCCCTCTGCACAAGCCAGCATTGAAACCTCCCTTTGTTGCCGCTCACTCCAACTGCTATTGACATGCCTCCAGTAACTTGGTTTCGATACACTCTGACACAGTGTCCCCCAGGTGGTGCATAGGAGCAAACACGCCTACACATCTGCAGGACATGTTGACCTCAAAGTTGCTCTCCCCATTTCATGTCATCATTTTATTGGAAGGGCCCAGCTTGCAAAAAACAACAAGGGACAAGTGAAAGCTGGAAGCTGAAAAATCATTGGCACGCATTTGAGGTTTTAAAGATGAAAGGAAATTGGTGAGACTCCCACGATGTCTGCATCCCCTGGGAACAGACACTGAGAAATTGCCAAACATATGACTGGCCATAATTCTATCAAAAGCTATTTATAAAAAATAAAAATAAAAATGAAGGAAAGAAGGAAGAGCCTGTCAAGTGAAATAAATTGCAGCACCTGAAGGCATGGAGTGGACTGTTATTGGGTGATATCTTGGTAACTCTCCAGCTAAAAACATACCAGGCAATAAAAAACAGAAAAGCAAAAAGAAAGGTCTTTCAAGGAAAATCGATATGAGATATCCCATATATTGCAAGGACTGTCTGGTGGCTGCTAGGTGTGCCGTGCACTATACCACTTGATTTTATTTTTTTTAATCCCATAGGAGAAAAATCACTTTCTGGAAAAAGAGGTATACTTTAGAGGATGTAAGATAAACGAGGATGTTTGAAATGCAACTAGAAATATAAAGAAAAAATATTGTATGTACTGGCTCTTTTTCTTCTTTTGCTGTGACACACACACACACACACACACACACTTTATGCTCTCTCGACAGTTTTTTCTCCTTTAATTCCAGCACCAGTAATTTATAAATATGTACTTTTTCTGCAATGCACACACATTTTATTTCATTTACCAAAATGGCATGAGGAATCTGCCTAATGAAGAATCCATCTAACAAAACTGAATGGGGAAACTTTGCTTCTCTGAAGTTTAACCAGAGCAAAGCACTTAATTTATGACCTAGTCCTATGCATGTTTCTTTAATAGCAAGTACATCTCACAGGTCCACAATCCAAAAGCCTAAAGGCCAGTCCCATGTTGCCCAGTGGACCTTACTCCCAGGTAAAACTGCATAGGACTGACTGCAGTGTATGAGTAATAATGACGATGATGACAATAGTAGCAAAAGTGTGGTGAGGAATATGAGACCTAAATGTTACAGTGTTCTTGTGCAGCATGCTTAAAAACTCTGCATGAATTATTACTATTGTTATAATTAATTTGACATCCATTCAAGTAAGTGCAAAGACTCATTGACTTCATGATATCATTATTTGCAGCCTCAAGAGAAATCCCATTATTTCTTCTTACACTTTGCTGCTTGTTAAGGCAGAAATATTACTACTGCATTTGGTCCAGTTTGGGTGGCAGGCCTTTCTGTTCTCCACTCATGTTATCTCTCCATTTTAGTACAATAGAAATGCAGCCCTTATCCATTTGTGATTCACGGGCCACTGTTTTCCCTCCTGATCCTTCCATTTATTTACCAAGTTTATATCCTGCCCTTGCTCCACAAAGAGCCCAGGACAGCAAGTGTGTGTGTGTGTGTGTGTACAATTCGAAAACAACAATAAAGCAAAAACGTTCTAAAGATTAAAGCATTCTAAAAACAATAACAATTAAAAACATTTAAAAGTCAGTTTAAAAAATATTCTAAATGCAATTGCAATTAAAAATCTACTTCGATCCAATGATCCCAGGAACAGTGTTCTTCAGCCACCAAATGCCTGGGTGAACAGGCATGTTTTCAAATTGCTCCTGAAATAATGAGGGAGAAAGACACACCACACTAGGGAGAGCATTCCACAACCAAGGAACCACCAACAGGGCAGCCCCCGATGTTGGACGACCAACAAGGTCTCACCATAGAGTCTGAGACGGTTGGCACTGGCAAAGTTGCTCAGTTAGGCCCTATAAGCTATGCATCTATTTATTTCTTATTTTGCCTTCTGTGTTTCCTTGGATAGAATTAGGGAGCCACTTACTGCAGTGCTGCGATAGGGAGGGAAAATACGATAGGGAGGAAAAAAACACTCCAACACCAGCACTGTAATAGGAACGAAACAGAGAAGTACCGTACTTCTTCCTGCTTTTCTGATCCTCGCTCAGACCTTCTAGCAATGCTGTCTATGTCAGAGGGAGAAGCGGCACTTTTGAAATGTAGGATGCAACATGTGATTTTGGAAGGGGGTGGCAGGCCATTAAAAATGGCTTCATCGGCCAGCATTGGCTGTGAGTTCACCACCTCTGGTATAGATATAGACTGTCCCCCCCCCCATATACACAGTTGCTTTCTGAATGGTTCTCAATCATATACTAGAAGATCCACCTCAGAGCTACAGCTCCCAGCTCCCAGAATAAACTACAGTTCCCAGAATTCCTCAGGGGAAAGTCATATAAGGGGGCTTTAAATGCATGGTGGTTGATGTGACCTTTGTTCCAGTCCAATGAGACTTTTGAAACTTTTTGGTGGGTCGTAACATCCTAAGGCAGCCTTGGCATTTGTTTAAAATAAAAATGGCAGTCTAACTCAGCCATGCCTGCTACTGCAACCTACCTCATCCTCTGCTTTGCTTATTTTTCCAGGGTTGGTTTTTTTTAAGGGGGGTGTTGCTTGTTTATTTGGCTGGCAAATAACACCCTAAGAAAAGGCATCATCATTCCTGCTCCACTACACCACAGACTGCCTGCGTTTCTGTGTTCCCCATTCATGCTTGCAATAGAAAAATAAGAATAAAAATATTATGAAAACATTCTACGCTGCTCGCTCTCTCTCTCTTTTAAAGGCAGCGTTTAAGGGCTAAGCAATCAAACGATACCCAAGATTAATATTTCAGAGGAGGGGGAAATAAATCAACCTAAACGAAAGGAGGAGAGGGGCGGGGCGGGAGTTTGGGGTAGGTGGTTAAACGCTGGCGAGTCCAGACTTGTCGGCTTTCCTGCTCGGCGCTGCAAGATGCGCCGAGCTCCGCCTGTGCTATACTGCCACCTTGTCTAAACGCGGAGATTTGCACGGCAACTGTACAAAGCACGTTACGGGCGCCGCTCGCCTCCTGCACTTCTTCTCGCATAGCGATAGGTAGTTAAATAGAAAATTTTCACAGCCCTTACAACTATGATCCGAATATTCTCAGGCGATCTGCCCGAGATCTCTGCTTTGAAATCAAGGAAGCAGAGATGAGAGCATGTCAGGGACGGGCAACACCTCTCCGCTCCGTCCCAACAGGGTTTGATTATGGAGCTCTTTAGCAGGTCGCTTTGTGCAATCTGAATTGAAATGGGCCGAGGCGCACCAGGTCGTAGCAGCACGCCATCCAACAAAGCGTTTTACTTCGGCGCAGCTTCACTGTAGCTCCTGGTGCTTCCACGGAAGAAAGTGAGTTATTTGCACGCCTCAGTGCCCCCCTCCCCAATATATCTCTGCCATAGTTTTTGAGATACGCGGGGGAGAGAGAAAAGCGACCCCTCCCTCTCCTGCCTTTCCTTCGAGTTAACGCTCTGCGCGCGTCACTTCGGAAAGGCTGGAGGAAGAAATCGGGAGCTGCAGCCTGCGCGGAGGAGCTTACCGCTTGGATCTCTCGTTCTCCCTTTCTCTCTCACACAGTACCTTTTAACTCTTTTTTTATTCGGCGTTTGAGAGCAGGGAAGCTTTTAGGCACGAGTTCACGTATCTCTTTAGTGATGTAGCTATCAGTGTGCTGATGTTCCCTATGAACTCTCCGTTGCTCCACCGTAGCAGAGCCAGTACAAACATGAAAAGCGCATTTCCCTTGCCTCCAACAATCCCGGGAACTGTAGTTTGATAAAGGGTGCTAGGAATTGTGTAGCCCCGAGAGGTAAACTACGGTTACCATGGTTCTTGGGGGTGTGTGTGCTTTAAATATATGGTGCGTATGCAGCTCTGATAAATTAATTCTGCATTTTAGGGAGTTGGACTAGATGACCCTTGGGGTGCCTTCCAACTCTACACTTCTATAATTCTATGAACTATTGTGCCAGGAAGAGAGGGAGACCCAAGGCCTAATCCGCATTCGGAGTACATCCGGAGCAGAACTGGTTCTCTCTTCGACTTCTTCACCAAAGCCCCAACGCCAGATGAAAGAGGAAGGAGACTCGTGGGGAGGGAGGAGGTTATCTTTGTATGCCTTCCCCACCCCCGTGCCTCAACAGAATACCTTTCCACAGTTGTAGAAGCGTACACACGTGCACGCTGTTAACGCGCATTCTGCTTCTGCTCGCGGAGCCCCGAAGGCGAGGAGGTTGGAAAGGCTGGTGCCGGTTTGAGGTGTACCGGGGGTTGGGGAAGAACTAAATAACTACAGGTTAAAGTCATGCCACACGCACGAAATCCAAGGATCAGAGGCGAAATCCCTCCGAAGTGGCTCCTAAATCCACGTATTGTTCACGAGAAATATTTTTTTAAAAGGTCTGTAAGTGCAGAGAATAAAGATCCCAAGTAGAAACACTCCCCACCCGCCCCTTTCCTCTCGAGTCCAATGGTGGGTTATGCCTGTTCTTGCTTTTCCAAACCCACTCCTTGAGACTAGAGGAGGCGGCACGTTTGCAAAAGAGGCACGCAGCTGATCTCCCGAAGGATATCTCTCTCTCGTGTGTGTGTGTGTGTGTGTGTGTGTGTGTGTGTGTGTAAGTTTCCCCAGGCATGCAAGCCTCTCACTTTCTCGCTCCAGACACTCTGTGCTGGGCCAGCCACAACAGAGCGACCTCGCGCTCTCTCTCTCTCTCTCCCTCTCGCTCTCACGGGCTCGGCTCTTCTTTCAGCGTCCCGCCCTCAAAGGGTTAAGCGGCCGCTGCCTGCCGCTCTTTGCTAGACGGCTGAGTTTCGAGGAAGGCGCTGTTTGAGGCAGGCGTCGCTGCGCGCTGCTGTTGCCGCTGCTCTTGCAGCCACCCGCTTGTGAAACCCGCCAGGCAGGCTCGCTTTGGGAAGACGGAGGGGCACCCATCTGGTGCATCGAGGATCTGCTTTGGGGAAAGAGGGGAGAAAGAAAGAGAGAGGGAGAGAGATTTGCGGGCCGGAGGCGGAGAAGAACGAGGCATTTGGTCATGCTCAGCTGTCTTTTGCATCTTGGCGCTCTGGGTTGAATGACCGGCTGGACAGCGGCTCCAGAAGATCCCTCCGCTGGGCGCTCTTCGGCGAGAGAAGCCTCTTCGGCGGCGGCGGTGGAAGCCGGAGATTATGAGGACGGCGAGCGTGGCTCTTGCCAGCTATGGAACAAAGCCAGACCTTGGCGGTGATCCTTAAATCAGTACAATGCAGGAATCGAGCGGCTGCCCTCGCCACCTTCCTGACCCAGTGGGGTTTGGGTGAGCTCCAGCGAGAGGAGAAACGCGGCGCACTCTCGTCAGGTAAAGCGAATTCTATTTCCTCGCTGCCTTCGTGCTGCAGGCGCCACCATCTGAGATGGATGGATGGATGGATGGGGAGAAAGTACTCGGGCCATTTCATTCGCCCAGGGTTCCAAGTTTCATTCGGGGGGGGGGGACCAGAGAGGCGTGCAAGGTTAGATTCGGTGTGACTCCGGAGCGAGCGAGGGAGAGAGAGGTGGAGGCTGTGGATTCTCTCTCCATAGGCAGGAGGAGTTGTGTATGCATTGGGTAGGGGCATAATAATGATAATGATAATATATTTGCGATCCTGAAAGTACCTACTCCAGAGTAGTCCCCTTCAAACCAATGACAGTTCGCTTTCTGCATGGCAGATTAAGTTTGGTGGTGCTAGTTCAAGTACACACACGAACACATTTTCTGGGTGAATTAGTGACGGTGTCTCCTTTCCATTGCCCACCACTCTCGCGCAAAAGGTCCACGTGGGTGGATTCTGATGGCTTCTGTAAATCAGGCCGTTCCGTGCCTTCAAGTTCAAGTTCTCAAGCCTTGAGGTAGTGACAATCGTGTGTGTGTGTGTGTGTGTGTGTGTGTGTGTATGTGTGTATGTGTGTGTGAAACGTTTCAAAACGGTGCCTCTGCTCCGCCGGTTCGTCTTTTGCGTCCGGAACCTGTGCGCCTTTACGCGCAAGGAAGCTCCGGCGAGTTCAACGGGACTTTACGTCCCTGACAAATCTGCACCAGATCGGGCTGCAAGAGTGAGGCGCAAGGGTTTGAGAAGAGCAGCGTCCTCCCTTCTCTCTCTCCCTCCCCGTGCAAAATAAGGATCCAGAATCAATCGATTGGAGAGCTCTGAGTGGCTTATTCCCCCCCGCCCCCGCTGCCTGCACTCCTTCCTTTTAGCGCCCCTCCCCATTTTAATCCAGATCTACTGCTGACGGAAACAAACCTCCTTTCTTCCCCCATCAGTCAATCACTGTCTGGCAAATGTCTTTCCTCCACCACCCCCTTTTCGCCTCCGCAGAAGAGGGGTGCGGGAGCGTTAGGGCTGGGTTAACTCCTTCGAGTCCGGACCCTCATTCATGCCGAGTTACCGGGATACCCTCCCGCACCGTCTTGATTTCGCCGAGACTCCCCCCGCTTTCCTCTCCAGCGGCGATTCTGCTTTTGTGATAACAGTGCCAGCAGCACTGCGTGCCAGGCTCTCGTCAGCGCTTCCGTTTCAGAGCCTGGCTGGATGCTCCCTCTGGCTTTCTTCTCCGGGGTCTGCGCACCAGCATTTTCATTTTTCGAAGGCATGGGGGGGGGGGCTGGACCCCTTCAGCGGGTTTAGGAGTTCCTCTGTCTTGGAAAAGTACATAGATTGCAGGCTGTGAACCCCGCGAGAGCCATGCCAGGAATGAACCATGCCATGATCCCCAAGCTCACAGACGGGCTGCGAGAGAGAGGGACATATTTTTGGTCTGTGCCCAGGCTTTGATAACAGCGTGTCTCGTCAGGAACATGGGAAGTTGCCTTAGTCCAGTAGCGTCTACAGGGACTGGCATCAACTCTCCAGGGTTTTAGGGTTTCAGTCTCCTACAGCCTTGCCTGGAGATGCCGGGGATTGAACTCGAGATCTTCTGCGCGCAAAGCAGGCGCTCTGCCACTGAGCTACAGCCCTTCCCTCCTTGAGCTGATTCCATTTCTCCGTGTAATCTGGGCAATATCAGAGCCCTCTGCTTTGGAACAGCCATGCGTGCTACCTTCCCTTGCCATATATGTACCCCTTTTCCTGCGTTTGGGGATGTGCCTTCGGAGGTAGCTTAGGCCCGTGTCCAAAATGCCCAATGCGTCTGTATGCCCCGCCAACACATTGCTGGGGATGGGTGGCTGAGGCAAGGAGAGCGAGCGTGTGGCTTGTACGTGTGATCGAAGGGAGAAGGGGGAAACGGAAATACCTCTAACTGGCTCTTAGCGTCAATAGGACGTTTCGCTCAAGGGAATTCTCATTAGTTTGAGTCCAGGCCTTCTTCACTCCAGCGTCTGCACTTGGGTTTATTTAGCTTATACTTGATTGCTGTACACTTGATGGCTCTCTGCGGAGGGTGTGAACTGGCTCCGTGGAAAAGCCTCGCGCTTGAGGCCATGTGGGCTTTCTCTTCGTGGCGTTGGGTCTGTGGTGGCCCACGCACACTTTCAAGGCACCCTTTTGCGTGGCAGTCATCAGATGATGAGAAGGCAGGTGTGAAACCCTCCCTTTCCCTGCAGATGAACCAGGAACGAGTTCGCGACACTAGTGTCAATCCACTGGGCTCTTTAGCTCAGAACCTCGAGTCCAGATGCTCGGAGGAGGGAAAACAAGTCAGCATGGGGGAAAACAAAATCAGGAGTGGTTTCAAACGTTTCTTAAAAAACTACCCCCTCCTCCAAAAGAAGAATTTGTAGGATCCCTGAAATTGACAAATTTCACCGAGTTCCCTCCCTCCCTGGTGCTAAAAATTAATATCAGAGACATGCAACCCGATAATGTATATTCATTTTTTACCAGCAAAGTATTGCAGGTACAGCCGCCTTTTTTTCTCCCTCCGCTCCATTTGTATCTAGCAAAGCTCTCAAAGAGTATAAAAACGATCAATTTCGTTTTAGTCTGGTGAAAATGTGCCCTCCGTGCAGTAGCCGAAAATTTAAATAAAAGGGGTTTACTGGCTGCCCCCCTCGCAAATGTAGCATTTGGGGTTGAAGATTATTTATTCAGTTATGAGGCAGAGACGTCTAGATTTCTTCTGTCCTTTAGAAAAGTCAAGATAACACAAATACATGGCTGAGGTATTTATTGATTTGATTTTGCCAGGTAAAAGTTCAAAGGTGGTGGTGGTAATGGGGATCTCACCGTAGGATGCAGACTTGTGAAATAACACCGCTATGGTGAACATTCTGCCTCTTTCCTCCCTTCCCCTTTCCTAATGACTACAATTAATTCATTTTATCCCAGCGAAGGGAGTTCCTTTCCCTGCAAGCGGGGCGCCTGCTCAGCGCAGGATAAAACCAAGTGGCTTTTTATTCTTAATGGTCGGGATCCTTGGGGGGGGGGGACCAGAAAAACTCAAATCCTGCCTGCCATGGAAGCCCTGCTGATGTTTTTGTCGGGGAGCCTCTATTGGGGCAATTAAAGCAGCTAATGACACGCGCGCCCGCCCGCCCGCACGTCCAGAGCAGAGCCGAGAAGTAGATCGGGCTGAGCGCCTAAGATGCCGCTTGGTGCTGTTTCCCGTATTCTATCTGATAGCTGCGCGTAGAGGGGAGGAGGGGGAGAGACTAATAAGAATCGAGGCAGAAGCGCCTCTTTGGCTAAAGAACTTGACGGTGAAGGGTGGGTTAAATAATTAAGGGGGGGGGGAGAACCCGAGCCCGACTTTGCCTCTTGGAAAGCTTTCAGGCTGCAGCCCTGCCTTCCAAGCATTCTTTAAACTCGCCATGTGGGAGGAACTCCAGGAGAGAGAGAGAGAGAGAGATGGCTATCAACCCGAATTCATTACTGTAAACATCTCCCTGGGGTGTCAGGCGAGCAAAAGGGAGAGAGAGGAGAGGGAGAGAGGGGTGGGGGAGACAGAAAGGCTCGCCTGCCATTAGAGTCCGATCGGAGATCTCCTGACGCCCAGGAGCAACCTGCCAACGCGGCTGGACTTTCCGAGCCCAGAGGGGAAAGAGGCGCTCGAGCGCACACGCGCTCACGCATGCACGTCTGCATGCGCCCGGCGCCCCCGGAGGCTTCTGGGGTGCTGCTCGCCTGCGCTTCCTCCTCGTGGAATCCTCATTCTCCTGAGCTCTGAGGACCAAGGGGAGAAAGAAAAAAAAGAAAAAAAACCCCAACCCCAGGCCAGGGGAAAACACCACCACCAAACTGTTCTCTGCAGGCTGATTAGAGCTCGCTCCTCTCCCGGACGTCTCTGTTGATTTCGAGTTGTTGGCGTCGCTCTCTGCCTGGTGTATCCTCTCTCTCTCTCTCTCTCTCCTCGAGAGGTGGGGACCGAGGAGAGAGAGGAAGAGGTGTGCGCCTTTGCGCTTGCCTTCTCGGGGATGCTGGAGCCCCGGGCTGCGCGTTGGAGGCGAAAGGAGGAGGATGTTGCCGCTGCCGCGTAAGCGGGGAAGGCGGAAGAAAGTGCCGCGCTCGCTCCGCAGAGCAGAAGCAGCAGCAGGCGGCGGCCCCGGAGGCGAGCGCCGCCCGCAGCCTGCGGGCGAGGGCAGCAGCAGGAGGCGGAGGACAACGACGACGACCCCACCGCGGCAAGGGAGCGATCCCACCGTTGCTGCTCCCCCAGCGCATCGGAGACCAACGTTACTGCTGCTGCTGCTGTGGCGGCGGCCGCCAAAGTTTGGGGGTCTTCGCTGGAGGGGGGGCAGAGACTCCCCGGGGATTATGCGTACCCGAGGACGACGCTTCAGGATCGGAGCCTGCAGGTACAGTCGGGCTCGCGTCCCTCTCTCAGGATTCCCCCCTACCCCGATTCAACGATTCTAATATTCCCCCCTTCCCAGAAGAAGGGAAGCCCCCCTGCCATTACAACCATCGCCCCCATAGTGCCAGATGCAAAAAGTTCGTGGCCTGGGATCCAGGTGTGGACGGGATGAGGGGCAAATGGCCAGTTGCCTGCTTAGACTAGAGGGGTGGTGCGCGAATGACAGGGACACACGCGCAGGCATCCCCACTGGGAAATTTATCAGTGGCTGTATGTGACAAGTGGAAAGGGAAAGATGCGATCGCTGTGCAGCAGCTTGTGTATTTCAGCCTGTGTGTGTGAGAGAGAGGATGAGAATCCAGATGAACGTAGAGGGCAGCTTTTTACTTTCTCTCCTTCATCCCCCACCTGACTCTTGACTGTTCCAAATGTGCCCTCTGGCCATTTCCTAGCCTTGAAAGGGACGACCCGCCTCTGTCCCCTCCTCCCATCAGTATCCTCACACCATCGAGCAAAGAGCTACTACTTGGCATTCTGGAAGCAAGTGAGGTTTATATTTTGGAAGAAAGAAGGGAAGAGATTTCCTTTTGTGTGTGTGTTATGGAATGGAGAAGTTGAGCAGATGAAAGACAAGCTGGCAAAGAGAAGATCAGGTTAAGTCAGTGCTGACAAGCATTATGAAATTCAAATGGAGGGGTGCGGGGAGGCAGCGGTAAATTGCATCAGTATTCATCAGATTCCCATCAATAGCTACATAAAGGCGGATCTGATGGCTTGGGGGAGGGAGGAGGAGGCAGAGATGGCATTTCAAGTCCATCAAGTGGACAGCAGCCTTATTTCATGAAGCTGGTCTGAGGGTTACTGACAAGCCAGAGAGAAAAGAGAGGAGGGGGTTGAAGCAAGCAGCTGGGGGGGGGGGGGAGGAAAGCAGCCTGAAAACTGAGGGAGAAGCCATCAACCTTCCTCTCTGGAATGGAGAATCAGTCAACAGGAGCTTTTAATTAATTTTAATGGAGGAAATCTGTTTTAAGGCTTACAATAAGCTAATAAAGTCCAAGGCAGAAATCCATGCAGAAGCCTGGACTTGTGTATAGAAAGTGCTGATTAGATTTTTGCCTTTGTGGGATTTTTCATTTTTTATCTTTGGTTTAGGAGAGAAAAAGAGAGAGATAGAAGGAGAGAGCATTTGCTTAGCATAGGCAAAGCCTATCCTTTAACACCCAAGCTTATTTACCTTCTCTTAGTGCTTACAAACCAATCATGCCAATTGGGATCTGGAAAGTAATCTTCTCCAGGCAGCTTAATCCTGCAGTCCTCATTGAGACAAAACTCCCATGGAGTTCATTCATGGATTTATTTACGTAGCATGTACTAGAGAATTCCTGCTTCAGTGGGACTGGCAAATCCATTCTGGATTCAAGAGGGACAAAAGGACAGTCAGGCCATCCCATCATGGTCTGTGTCACTGAAATGCACTGAAAATGGCATTTTTTGACCATCTTTATATTAACAGAAAGAGTACTATGCTGGCATGCTTTTTTGTTTCTTTGTTTTGCTATCCTAGGAGGCAGGGACTCCTGCAAGCACAGGAGGGGCAAAACTGGGCAGTAGGCCTTCTGAGATAACGGTGATTCATTTTCCTTCAGAATTGCAGTAACCTATCTGATCTATTGAAAAGAACACAGAATAAAGGCAGGAAAATGTTTTGCAAGCCTTGTGCAACTAGCCTTTTCTGTTTAGATATGATAGGACTGTTTCTTCTGATTCTTTTTGCCTAAATTACTTTTAAGATGGGCATAATCCACACACCCCACTATGCTTATATTTCAGCAAACAAAGACCACCATCACCCACACCTACTCAGCATCTTTCAAAAATAATTTTCACCCATCACACTTAGAGAATCTCCATTCCCTTCTCCTCCTGCCAGTTTCCCCTGCATTAAGTTGACCCATCAAAATATTGCACTTGGAACACTAGGCAGCCTCAGTACTTTTCACACTGCTCTGAGCTCACAAATGCCTTACCCAAAACTTCCCATGAGTCTCAATAAGTGGTAAAGTACCTCACTTTTTGAGAGGATGTTCTGCTCCTATACAACTGGGATTTCACCTTGGTTTTAAAACAGGCTCAGTTAGTTGCAGGTGGCATTGCAATGGTTAAAAAGAAAACAAAAGAGGATGGTTGTGCTAGACGATGGGGCTGTTGGTTCTTCCAACTTTACAATTCTATTATTCTATGAGATGCCAGCCAAGCACCACTGAAAATTGGACCTCCTTGGCATGGTGATAATGTTCTGTTTGCAAACTGGCCTCTGATCAGAATGTTGGACACGGTGTGCAGAAGTCTAGGACTTGGACAAAAGATAAATTGATGGAATGCAAACAAGCTAAGCTAAGGATTGACTAGTTCATATGTATATGTGATTTTTATCTGCATATGATTTTCAGTCTCTGGATTTAATTTGAGCCATTGCTATAAGTCATGATTACATCCTGGTCTGCTGGAGAGCCTGATACAGAGTTAGGCTTATCTGCTGAAAACAACCCCATCTCCACCCATTTCAAAAAATGCCTTACATGGGCTGTGGTTTCAGGCGAGAATCGGCAATGCAAACATGTCTGTAAGTGGTTAGAAAGGCAACTCTCAAGTATGTAGAGCCCTGATGATTTGATTTTCCTCTCCATTCCCTGGCATCAGAAAACGTAGGCTTCCTTGTTTGAAAACAAGTAGGAGATCAAGCACATTAAGGGCTGTGGCTTTTATTCTGCTGTGCTTTATAGGTGAGGGAATAGCCCCTCTTAAGAGAAAACTGTTTGTTTCCAAGAAGGACAGCTTCTTAGTCACCCCTACACCCTCTGCTCTTAATCTAAAAGTGAGTTCATTTTTCACTAGATTACTTTCATATAACTTTGTGGTTTCTGCCACAGTGATTCAAATTCAGTCCATTAGTGACCTCTATCTGTGAGAAGTATGCAATCAATGCATGCATGGTCTCTCTCCACTCTCACTCTCTATCTTGCTCCTTTTCTTCTGCAAAGTATATTGTGGCAGCGGGGAAGGGGGGAATGCAACATCTGACTTGCTTGGGTTTTGGATATCTTAAATTACTCAATTTGCTCATTGGATTAAAAGACGGTGTTCACTCCTAGCTCTTCTCATGTCTGTTGTTCTATAGCAGAATAACATTCAAATGAATATAAGGTAACTCATACCCATTTGCCACTAATGTGAAGAACACCAGGCATTTGGACAGTGTTCTCTTAGTTTGCTGGTGATCATAGGTCGGCTCACTTAACAAAATCAAGAGTCCAAACGCAATTTGGTATGTCCAATAGTTCATGTTTGCTCCAGAATTTCTGTTGATTGCGTGACTTTTATCACCCCATAGTTGTAACTAAAAAAATGCATACTTAGCAAAGATGTATAGTGACGAGCATTTAAGTATAGTAGCAAGATTATCTTTGTAATAAAAAAGGAAATAAAATTCCATCTGTGTTCGTATTTTGAATACCCATCAGAGATCAAGGGAAAAGATTGTTATTAACAGATGGTCCCTTTTTGGGGATTATTAAACCCAGCTTTCAAATATCAATTTGTCTCTTGCTTGTATCCAGATCCATATTTCATGTTTTAGTTAATTATTGTGAATTGTGAATCGAGGGCTCCAACAACAGCATTGCTTTGATGAAGGGGATAGTTTAGTTTGACATTTTCCAGATGATATTTGATGCATTTAGTGCTGGGGTAATATGGTGGCTTTAGATGCTTAATGATTCCTTATTTCCTTTTGGCAAGTCTTTGCCCAGAAGTAATTGTTTGGAGATGTTATTGCTGTTGTTCAGTGACATAATCCAAGAACTGATAGGTGCCCGGGACTAAAACTTTTCTTCTTCTTTTTCTTTTGGAAGCAAATTGTGCTATTTCAAGAAAAAGGAAAAAGGAAACCTCACAAAGCGACTATTCTTATTTTATTTAAAAAACTTACAACCTGCCCAATTTTCCAAGGAAATCAAGATGGCTAACCACCAAAACCCACGAATTACACCCAATTACAAAATCCAGATATCAACATAAAAGCAAGAGCCAATTTAACGATTCCAAAAAAAGCCACCAACACAAACCATGTGAAGGAAGAGTGTCAGCTTCAAGCTGATGGCATCAAGCTGAATTCCCTAAAGCCGTGTATGACCTATAGATGCATCTGTCGGCTTGCTTTTAAAGAACAAATAAAGAAATACGTGACCCAAATAATTATTACATCTTTGGAGTTCTTTTAGAAACAACAGTTAAAAAGAAACCCATAAAAAAACTGACGGCTTACCAAAGGCAAATACTTTTGTGGGAGCCAGAGTCCAGTCTTTTCTGAATCTCTTCCAGTTTAGTCCTCTATGAAAATGCTTAGCTAGTACAATGAACTTAGTTATATTCAGCCAGTGGCCCAGACTGTTGCGATCTTCCTGTTCTTTGGTGCTTTACTGGTGATTTACTCAACCAGCAGCCTTTATTTCTCTTTGATTCCTTCTCCTGACATGGCCCTTTGAATTGAATAGGAACTCAGTCTAGTGAGGTCTTAAAACAAATCTGTCATGTTACATTCAGGATTCCAGAAAACTTAATGATCCGTAAAGAAATCTGTAAAACATCTTTAATCTTTTTTAAAAAAAACATTCTGTGCTTTCTGATCTGCTTCTTAAAGGTCCCTTGTCTACTTTGTAACAGGCCTGATACATGTGGCTTGTTTATTTTAAAAAATGGCTCCTTCTGATCTGGTTTAATGGGAATATTTCTTCTTCTCCTGTATATAAATAGGTGAAGGTAGAGTTATAGAAAAATGGATCATACAATTAGGTAAACCAGCCACTGAGATTTAGGTGTCAGCCCCCAAATTGTTAATTCATAGGTAGCCTTAATGAGATTATTCCACAATGTGTGGACTGCAGCATTTGAACGACAGAATTTCGAAAACTTTTGCTGTGCTCATGTCTTCAGGGATTGCAGAACCCATCACCTTTCCTATCAAATCCAATGGGATTTCATGATGGGGATGATCCTATGGATCCCAGTCTTGCAAGTTGCCAGAAAAATGCCATTGGCCAAGGCCTGTACTTGCATCGTTCCTGATTCCCTATCAGCACATTTTGATCATGCTTTGAAAGGGGTGGGAGATACTCAGCACCTCATAGGATCAGTCCTCCCCTTAGATCAATCCCCCAAAGGTCACAACAAAAATTCCGACATGGCTTTTTGAGTCCTTCATAATTATTAATCACTGGGCAGCTAGTCAACTGATAAATTAACAGAGTAATTCCCTGTGACAGTTTATGGGCTAAGGACCACAGTCATAGAAATTAACATAAAGGAAAATGATTTGCAAACTTATTGGGGGTGATAACCTTTAAATAGTCATGATAATCAACGCGTCAGATCCCAATAAGCTCTCATTCACGTGGAACCAGAGTCTGTGAAAAATGGTTTTCAGTGTTGGGATGTTTCATTTTTGATCCCTTCAAAGTTCTGCCCGTGCAAATTTAAATAGGCTGTATCTGATTTCCCCTCTTACATTTTATCAGTTTGGAAGGAGTGAAATTTAATGTTTATTATTTGTATTTGTTTATCATTCTTTCCTGAATCTGAAAGCTGAAACAATCCTTTAAATTTAATGACAAATGACCCAGTTTATTTGGAAGTTCTTGTGTGTGAGTCTTGCTGAACCATGAAAGCACATTTTTCAGTGGGTCACAAAATTTTTTCCCCCTGCTGCATTGGGCCATATACTCCTCCTGACTTCCGAAGGCTCAGAATTCTAGCCTTGCAGGAATTGCATCAAAGGCCTCTTTAAATCCTTTTGTGCTTGCCTGAAAGACTTATTTCAGACCCCTCGATTTCTGTTGCCCTCTGTCCCCATGGTCAGAGCCGCCCTTGTCATTAGTTAAAGTAAGGCAACCATGTCAAAAAGCCCATGGTTGTGGCCCAAATAGCAGGAGACCCTTGACTCTTTGTCCTAAACTCCCTCACCATTTGCCTCCATTGTGTGCCACACAGCAAGTCCTGGCCCTCCTAAGCTAGCCAGCTGCCTCAAGCGCCCTGGATCCCAGAATCAGCTGCCATTCCAGTTGGTTTCTGTACGTGGAATGCATGGAATGGGGAGAGCATGTTTATTTTTCCCTTTTGCCATGGGCAGCAAAACGTTGTGGGTTGACCCTGCCCTTGGTAAGGAGCCTCCCCTCTTTGGTAGACCTTTCATAAGGAATTATCACTAGCCACCATTTCAGAATGCGAACTTGAGGCTAATACCCACAGTTCAGACAAGGCTCCTGGAACAAAGCATAATGCCAACATAGGAGCTTGCTGGATCAGGCCAGTGGCCCACCTAGTCCAGTATCCTGTTCCCATAGTGGCCAACCAGGTGCCTGTGGGAAGTTTCAGGCCCAATTCAAAGTGCTGGTTTTGACCTATAGAGCCTTAAATGGCTCAGGACCACAATACAATACAATACAATACAATAAGACTGCCTCTTTCCATATGAACCTACCTGCACCCTGAGATCATCTTCTGAGACCCTTCTTCATGTGCCTCCTTCATGAGAAGTCCAGAGGGTGGCAATACAAGAACGGGCCTTTTCTGCAGTGGCTCCCTCTTTGTGAATTGTTCTCTCTCGAGAGGTTTGTACGCCTGGCACCTTCATTATACACCCTTAGGCACCAGACAAAAATGTTCCTCTTTAACCAGTCCTTTGGCCAAGTGACACCCAAAGTCCTTTTAAAATGTGTTGGGAAGGGGGGGGCTATTGGGTTGTTTTTGTATTATGATTGTATGTTGTAACTGCCCTGAGACCTGTGGTATAGGGCGGTATACAGTGGTACCTTGGGTTACATGCGCTTCAGGTTACAGACTCCGCTAACCCAGAAATAGTACCTCGGGTTAAGAACTTTGCTTCAGGGTGAGAACAAAAGTCGCACAGTGGCAGCGGGAGGCCCTGTTAGCTAAAGTGGTACCTCAGGTTAAGAACAGTTTCAGGTTAAGAATGGACCTCCAGAACTAATTAAGTTCTTAACCTGAGGTACCACGGTACAAATTTAATAGGTAGATAGATGATAGATAGATAGAGATAGATAGAGCTAGATAGCTAGATAGCTAGCTAGATAGCTAGATGATAGATAGATAGATAGATAGATGATAGATAAAATAAAGCCCACCAGCAGGACCTGAGTACAACTATGCTGTCCTCCCTTGTGCTATCCAGCAACATATTCCCAGCAAACTGTCTCCAACAGTGGAGGTAGAGCATAGCCAGGAGGAGGAGGGTTTTTGTTGTTGTTGGTTTTTTTTTTTACAATTTAGCCAGTTTTCTTTTACAAAAAGAAGCTCAAAGTAACTGTTAATGGTTAGTAGCCATTTACAGCTACAGATTTCTCTAATCGCCTTTTAAAGCCATCCAAGATGGTGGCCGTCACAGCCTCTTGTAGAAGGAATGTGGCTGGAAGAGATGAGGTCCACAGACGATGTTCTTTCTTCTTGACAGGGAAGTTTAGGACTAGCACCAGGAGTGGCTGCTAATAGACATATCACGCCTGTGTCCCTGGAGATTTTTGCCCTTCGAATATTTCTGTAACAGTGGGATCCTAGGCATGCCTCTGAAAGTAGCTGCAAACTGTCCACTGGCTATTACATGATACACTGATGAAAAAGGTCAGAGCCCAGAATGGAAACTAAATCCAGGACCTTATTGGGAGAGAAATGGGTTAACGCTGCCAGGAGTTACACTCCCAACAGCAGCTGGTGGTGCATGTCATTCTCATAAGCAGAAACAAATGGGCAATGGTAGTTTGCAGGGAAGGAAATGTTCCATTCCTTAACTGTAGCATTAAAAGGGTTTGTACGCACTGTGTATTTTTGACATAAATGGGATGGGAAAGCATTTCCATTAACAGGACAGCGACCAATAGTACACATATTGACGATATCTCTCTCAGTATAGCACAGATGCTGCAGAACTCTTGATTCCATCTTCTTAATTGTAGATGTTTACAGTGTGCTACAGTTACAGTTCTCTAATTAAAAGCTAAAGTGTTTGCATTTTTGTTTTGCATTAGAAAGTAACCCAGCACAGTGGCCTGGTTCACCCACATATAAACATTGATGCAGACCCTCTAAGTGTCTCTATTTTCCAGGGACAGTCCTGGATTTATAGAAGTCATCCTGGTTTCTGATTTGATCCTGGAATGTCCTGCTTTTCGTTATGATGTCCCTATTTTCATCAGAGAAATGCTGGGGGGTACGGAGTTATGTGACCCCCGACCCAAGGAGATAAGTAACTATATAACCTTTAGAAGACATCTGAAGGCACCTCTGTATAGGGATTTTTTTAAAAAAAATTAATGTTTTACTAGGTTTCTGTATATGTTGGAAGCCACCCAGAGTGACTGGGGCAACCAAGTCAGATGGGCGAGGTATATAATAATAATAACAATAATAAAAAAGAATAGGACATCACTATTTTCATTGGAGAAATGTTGGAGGATATGTTGATGAGGAATCCTCTGTGTAATGGGGCACGCTCATTTGTGCTGCTCCTCTGCTACACACACTATAGGGAAAAAGTTTCTGTGAATTGGGTGTAGTACCCACACCACAAAGTGTGTGAAGCATGCACTGGGAAGGGCACTTGTGTCTGTTGTGTCATGGTGCCTACGGGATTCCTGGTCACATTGGCACTCGGTGCATTTTTGCCAACTAAGTCCTACTCAAATAGAAGCAGACCCATTGAAATTAATGAGCCTAAGTTAGTCATATCCATTAGTTTCCATAAGTCTACTCTTAAGTTTGGATACAACCCAGTATATACAATTATGTGTAATTGTAGAGCATGCGATATGAATCTATTTCAAGACATTGAATTAAAAAAAACAGAGGCTGGCAACCTAAAGCTCATTCTGTTTTGCATAATGGCATCTGGGAAGTGTAGGCTGCTGGCTCTTTTCTTCCAGCCAAGACATTAAAATACATTTAATTGGAATGCAGTTTAATAATGGAATGATACTCACCAAGGTTGGATTCTTCTTTTTCAATGGCAGGGCCTTCTTCTTACCAGGCTTTCAGGGATCTGTCTCTGAAATTCAGATGAGAGTTAACACAAACAGAAAGGAGATATTTGCAGAGTAAATATATCCAAAAGACTGAAGGAATCAAGTCAGTCCACATGCTTCAGTGAAGGTAACTCCTTTTCCCCAAGTCCCAAGTTATCTGAAATGCAAGCTATTTTGACTTGGTGTATATGATGCATGTGAAGAAAACCCATGATGATCTGAGTCAAATTCCCTTGATGCTCCTGAGGAAACTGAGAACATTTAACAACTGGGAGATGTGGTTGATGGTCCACAATTTTATCAAACAATAATATTTAAAAATTATGTGGAAAGAGATGACATACTTTGATGTCTCATTTCCTTTTAAAGTTAGAAGCAGAGAAAGTTGGTGGCTCTTCTTTTTTAAAAGCTGTTTCAATTGTTTTTTCACTACTTCCCATATATTTTCCAGAATAATCAGAGGTCTGTGGAGAGGTCTTTCCTGCCTAGAACAAAAGGAATACAGTCATGTAAAAACAAAAAGCAACAACAAAAATTCTTCCAAGTTCTGTAATAACATCTCTCTGTTTGGCAGGCTCTTGGGAAGTGAAGCGGCAAACTCCAGAACTGGAAGTGCAAGGTTTTTTTGTAGTCTTAGCCCGAGCAGCTGAAATCTGAGCATTTCTGGGCATTATAAGGAAAGAGTAAGAACACTGCAAGAGAGAGAGAGAGATGTGCACCCTCTTTTCACACTTCTGGTGTAAATATCTGTGACAGTGACTGGCGCATCTTTTTGGCAGTGAAATGCACTGAGCCGCTATAGATGCACAGGCAAGATGTGCGAGTCACTTCCACGTTCTCTTTGCGAGTTTCTTTGTAACATATGAACTTAGCTACTCTCTTTTAGGGATATAATGCAAAGATGGACATTGACTTTGGCCTGAGGGAGGTAGTGGAACTGTGAGGGGGTTCCTGGAAAAGCTCAGCTTTCCAGAACATGTTTCCACTCTGTTGGAGGCATGACAATCTCTCTCTCTCTCTCTCTCTCTCTCTCTCTCTCTCTCACACACCCACACACCCACCCACTGAATTGCAAATTGTGTGTCCCTGCACAAAGGCAGAGATGTTAACATCACAAGAAAGCTATCAAATCACAAGACTCCACTGTTTGCAATAAGGGTGTGACGAATACGTGGATCCTTGACAAATTGACTACATGGAACTGGCCTTTGTAGCACTTTTGTTTCACTCCCTTGAAAAGTAATGCCTGATGATCAGTATCCACCCTATGATAAACATTGGACATATCCCCTTATCTTGGTCTTTTAATGCCTCCCAGTTTATAAGCTCTTATCAGCCTGAATGCCTTTCCTGGGATGTAATCCACGTTGGAGTTAATGTCTGATTTCTATTAAATGATTAGGGTGATGATGAATGAAAAAAGCATATAAAGCATTGCTGTTTGGCCATCTGAAATGACTTTTCTTGATCACACACTTGCAAAGAGCCAAGCACATATATTAATGCTCCAATTTAGTAGTGCAATTTAGTAGTGCTCCAATTTAGTAGTGCCTCCCAATGAAAGCTGCAAAGGGTATCTTGAAACAGATTGTTTTCTAGTGCAGATAACAGGATAGATATGCACAGTGAATTGCTAAATTGTTTGCATCAGATCAGCCTGTGCCCACTGGTACTTCTTGCCGTATCTGTTGCCAGAGTGCTCACTGCAAGTCTGCCCTCTTCTTTTCAATTCACTCCTTTCACTTTCTTTAGGCTGATCTGCAGGTCACCAGTAAACTGTTAAGACATCTCTTTGCTCGTAATAGTCTGTTTTTATTTGAGAAATTACTTTCGCCATTTGATGAAATTAATTTCAGTAACTTCCCCTCGCAGAAGTCGCGTATAACACAATCACAGTCTTTGCTCAGGGTGAAAAGTGTCTACTATTACTGCTTGGAAAATAGCTAAGCAATAAAAGGACACAGAGGACATCTCTCTTCTTAAAAATAACACCCTAGATGCCTTGGAGCAGGCTTGCAAGGATAGATCCCCCACACCATTTGCAGATACTTTTCTCAGTTAGCATTTGCAGTGAAGCCTCAGACAACACTGTTGATTTTAATTGCCACATCCCTGCAACCCTCTAACCAAAATAATTCTGTGTATACAATAGCATCTCTAGAGAAGGAATATATAAATGTCAAAAGCTAAGCTCTACACTCTGCACAGAGGACCTTTATAAATCCGGAATAAATGAGGTGTTTAGAATTGCTGCCAGCAGCCCTGGCAAGGGGGATGGGAAGAGGAAAAAAGAGAGAGAGAAAAGTCTGTTGATCTGCCCAGATTCTGTTTTTCTTGCAGAAATTTCTTATCAGCAGATGCACACGCATCCTACATGATGCAATTGTGGATCTACCGATAAGGGAATAGTTTGACTAAATGTAGATGGATTGGACCAGTTATTTGGCCGAGTGTTACGATGTGAAACAGCTGAGTCCAGAGCGTCTGTGCATTTTCGGCAGCCAGCCGAAGGATAAGTAAGGAGTTGTCTTGCTGGAATTGTTTGGCATGGATTCTTTGCCCTTCATTTGTCCAGCGTTGTAAGTGTATAAATCAGTTTGTATGGGCCATGATGACTCCAAGATTCACAGCCACTCATCTCTCTGTGACATTGATGGAATCTTTATTGGATCAAATGCATTGGAATTCTAATTATGACTCTCTGCTCTTTAGTGTTCCCCTCCAGCCATCAATATCTTGTAAACAATCATATTTTACAAGCTTCAGGAAGATAGTTTAGGCAGATGTGTGCTGACTAGGACAAGGCGCTAACCAAATCACAGCAGAGGGATCATAGTCCTCACGTTCAGTGATTGAAGTGAAATCAGAAGGAATTGGAAATGGTACAGTCATCGTCCTCTTTAACAGGGAGGGGGAGATGGAAAGGAAATAAGTAGCCCTTTGGAAACATTTCTGAATTGTCACAAAGTTACATGAACATTGACGTATATCATTATTCAATATACAGCAATTTAAAAAAATGATAACGTTATTCCTTCCAAGGAAAGAACTCCGCATAAATTTATGCAACATTATGGAAGTTGTTGTTCAACAATTTCTGGAGATCTGTGAGTTAGCCATCCCTGATGTAGAGCCATCACAAGGTTGAAGTAAAAGGTAAAGGTACCCCTGCCCGTACGGGCCAGTCTTGACAGACTCTAGGGTTGTGCGCTCATCTCACCCTAGAGGCCAGGAGCCAGCGCTGTCCGCAGACACTTCCGGGTCACGTGGCTAGCGTGACGAAGCTGCTCTAGCGAACTGGCACCAGAGCAGCACACGGAAACGCCGTTTACCTTCCCGCTATAAAGCGGTACCTATTTATCTACTTGCACTTAAGAGTGCTTTCGAACTGCTAGGTGGGCAGGAGCTGGGACCGAACGACGGGAGCTCACCCCGCTGCGGGGATTCGAACCGCCGACCATGCGATCGGCAAGTCCTAGGTGCTGAGGTTTTACCCACAGCGCCACCCGCGTCCCATAAGGTTACCTACTGCTAAAAAAAACCCTTTGTTCAGAATCCCATGTACATCTATCATCATGGTGGCCTGGTGTATTTCAGCATAGTAGGCTATTATGAAGTAAAGCACAGGAGCATTAGAAGCTGCCTGATACCGAGAGTATCAGACCACTGACTAGAACTGGCTCTCTAGGGTTTTGGAACTCCCTTGCCCTACCTGGATATATCAAGGATTGAACTAGGAACTTTGCATGCAAAGTATCTGCTCTACCACTGAGGTATACCTGTGGCCAAGGGCCAAATAAACCTAGAGCATCCTGAGAGGTGAAGGTAGGAAGACTCAACTCCTGGTAGTCGCCACTGGTCCATCTAGAGAGGGAACTAGTTAATGAGGCTCTGGCCAAGAATATATAACAACAACAACAGCAATTTATTATTTATACCCTGCCCATCTGGCTGGGTTTCCTCAGTTACGACCCAACAGAATATTAAAAACATGATAAAATATCAAACTTTAAAAGTTTCTGTAAACACGGTAGCCTTCAGATGTCTTCTAAAAGTCAGATAGTTGTTTATTTCCTTGACATCCAATGGGAAGGTGTTTCACAGGTCGGGTGCCACTACCAAGAAGGCCCTCTACCTGGTTCCCTGCAGCTTGACTTCTTGCAGTGAGGGAACTGCCAGAAAGCCCTCGGAGCTGGATCTCAGTGTCTGGGCTGAACGCTGGGGGTGGAGATGCTCCTTCAGGTATACATCTAACTTCTTTTGTCCTATCAGACCGATGCACAATTCTGATGGCACTGGGATTTATTTATTTTTTAGCCAGGGTGTTAATAAAAGGGCCTGACTTACCATAAGAATGTAAGAAAAGCCTGCTGGATCAGGCCACTTATCTAGTCCAGCTGTGGAGACAGAGCACAGCCATTGTGGCTAGTAGTCATTCATAGCCTCTCTTCCACGAATTTGTCCACTGCTCTTTTAAAGAAGGTGAAAAGTGTGAAACCAGATACTTTGTGTGGGCCACTGGAATCTGCTGCCAAAGAATTTTTGAAACATTCACTTCCAAAGCATTTTTCCTGTCAGCCCATAAAAAGAATTATGTTCATGTGTAGATGTCATAAATTTACACATTTTTGTTGTCCCACAACATCTTACTCTGGCAACCCAAAATATTCTAGGTCCTGATATTTAATACAGACAACAGAAATGTTAAGATCTGAAGTCAATCAGAGTATGGCAGGCTACTTTGATATCAAAACTGATACCAGTTAAGCAAGCAAGCCTAAATATGGGGTGCACGTTCTGTACCTATTAACCACAGGTACATACAGTGAGAAAATATATCCTGTAGCTATTAAAGAGATGCAGTTCCTACATCTTCACGCAGACCATTACCGAGTCGACGTAGCCAATCTGGTACCCTCCAGATGTTCATAGAATCGTGGAATTGTAGGCTTAGAAGGGACCCTGTGAGTCATCTGGTCCAACCCCCTACAATACAGAAACCAGCAACTATGTTGTTGGACTCCAACTCCAATCTGTCCAAGCCAGCATAGCCAATGACCAGGGATGAATGGGGATTGCAGCCCAGCAACATGTGGGATGGACTACCGCTTGGTCTGGGTGTTTTTGCTCTAAGAATCTGAGAATATGTTTTGTACAAGTTTCTGTGTATCCAGGATGGGCATCTGCAGCCCTTGCGGTCTTTTCATAGCGTTGTGTCTTTTACGTGACATCATGGAGATTTCCACCAAGACAGGAAGAGATTTCGCAAGGGGGACTCATAATGGAAATAACTTGTAATGCGTAATGATTGCTTTCACTTTGTAAGTGATTTTTTAAAAAGGAAGTTAATCATCCTGGTGATGGTGCTGTTAAACACTTCTCTAGAATTCTCTAGTATTCATGAGCATATCTGTGCTGTCATGGTAGATCTAACCTTTTGGCTGGTCTTATGGCATTCTCATTCTGTACGATCCACTTGATTCCTTGGCATGGGGGGATATTCAGTATATTGTATTCTTACATGGCATGCAAGGAAATGATGGTTTTGAGGTTGACAGGGAATGAATCTGAAACGTCTGCAACAATCAATTTTATCCATTGCATTACACAACTTTTTCAGTCCTTTTCTTTTTGTAGAACATAGATTTCATGGGGAATAATAGAAAATGTTCATCTGAAATTGCTGTGAATCACTCAAAGCAGTGCTGTGGTTCTCCCCTCATTCCATCGATCCTTACAAGAATCTTGTAGGTTAGACTAGGCTTTCTCAACCTTGTAGTTCAAGAACATCTGGGAACCCAACTCCCATCATCCCTGACCACTGGGCATGCTGGCCAGGTATGATGGGAGTTGTTGTCTAACAACATCTAGGAACCCAAGGTTGAGACAGGTTGGGTTAGACAAAAATAGCAATGGTCAAAAGCCATCCAGTAAGCTTTGTTGCTGAGTGGAGATTTAAATCGGTGCTTATCCAGTCATAGTCCAACATGCTAAGCATTAAACAACACTATACTATTTTTGTGGCAGTGGGAGGAGAAGCATTATTTTGCTGTACTGCTTGTGTTCTACATGATTTTACAAATATTTTTTGGTGATTGAAACTCACTGTGAGAGAAATGAATTCATTTGAAATATTTGCATATCCCTTTATGGAATTAATCTACAGTCTGTCTGTGTCTTGGAAACAGGGGTGTGTTGTGTAGTTTCACAGGAAATGCTGTAATTCAATGAGAAAGGGTGAGAAAGTGACAGTTCTCAAAAATCTTTACTTGAAAGTTGTTGTAAGTGACTACCTCAGTGTCAGTTTCCAGTCTGATATGTGGAGACTATTATATAGGCTTGGGGGAGCAATTAGATTCAATTCAAATTCAAATTATTATCTTAATAATTTGCAATTTCTGAAACACTGTGCAAACCGAATCACACTCACCCTTAGAAATGTACACCTCTCTGAATTTTGCAGTGCATGTCTCCAACCAAGTAGCACATATAAAATGCATTGCAAAATGCATATACTAGTGAAAATAATTCACCTAAAGGATTGCATTAGGAACATATAAATATTAGGGAAAACATGCTTTGTAAAAACTGCCTACTAAGTGTGTATGTTAGAAGACATTTGCACTAAAACGCTGGTGAATCTTCATGAGGACTTTTTGAAAAATAAAAAATCACAAACTGGTGTGGAAATGTAGAGAGTAGAATTTAAAATTGGGTTAAAAAACGAGAAAGTGGGAGAAACCAAAATCGACAGATTTGCCCATAGAAATTGATGGATTTGCCCATCCCTACTTCTCCCCTGGCTTATAAGAACGTTTTGCAGACTAGTTGTAACTGCCTTTTGCCCCTCTTAACCTTCAACATGGGGAAACTTAACATTGCAGGGTGGTTTTCTTAGCCCACTCAGAGATGTAGCTCTCCTTCCTGCATCATGGACATAATATACATACAGTGGTACCTCAGGTTACATACGCTTCAGGTTACATACGCTTCAGGTTACAGACTCCACTAACCCAGAAATAGTGCTTCAGGTTAAGAACTTTGCTTCAGGATGAGAACAGAAATCATGCTCCTGTGGCGCGGCGGCAGCAGGAGGCCCCATTAGCTAAAGTGGTGCTTCAAGTTAAGAACAATTTCAGGTTAAGTACAGACCTCCGGAACGAGGTACCACTGTATTTGATATTGTCATATAAAGAGCTTTTTTCTCTGCACACAAAAATAGGAACTGCTTTCATCACCTGCCATCCCCAAACACAATAAGACCTGTGTTTGAACTTGTGCCAACTCCTGTTTTTGCCTCTACTTTTTTCCCCTTGGTGGCAGGAAGGTGGGGAAGTGGAATGATGACACTCTGCTCCAGAAGCACAGCTATGCTCATGTCTTGCCTTTCCCCACCGCCTCTTACGAGCAGCTGCCACTTTCACTTCTCTGATTGGAATGCAACATGATGGCAAAAGGAACTAGGAAGTCCCATCTCAGACAAAAGAATTGTAAGACTAGAACTTGTTTATGTCTGTGGTTGTGCCATGATGAGTAATGCATTTTCCCCAACCTCAACACTCCGAACATATTTGGAATTTTTATAAAAAAATCAGTGCATGCAGATATGGATATATTTATCCGTTTATTTCCACACACAACACAAAAAGGAGAGGGGCAAAAATGCTCAAGGTCACCTCTGTTGCTTGGCAATGCTCTGTCATGCAACAACTTCCTTTGTATTTGTTTTTAATCTTCTTTCTACACCCTTAGGAGCTAATGCCACTCTAGCAGAAAGAGAGAGATTTCTTAGAGTGCTTCTTGGTGAAATAATTGTACATAAATCAAGGTGCCATTTTTCCTTCATCTGGGGAAAGGGTGGCCGGGAGAAGCGCACAAGCTGACCCAGCCATTTCAGGCAACCTTTTCCATTTTAGAGATCAAAAGCAGGTATCACAACAATGGCGGACTTTCAAATTCTCAAATTTCAGTGGAGCCCTCATGCTGAATTTAAGCACCCCTTGCTTCTGGCACTGCACATTATTGTGCTCCCCCACTCACCGCAGTGTGGCGCCCAGTGTGGCCAAACAGGTCACACTGCCCTAAATCCGCTTCTGCTCACAAATGTGAAGGAACTCCTGAAGAAATGAAACAAAGCACAGAACAGTTTTCTGGAGTAGCTCTCCAAATTCCATATATGGTGTTGCTTATTTTGCATATGATTTGATTCAGTTTCCAGGTAAGGATTGACAAGTTCCCCATGTTAGAGAGCCATGTCAGCTTTTGAAGTCGATGACAGGGAGAAGGCAGAGATGATTCGTAATCCACATAGCACATTTGATGCACTAAAAGGGGGGCTTTTTCTGGGCACTTGCAGTTGCTGGCTGTTCCCTCAGGAGACAGTATAGCCTTCTACTGGGGAGGCCAGGGCTGAAATCGTTGCTCATCCATGGATGGGCTTGAGGCCTTGTTATGAGCATTAGGGGAAACATACCTGCCACCTTGATCTTCCTCGTGGAAGGACAGGATTTCTTTAATCTTTTTTGTTTAAAGGGTGCTTGTGGTGAGCAAAACAGAGGAGGAGGAGGAGGAGGAGGAGAAGACAGGGGTGTTGCTTGTTCTCATCAAAGATCCAGCAAAAGAGTCTCTGTCAAATCTCACAAGTTGAGATGGGAATTCTCGGCAGCCAGAGGCCCATGTTCTAACAAGACTCGCTTGCATGGGTACACTTTGCTACTGAAACGCTTAGCTGAGAGCATCTGCTTTGCTGGAGCCGCATGACGACATGTTCAAATATTTGCTTGTGGTTGCCAGCCCATGCTTTTCTAAGCAATCCCACAAAAGATGAAAAGATTTTGTTTTGTTTTCATTTTGTCATTAGGGAATCAGATCTAGACTCTGCGGCAGCATCACACACCCAAGATAATGCAGTGCCTCTGTGGCAGACCCAGGTAATGATGGATTCAAATCTCCTCGATTCCACTTGCGTGCTCTAACCTGAAGACTGTCTGTCATTACAAATTACATTTAATTGTGCAGGTGTGGGAGCATTAAATATCCTGCTGTTTTTATGATGGCCTTGTTCACTGATACTAGTTACTAATCCAGATTTGTTTGAGTTAGTCCATCCGAGTTTATAGGCCAGACAAAGAGCGGTATGGAGTGAAGAACGAGTTTGCTTCTATCCTGTGTGAAGGATGATATTTAAAACTCTACAGTGTCTTGACCTTTGTCCAGACCTTTGTATGGGGTGGAAGCTGTATGGAGTGGAGACTGAAGGCATGTAGTGATTTTCTTAAAGTGTTAGGAAACTGCCTTATACTGAGTCATACAAATACACCATCTAGTTCAGTATTGTCTACACTGACTAGCAGCAGCTCTCTAGAGTTTACAGGCAATATTTTCCCCCAAGCCCTAACTGGAGATGCTGGGCACTGAACTTGAGACCTTCTGCATGCAAAGCAGATGCTCTACCATTTCCCTTCCCTTCCCTTCCAACCTAATCTCCAGCGTAGAATTGTCATTCTGTTTGCCAGTTGCTTTCAAAATAGATTGATTATGCTTGCAATGGTGCCCACCTGTTGGTCACTGTTGCCTGTAGCAAGGGGAAGAAGTGTATGAAGACAAGGCAAACATGTTTGAAAGGAGAAAAGGCTTAAAATGTCCCCACTCTTGAGATTTAACACTTTCCCCTAGAGACCACCCTGAGAAGGAGGCTGAAGCCCTGAGATTCCAGTTCCTGGCAGCCTGGCACGACCCTGGCAGCAGTAAACTGTCCTGTCCACAAAGCTGTCACTCAGAGCATCACTCATATTGCCACTCTGTCCACAGATTGTTCAAGACACTTTGGTTACTGAGGCATATATGATGCCCCTCAGATGCTACAGTTCATGATTATCTGCTGCCCTTTTAGGGTCACCCCAAACCTGCTGACTGAGCAGATCTTTCCCAATGATAAGGCTGGCTCTGTAGTTGTATTGTTCTTTGCTTAGCTGTCCTTTTTAACTTTATTTTATTCAGTTTTGTTGATTTGCTGTTGAAATAATTTTTACTCTTCTGCATCTGTACCTAAAATGGCTTTGAGGCAGTTTACAACATATTTTAAACTATGCGTTAAAAAATGCTGTAAAATGTCAGTAAAGCTCAAGCAACCATATGCTGTAGGCAGAGGTATAAACAAATCAATCACCCAATGCCTAGGGGAAGAAAATGGTCTTTTGAAGCCTAAAAGGTAATAAACCAAGTTCCAGTGGAATGTCTCTGGGCAGGAAATTCAATACCTGAGGACTATTGCAGAGAGAGTTTTAGCCTGGCCCAGTCAACACCTGCCTAACTTCCAAATATTTGGTCACCTGGAGCATACTCTCCAACATTTCTCCGGTGTAAATAGGGACATCCCATATACCCCACACATCTTACCGGGTTGCCACATCCACTCTGGGCAGCTTCCAACATATCTAAAAACATAATAAAACATTAAACATTAAAAAACTTCCCTATACAGGATATGCCTTCAGATGGCTCAGGGGTCAGATAACTCCATACCCTCCAACATTTCTCCAATGAAAATAGGGACATCCTAAGGAAAGGTGGGACATTCTGGGATCAAATCAGAAACTGGGTCAGCTTCTCTAGATCAGGGATATCACTGGAAAATAGGGACACTTGGAGGGTCTGCTAGAGCAGGGCATTTGAAGATGATCTTAGCAGCCAGGCAGGCTCAAATGGATTCTTCAGTTATATTGGTCTCAAGTCATTCAGGCTTTATTGGTCAAAACCAGCAATTTGAACTGTGCCTGGAACAAATTATGCCTGTGAAGAACTTTGATGATGGGTAAGTCCCAGTTAACAGCCTGGATACAATATACTGAATTCATCAACGTTTCCAGGCAGTCTTCTAGGGCAGCCTTATATCCAGCACATTGCAGTAGTCCAACCAGCATTTTGCCAGAGCACAGATACACATGGCAAGGCAATGTCACTTGCTATGTGTTTTTCATAGCATTCTTTTGTGTTGTGTGTTCACTGTCTGAAGGCACATGATGCAGCTGCTTTGCTGGAGCTAAGTAAAACCTGAGCGTTGCCAGGGCGTGGATTGTAGAGTGCCTGGATATGCTCTCTTGAATTCCATAGATATAAGCGAAATAAATAAATGTGCTATCAGTAGCTGAATTATTCAACAAAGAGGGGTGTCTATTTAACTCAAGTTTCTCTTGTGATCCTCCCCTTCCTAATCAACCTCAAGAAACTTGGCAACCAAGGTACATTCTGTGACCTTTTCCAGCTGCTCCTCAAATGCATTTGATCATCATGGACATGTAATAAGGCTCTGAAAAAATTACCAGGCTAACCTTCATCTGTGTGTGTCAGAAGATTGCAGGTGTAATGGCTTTTATGGATGCTGCTGTAGACATTTGGCACTCTGCATTAAATTTCAAGTGATGGGTTTTACCGATTTAAATGCTTTCTCCTGCAAGAGGCACATGCCACAGTGCTCAGAAGGTGAAACGGTAGCTGGATCTTCTGTGCGATTCCATTGTAGTCCTTTGGAGGTGTTTGCCTAATGCAGCAGCAGGACTAAGCAATTTGCTTTTGTTGCGGTAGAGAGAATCCAGTAATGCAGAGCAGGTATGCTGTAGTAGTTCTGTTATCAGAGTATATTAAACCTTCACACACAAACAAAGTCTTTATGGAGCTATCATATCAGAAGCTGTAATTCTCAGGATGGCTTAACAATCAATTCCTCTTCTGAAGGAGCTCTGGGAATTGTAGCGCTGTGAGAGAAACAGGAGTCTACCAGCAACTCACAGCAACTTTATCAAACTGGAGCTCCCAGAGTTCTTTGGGGGAAGCCATAATTGTTAAAAGTGATATCACAGAGCTTTAAATGTTTGGTGTGAATGTGGCCATAGTGTAGTGGGACTCAAAATCTCACATCTAAGAACTCAAGATGGATTGTTGCGAACTCCCTCTAGTAAAGTTATCTAAGGAGTCATCTTATACTGAGTCTTAACCTGATCCAATAAGCTTTTTACTCTCTATGTTGATAGTAACTAGGCAGAGGGCCTTCTTGGTAGTGGCACCCACCCTGTGGAATGCTCTACTATCAGATGTCTAGGTGATAAAGTATTTATATACCTCCCTCTCACAAAATGCCAGGGAGGTTTACAGCAACTTATAAAAAATAACATTTAAAAGCAATATAGAACAATCATTGAAACAAGTGGCTGCTCAATGCCAATGTAGTCTTTGGGATGCATTTTGCTGATCTGTATTAGCAGGTATCATAATTCTATAGAGTGATCATAGTTTGCTCTCCTCATATTAAGTCCACAGAACTGGGCATCCCTTATTTCTTTTGCTGAATACTACAAACAAATATGGGATGTGGCTGGAGCTGTGGTCTAAACCACTGAGCCTTGGGCTTGCCCAGGGGTCTGCAACCTTTAAGACAAAAAGAGCCACTTGGACCCGTTTCTGAAGGAAAAAAAACTGGGAGCCGCAAAACTCGTCATTATAAAAATAACTTTTTTGTCACTTTTTAAAATTATTTCTTTGTTTGACTCCTCAGAATTACTCCTCCTCATAGAAATAAACGTTAAATTAACAAGTTACCTTTTTGTGTGTGTGTGTTCTTCACTCCCCTTCAAAACAGTGACCAGCGTACATGCCCCCTTTCAATGCAGTGACCAGCGTACATGCCCCTTACAATGTAGCGGGCGGGCGGGAAGGTGACGTCGGGACGGTGCGTGACTAACACACGCACCGCCCCCATGCGACGTCTCAGCCAGTACAGCGCCCGCCACAGTGGGGAGTGTCGGGACGCACAATGCGCCTCCTCCCCTCGCTAGTATCCGCCCAGGAGCCGCGGCAAAGGTGTAAAAGAGCCACATGCGGCTCCAGACCCTGGGCTTGCAGACCCCTGGGCTTGCTGATCAAAAGGTTGGCGGTTCGAATCCCTGCAACAGGGTGAGTTCCCGTTGCTTGGTCCCAGCTCCTGCCAACCTAGCAGTTTGAAAGCACACCAAAAAGTGCAAGTATATTAATAGGTACCACTCTGGCGGGAAGGTAAATTGTGTTTCCGTGGGCTGCTCTGGTGTCAGTGTTCCATTGCACCAGAAGCGGCTTAGTCATGCTGGCCACATGACCCGGAAAAACTGTCTGCAGAGTAGACAAACGCCGGCTCCCTCGGCCTGTAAAGCAAGATGAGTGCCGCAACCCCAGAGTCATTCATGACTGGGCTTAACTGTCAGGGGTCCCTTTACCTTTACAAACAAATTACCCAGCCTGTTGATTTCTGTGTCTCTCTCTGCCCCAGGATTTGGCTAACACAGAGAGTTGCACAGAATGTAAATTGCTTTTATATGTGTACTTTCCTTTACAGCTAAATTCTTTGTACTTTCAGAGACCAGGAGTGCATTTCACTGTGCAGGCATGTGGGTTTTTGCATGCGTATATGTGAATGATTATGCGTCACACAGTGGTTTGCTGCAACGGTAAAGTGCTTTTTTTTTTTTTTGTATATGCACTTGAAATACACTCTACGCAGTGATGTGGATTAAGCACCTTGCTCATTATCTAATAATGCCTGCCTGACACAGATGGGAATCATTCTTGCGGTATAATTGAAATCCAGAGAGACTTCAGGTCCCAGTGCAGGCAGAGGGGTCACTGAGGACAGCTGCTAAGGTGTAGGAATGAAAATAGATTCATGTGGCTCCCTTGGGACTAACACCCAGAACAACCTTCACTCAGCAGCAGCTTTTCAAACTGCTGGGAGTATCTTGGAGCATATAAATGGAGCACTAGAACTTTAAAGCTTCATGTTATATATGCTTAGATGCAATAGGGGAAGTGGCAATCTGTGATTGCCAAGGGGTGAAAAGCTAGCATTCTCACATAAATCTTCCTTAATAGACTGAATCAGGCCTTGGTTCATTAGCCACACCCACACCAAGCATTTAAAGCACATGAATCCTGGGGTGTGTGGTTAAGCCCTCACAGAGCTACGATTCTCAGCACACTTCACAAACTACAGTTCCCAGGATCCTTTGGGGGCCTTTTGACAAAGAATGGAATGGGTGAAAGTCACTGTCTGAAATTTGAAAGGCAAAACACCCATCTCCCACCATCTCTAAAGGAATGTGGCCTTGAGAGACAAGCAAAATATTTGTCATGAGAATGGTCAACCACGCCTTTTATTTGGAGTGGCGTTGCTGTCACCGCTCACAGATTCACAGTGCCTTATAATAAAAAGTCATAGGAATGGACAAGAGGCTTGCGGGTGTACAATAAGAATCCAGGCACAGGCTGATCTCTCCGGATAAATGTCAATATGCATTATTAAATGAAACAGTGGTTAAAATATGGACTGCTAGATGCGTTTTCCTTCTGAGGACATGGAAGGAATTGAAATGCCTTTTCAAAGCAGATGTCGATGTCTTTGCTTTTTTTGATCAATTCTTTATTGTGTGTGCATATAGTTGTAGATATCTAGTTTGAAGCATTAATTACAACACTGCTCTCTCCCCCCACCCTCTGCCCCAACTAGCAGAGTGGAGGCAGATCACAGGATTAGAGGAGGACTTAAGACAATTTCCTGAAGTGTTCATCGGAAGGTTTTGGGCCACCTGATATCCTTTTAAATCAGGGATATGTTTCATCTTCTTTAGTGATCCTTGCAGCATCTGACGTGCTGGGTCGCCTTAAGAAATACTTTCAAAGGAGATGGGATTGCAAGATCAGTAGTCACCTTCAAAGTCAGTATTTTTTTTTACCTCTGGCATGGAAATATTGCAATCTTTTGAGACCTTTGTGGACTCACAACAGAGGATCCCTGTTATTTCTGTTGTGGATGTACCTATCATTCCTTTTGAAAAGAGAGGTGGAATGTGGACATGAGAATGAAAAACAGTCTAAGTTGCAGCTCAGCTTATTCTGAAATGTAATTTCAAACAAATGCGTAGTGGCATGAGCTGCTTCATAGCTAATGCCATCCCCTGGTTTGAAATTCTGTACACATACAGATCCAGTCCTTAGGCACATATATATCTCCTCCCCTTCTGCATTGAGTTTAATCTTGGTTTGTATGAGAAGGATGGTTTGAACAAATCATAGTTTTCCTGGTTCTAACAAAATTGCAAACCATGGTTTGCTACGAACTCCGAAGTAAGTTAAGAAATTACTGGGGGTTGGGGGAGGATTGAGGGATACATAACCATAGTTTGGTGTACTGCTCGCATAGGCAGTGGTCTGAGACGATGAGAGGTGCACTTTGGAACATCTGGAGGGCATCAGGTTGGGTTGGGGAAGACTGGTGTAATATGTATCTAAACTGGCACTATAAGTGGTTTTTGTGTGTGTAAGAGAGAGAGATTAAATCAAGATAACACAGGAAGCTAGGAAAGTCATTTTTGGTTTTGAAAGAAACTTCGGGGTCATCTATAGTGCTGTTTAATGTGCACAGTAAGTTTCCTGCACTCCTATTAATTCTCCCTTATCCATATGAGATTCTTCTCCAAATCACTACCTTACTACATTTCCCCTTCTTTTTGGAGAATCCCTGGTGTGAGAAAATCTGGAGTGAGGGAGGGGTGAGTATGGAATGCAGTGATTTGGAGGAGAACATCCTATGGGCAGTGAAGCTTACTATCTGCATGAAACGACAGTATGGCTGAGCCCTCAGGCCTGAGGGTAGTCATATTTTCAGGAAATCAGAGTTGTGTGGCAGATATTGAGAAGACTCTCCACCTTCTGTTGAGGCTCGCTGGGGCAGATGGGAGTCAAACAACATCTGGGAAGCCACCATTCCCTGCCTGATCCCGGGGCCTTAATGCATCTTATCTTGCAGTGCCCAAGTGATCTCTGTTCTTGTCCTTTCTTTAAAACAGAAAGAGTACAGAACAGCTTAGAGTGCCACTCACGATCTCATTCCTAGTGTTCTGGCTCAGGTGGCCTCAAATGCCACCACAGGGCTGCTCAAGAAGCACGTGCCCCCACGGAGGAGCAGAGGTTTTCAAAATGTCTTCCCTCTCCATAAATTGCCTTTGCTGTTTCATTACACAGTTTTAATTTATGCTTATTGTTTTCAGCAGCATTATGTAACCTGCTCCGTGAGGCTCGCTTGAAAAGCAGTACATAAATACCTTTAAAATAAATAAATAAATAATTAATTGTGGAACAGACGGCAGCTAAAGGGGAAACTTGGCCTAGCTGAGGTGGTAGCATCTTTCTGTTTTAACATCACTTTACACGATCTTGTGCATATACTGGTATTTGCAAGAGTAAGTACATAAAGTTTGAAGGAGCTAGACATGTCCGTAAACATCCACCCTCCCTTCTGAGGGCCTGTATGTAACCTTCAGTGAAGTAAGAATCTCACACTGAACATCACTTGAGGTTATATTTTCTCATCCCAGGCAGGTTAGCTACAGAACAGAGTGATAGTAAGGACATCTTTTCTCTCTGCTGTGTCATTGCTGTCAGCCCTGCGCATGTCTCCTTAGGAACAGAGTTTCTAAGGCAGGGATAATAGCTCCCAGTTAGGTATGTGGTCTGCAGCTCTGAGTTTTGTTTTGTGTGGGCTTTTGGTAGGATATGGTTATATGTCTGGTCACTTTGAAGAGGTGAAATGTTCATCCATGCAGATGCCTAATGCATTCCTACTCTGCAGTTTCTGCTAAGCTAGAGAAAACAACATAACCTTGTGTGTGTGTGTTTAAAATACTGATTATCTTTTATTCTGATCTCCTGGGAATGGTATGCTTGGCAATGGCTTCTATGGAGAACTATAAACCAAGAAGCATATCCCCCCTCCAACTCCTCTCAGCTGTGAAAATTGTACAACTCCAATTACTCTATTACTTTAATTATTCATCCGATTTTAACCATAATCTTGTCACTCTTTGCATAACTCAAGTAATGCACTAAAAAACCAACTATCCAAAGATAGCATCATTTAATAATATTGGCAATCCATTATCAAGGTGAAGCCACTTATTAATGTATCTTTTAGGTTTATCGCTGTCTGCAAAACAGTGCTCCTCTTACAGAAATATAAACCGTAGGGGTCACAGAGAGTTTGAGTGCAGGTCTTAATGGATCTGGTCCCTGGGGAAAAGGTAGCATTCAAACTTCATGCACCTTTGCTTATGTAAAATTGCTACCATGGAGGGTGTCTTGTGAGGAACATAGAGATGGACCGAGACATTCTGAGTCCTGAGATGGAAAAGACAAATAGTACCTACCTACCCACCCATAGTAAAAAAAACCAACCACAGCCCTCAACTATAGAATATGCTGCTTTTTTTAAAAAAGGGGGATCAGTATTGGTAACCTAAGGCAGGTTACCTCATTCCTAATGATGTAGCCAACATTCCACAAATTCTCAAAAGTTTCCTTCAACCCATAATACAGTGGTACCTCAGGTTAAGTACTTAATTCGTTCCAGAGGTCCGTTCTTAACCTGAAACTGTTCTTAACCTGAAGAACCACTTTAGCTAATGGGGCCCCCACTGCTGCCGCGCCGCCGGAGCACGATTTCTGTTCTCATCCTGAAGCAAAGTTCTTAACCTGAAGCACTATTTCTGGGTTAGCAGAGTCTGTAACCTGAAGCGTATGCTCTACTGACTCCATCACCCCATATTACTTAAGTCCTTCTTCACGCAGCACATAGTTAAATTATGGAATTTGCTTCCACCAGAGGCCATGACAGCCAGTGACTTGGATGACTTTAAAACTGGGATTAGATAGATTCATGGAGGATAAGACTATCAATAGTTACTAACCCTGATCGCTATGTTCTGCCTCCATGATCAGAGATGGTATTCTTCTGAATGCCAGTTGCTGGAAATTGCAGGAGCAAACTTACTAGGGAGTGGGTCCCATTGAACTCATTGGGACTTCTGAGTAAACATGCTGTTAAAAAAAACAGTTTAAAGAATGTTTCCTTGATGCCTCGAAAAAGATTTATATTTCCTGATGATCTCAGTTTATGGGGATTGAACAGAACTCTGCCGACTTCATAGTGTCTCTTGTTTGTTTTACAATTTGCTGGAATGTAGGGCAGAATATGTTAGCATCGTATATTAGTGTGAATCCCTTACAAAGCAAACAAAAAGTTGTCGAAGCTGCTTCTGGGTCACGTATGCCAATGCGGTACATTATCTCTGTGCTATTTGGTGCAAAAAAAGAGGAAAGTGTTTTGGCTTGGCATGCACATTTTTTTATTTATAGCTGTCTTTGATCCTCTTTTGTTTTTTGGCTGTTATGTGTTGCATTCCCTTCATTAAGCTAAAATGAAGCTGAAAACCATCCGAAGGATTATGATCCTCTGGCAAAATGTTAAATTGTGCTGCTGACCTAAGTTAATGTTGCAGTAATGGGGGATGAGCGTCTCTGAGAAATCGCAACAGAATACATAAAAATCTACAGCAGTATCATGAAGAATTTTTAAGTGCCAGATTCCAAAGGCTCTAATTAAAGGGATTGTGCTCCCACAGGCAGAGGAGGAGGAGGAGGAAAACAGAGGGTTAGCATGAAATGCTAAACTGAAGTTTAGCATCAGGAGGTCAAGCCACAGCAAGTTTCAGGCCACTGTACCTCCCTTCTTTTTCCAGTGGTGTTGGGAAGCGGTCATCTTTGGATTAAGCAAAGCACATAGTCTGTTCTTAAACAAGAAAGCAGATTCACTTAAAGGAAATTGATTCAGGCCTTAACTACTAATACAGTGGTACCTTTAGTTGAGTTCCACTCTTGTTATGGACTTTCAGCTTACGAACGTGGCAAACCTGGAAATGTTTACTTCCGGGTTTGCCACACGGGCATGCACAAAAGCGATCTGCGCACTTCGCCCATGCGCAGAAGTGCTCGATTGTGCCATGCACATGCACAGAAGAGGCACTCTAGTTGCGGACTTTTCGGGGTGCAAATGGCACCCCGAAATGGGTTAAATCCGCAACTAGAGGCACCACTATATATACTTTGCACATGCAATCTTGCTTTATAAATTTGAAACTTTTAAGTGAACCACAGGGTTTCTGTAGACCATGCCCACTCCCAAACTGGAGCCCTTTCCAAATTCTTTCCCCGTTTGGACCTTTGTCTGCTACTTAAGCCCCCAAATAATAGATGATTGATAAACTGGTCTCTTGACTATACTATTTCACACTGCAGGTGGGAGCCCTTGTTGGTTCAGTGGAGACACAGGTTTGCCACATCGCCTTTTAATTGTGAGAACTAGTCCTAAGCTTAATAAGCATGACATTTGTTCATGCACATTCAAGTTAGAAATGAAGCGAATGTCGAAAATAAAAATGCACCTTTGATTTTCACAGCATACAAATTTAATATAATTGGTTTATGGATATAAGAAAGAGTGCATTTCACTGGTGAGATTCAAAGTTTTTGTTTTGCATTTTCAGAGATGGAGTTTTGTGCTTCAAAGTAGACATTTGCAGTTATTTCTGAGTAGCTTGAATCTAGATGACAACAAAAGTGGTGACACAAACACACTTCCTGCCAAATAGGCCTGTGCATTTCAAGATTAATCTGAGTTGCACTGAGCTCTTCAGTCCGATTTCCCACAATGAATTTACTTGGGCTAAATTATTTATTATTATCATTATCATCTATTTATGACCTGTCCTTGACCCTAAGGCCCCAGGGCAATCAATGTTGCCTGAACTGTGGACAATGATCTACTTATTTTATTTTTTGAGATGTTTGAGATCTTTGCTCAAATAGCACTTGGCCAGTCCCACTTGTGTGAAATTCACTTCAGCTGGCTGAGGCTGATCCAACATTCTTGACATCTTTGTACCAATGAAACTGTGCAAGGAAGCCTGTTGGGTGCCACTCAAACCTGTAGAAATTACATAATATTTGAGTCACTGAGCAAATAACGTCACCAAAGTCTGTGTTGGCAGCCATCTTACATTTATCAAGTAGCACTTGGGTATCTTATCCATTGGTTATGGAAGCCTTATAATAATCAAGTGTGATGTTAACAGTTCACACCCTTGTGTGCTAGAGGTGCAGCCCAACCACACCAATAAGCAGAATGGACTTTGGTTCGACTTATCTTTTAAAGTTATTTTTAATTATTACACATATAGCCTATTCTTCTTCAAGGGAGCTCAAACCTTCAGTTTCCAAAAGGGTTTCTAGTTGGTTTCCCTTCCTGGCAGTTTATGTCCCTTATCTGTTTAGTTTCAGCAGTAGAACCGCATCAAGGGCCTTCAGACTATTTGGGGTGGGGGTAGATGTGCACATGGATCATTATGATTTCTGTTTTAGGAAGTGAGCTGTCACAGGGCATCCAGTGTGTAATTCAAACCTCCCAAGCCCCCAGCGAAAAAAGCCACCCACCAGATCATATGTAAATAGTACGTTCCATTTAAGTTCTTTCCATAATCCAGAAGCAAGCCATGCCTTCAAAATTACCAAAATAGAACATAGTTTTAAGTGAGGAAATTTCCAGCCCATGGAAATTTAATATGAGGGCAATCACGAGAGGTTCCCCAACTCCTCCTCTGCACCTCAGATTAATAGAATTGAGTTCAAGAAGGTGATCTGCATCAGGATTGCATCTGGGGGAAATAAGGTTAAACCTGCTTTCCGGAAGTTCTGTGATCATGATGAAAAGTAGGACTCCCCACCCCTCATATTAAGATTGTTGTTGTGGTTTTAAATGCAGTCATTGTTGCTTGCTAGCTAATAATACACACACACACAGAGTGGAACCTCGGTTTTCAAATGCTTCCGTAGTCAAACGTTTCGGCTTTCGAATGTTGAAAACCTGGAAGTAACAGCTCCAGTTTCTGAATGATTTTCAGAAGCCAAATGTGCTATGCAGCTTCCATTTTGAGTTTCCCTATTGTATTGAGGCTTCTGCTTTCGGTTTTCAGTTTTCAAACGTTTCAAATGGATTACGTTCGAAAACCGAGGTTCCACTGTAGCACCATTTCCCCTGATGGGACTCAAGGCAGATTACAGATAAAAACAAGAATCACTAAAAACATGGGGGGGGGACCCCAATCTTTAAAAACAATTAAACATAAATAAAATTGAAGCTATAAACACATATAAAATCTGCTTAAAACATACAAATAATTACAATAAAAACAGCACAGCTGCACAACTAATGAAAAATGTACCGTAGTTTGACCCTAATAGAATACCTACAGCTGCCAGTCTATATTTGCACTGAAGCTGTTTTTAGATGTTTTAATTGTCTTATTGTGCTATGCCAACCTGGGCTTCTTGGGGGTAAGAGTGGGATAGAAATTTAACAAATGAATAAACACAAAGTTATAAGAAATGTAGGAAGCTGACATACTGTGTCATACCATTGGCCCAGTTCCATCTACTTTGATTGGCAGTAGCTGGGATGGGGGGAGAAATTTGTTTTAGTTCACATTTTAATGCAATCTTACCTACTTCACAGTTCCTGAAATAATACGCCAAGCGAAGCACAACTGCCCTTTGAAATTCGCATGTCTACGAATTTTGCAATGCAGTTCTCCCACCAAGGGATGTGTACAACAGTGCTTATACCCAGGTAAAGTGGACATGTAAATTCATCTATCATTGAAAATCACATGCAAAATCACATCTAATTAGGCAACATTGCACACAAAAGTGTAAATATTAGGTAAAATTGGCACTAGAATGCTGACAAATTTTTAAGACATTGACAGAAAACCGCAAGCTGCTATGGAAAGGTTTGGAAGTAAATTTAAGATCTGAAAAAAATGAGAAAATAAGAGAAACTGAAATGAACATATTCATTCCATTTTTAGATGGAATGAAACTTTCCAAGCTTTTCGGACAGAGGGATTTTCCAGACTTACCTAGAAACTCAAAGGATTGAATTTGGGACCTTTGGCATGCTTGTGCCATGTCCCTTTCTCAAGTTTTTAGATGGTAGCCCAGGGCATACACTTAAGAAGAGATTTCCCCAGTGAGCATTTCTTATATAATACCAGCTCAGTTGCAGCTTGGTGGCCAAATTCATAAAAGCATCTCTCGTGAGCCTCCACTACTCTCAGAACATCGGCACGCCTGGGACAGAATTGTTCCTCTGCACTTATAACAACATTGGAATCTCGGTAAACATTGCACAGTTGAAACTTGTAGGGTGCAGCTGCAGGCTTTTAAACTTTTTATATTAACTTCCTCTGTTATTTTTAGCGCTAATCCTCTCCTTTTGGTCTAGTATCATGGAGCCCCCCCCCTCCCAGCATCTACTTAACCAGGTTTAGTGCTGATTAAAGCTCCTTTATTTGAGCTGCTTCTTTGTATTACGCACAGTTGCCTCGGGCAAAGATGTTTGTGGAATGCGATGCAAATTAGGCTTCTTCTGTTCCACGCTGGACTGCACCTAGGCCATAATTTCCTAGCGTACACATTTCCTCCTGCTGCCACTGTCAGTCATGAAAGCCGGACAGCAAAACCGGATCTTGCTTTGACTCCCTGCTTGTCGGTAGAAATCAAAGCTGCTGCAGTTACAGTACGATCATTTCTTACTTGTGCAGTTTCAGCCTTGAAGTCTGGCCAGTTAAATTAAATGCATGGCAAGTTTTCCCTGGTGTGAAGAGAGTTTTTAAGCTTGTTGCCTTGCTTCCTGGGCAAAGCCCTCTTGGCACGCTGGAGAGGATTGCTTGAGATCTTGTGGGAACTTGGATGGCCCTGTGAGATCTTGCGAGTGGATCCCAGAGCTGGTGTGCTGAGCAGGCCTTGCCTCAAAAACAAGGCAGAGAGGCTAACCTTACCAGGCAAGGTCCAGTCAGCACTCCACTTCTGGAAGGCTAGGGATGCTCATACATCGGTGGTTCCCAGGATTTGAATATACACGTTTCTGTGTATACGCAGAACCCTTGGAACTGAACTCTCACATAAAGTGCATTGCAGTTCCTTTGGAGTGGGACCTGCCTTAGGACTTATGCTTCATGGCCTCTGAGTTCCAGTACTTCCTGTACCTGTTGCAGTGAAGATGGGCAGGGGAATTATGGTCCATTAGCAGTCGCATTAGCAGCGACCATGTAACAGTGGGAAAAACATCCCTTTCCTAAACTGGGCATCTCGCCTTTGTACATTAGCAAGGCTCAAGAACAGAAGGTGACAGGCTTTCACAGAGAATCACGCTGTTATAATAACACTCTCCCCTGTGCCATCGCTTCTGGCATTAGAAGCTGCCGTGGTTTTGAAAATTGCTGTCATAAACAGGCTGTGATGTTAATATTATTTCCTTAACCCCTTTGAAAAGTTGCCTATGTGTCAAATTCTCAGGCAAAGATGGGGTGTAATGTTCCTCCCCCCCCCCCACTTTCTTTTCAGGAATTGGTGGACAGGCCTTGGATATAATGGTGGTGTAAAGCAATGGGGGGGGGGGTGTTTTACCATAGAAGCCAAGGCTGAATGTTGTACTTAGAAAGGGGCCTCCCTTGCATCCCAGGGACATAAGCTCCCTCCTGTGGAAGCCAAACAGTTATGAATGCAATTTGGCTTCCAAAGAAGGATTGGTACATTTCTGAGTCAATCTCCACAGCCTCTAAAAAGCTTTCCACACCTCCATGGGGGATGCTGCACAGCACTTTCTATTCTCAAAAGCCTGAGGTGACTGTTCTTGTGTGTGTTGTGTGTGTTCATAGAGCAGGGGTCAGGTCCACTGTCCCTCAGAGCTTGTGGTGGGCCGTCCTATATATGTGGTTTTTTTTTTGGAGGGGGGGGGAATGAACAAATTCCTCTGCCCCACAAATAACCCAGAGATGCATTTTAAATAAAAGCACACATTCTACTCATGTAAAAACACACTGATTCCCAGACCGCCCACAGGCCGGATTTAGAAGGCCAGATCCGGCCCCCAGGCCTTAGTTTGCCTAACCATGTCACAGAGGATGAACAAACATTCTCCTCTTTACAACCCTCGTCTCAGAATAGCTACATGGATAACACTGGAAACTTGCAACCTTTGGTACCTCCTTTCCTTGAACTAATTGCAACTAAGGACTTGAACCTGAGTTTGCTTATTTCCTCCTCCCTCTCAGTTTATGTTCCTTGAGAATGCTGAAGGGGAGTGAAAGGCGGGATATCAAATCCAAACTCTTCTTCTTCTTCTTTCCTGCTGTATGTTTTTAGAGCGTAAGCAAGGAGGGAGCTTTTCTTTTGGTTGATGAGCAAGAATTAAAAAATACTCTAAAAAAATAAGGTAAAGTAAAATAGGTTTTGGCAGATGCCTTCAAGGTGACATATACAAAAATACAATGCTGGTTTTGAATCCAAAATAAAGGCACAGGAACTGCAAAGAGTACTTCTGGTGTCACATGTGCACCTGCTTTAAAATGTAGATCCCCACTAGGCTCCAATTGATAAATTTCTTCTCTCAGCAATCTGAGCTGAGAAACGCCTAACAACATATACAGGCTAATGTAGTGTTAGCTCTCCTTTCCCCCATAGAAAATCCCTCTAACCCTGACTACTGCAGCTGCCTTTGCTGCCATAATGCTCTTAGAGGGTCACTAAGCAGCTTGACCTCATTGCCCTCTTCGCCAGACAGCTCTCCTGGATCTCCATTCACAAAGTCGCTGCAACTTCATTCATAAACTAGAAAGGTCCACCTGTCTTCAATAAGCTCCAATGCTTAGTTACTGGATTGGGAGACTTGTAATGACCATAAATAAATACTGACAGCATGTGATCACTAATCCTTACAGCAACTATTAAAGCATCAGGAGACTTCAATCCTTAGTAACAGACTTCTAGACAAGACGTAAGATAGTTTTGAGATGGGGGAAAAAAACATTAATGCATACTAAGGGGTGGGGAAAATTCCTTTGTTGTGGTGCCTTTAATATTCATGCTGAAGTGTTGACAATTGCACTACATTTTTGAATACTTCAGCTCTGTGAAAGAGGAGCTAGGATTTAGCATTAAACATTTTAATGCCATGAAATTAGAATCCCATCCCTGAAATAAATGGAAACTATGTAGTAATTAGGGGCGCGGGTGGCGCTGTGGTCTAAACCACAGAGCCTAGGGTTTACCTTTACCTTTCTTTATGTAGTAATTAGGGACGTCAACAGTTTAGATAACTTTAGATTGTGTTTTAGCTCATTAAGAAATTAAAATGTACATCATAATAGGTAAGAAGGGGGGAGCGCTGCAGTTAAAGGGATGGGTTAGGAGAGAGATACCCCAGATTCAACCCCAACTCAGCTGTGAACCTCATTGGGTCACCATTCAACAGTTACTTGCTTGCAGCCTAGCCTACTTCACAGGGTTGTTTTGGGGATAAAATTGGGGTGAAGAGAGCACCTTGGAGGAATATTTTTTTAAAAAATACAAAATACAATTACGCCAAAATAAAAGCTACTACTCATTCTACCTAACCAAGTTGCACAAATATCTGGTTTCATGCTATACTATGAGGTTCAGGAACTGGGAGAAATGACCCATGGGGAAGGGCAGGGACACACTCAATGCCTGTGCGTTGGAAGGCGCTGTCCCAAGTAAGGAAGCTGCCTACATTCATGGAGAATTTCACATGGTATAGATGCCTGGAAAACCAGGGTTGTACATCAAATGGGGAGCCTACGGAAGTGGAAGGAGACCAGCCCCCCTTCAAACAGTCACTGTCCAACTTATGGAGAGCCATGGAAATGAGACTGGGAATACAGGGTGGAACAAGCTTATCCACGCAGTTCTACCCTAATGTATTGCTTTTCCTAGTTCTTGAATGCCTGAAGAGGGTTTTTGGTGCAGCCTTGCTTTGCTATGCATCCTCCAGTCAATTGCTATTCTTTTATTTGTTTCAATGCTTCCTTCCTTCCTTCCTTCCTTCCTTCCTTCCTTCCTTCCTTCCCTTCCTTGTGTGTAACCAGGCTATAGAAACGACCCAGGAAAAAATAGGTATGCTTAAGTCTTGCTGAAATGGGCATCAGATCAAAGCAGTGCTTTTTGTTTAACAAGCCAGGATTTCAGTGCCGAAGCTGGGCACTCAAAGGGCAGACCCACACAATATCTTTAAGACACATTTAAACCATATTATCACTCCCAAACAATCCTGGGAACTCTAGTTTGCTAAGGGTGCTGGAAATTGTAGCTCTGAGAAGGGTAGCTCTTCTCAGGTTTATTTGAGCAAAGAAATGTGCAGTGAATGCGCTGGAATTGTATGGTGTGGATCTGCCCCATAAATTCCATGTTTACCTCAATCTGTGATTTTTTTAAAGAAAAAATATCTTCTCACATACATATTTTAGCATGTACTTTCTCTCAGGATACATATTTAAATACATATTTTGATACATGCTGAGAAATGTGCTACAACATTCAGAGCAGTGTAAACTCCCAATGGATAGCTGAGTTCTGATCCACACATTAGAGTGAGAGGTTCAGATCAGGTCACATTGCATATGAATTTGCAAAGATTGCTCTCCTTAAGCACCCCTAACTGGGGTTCTGAAAAAGCAGCCTTCCAGATGGTGTGTAGAGTGTCCTCCACGTCTGCAGTTGTGCATCTGGGGGCTCTTTCAAGTCTCATAATAAATGTTTGGAGGATGGAGGCACAAGATCTTTCCATGCACATGTTCAAGTGACTTTCATGGCTGAAAGGGTTCGCGTCTCCGCTCCTCCACATGCAGCTGCTGGGTGACCTTGGGCCAGTCACACTTCTCTGAAGTCTCTCAGCCCCACTCACCTCACAGGGTGTTTGTTGTGGGGGAGGAAGGGAGAGGAGAATGTTAGCCGCTTTGAGACTCCTTCGGGTAGTGATAAAGTGGGATATCAAATCCAAACTCTTCTTCTTCTGAAAAGGATGTCAGACTGTCTATCCCACCAAACTTACAGCACCAAGGCCCATATTGTAGCTGGCAAAGATCTCCACTCTTGAAGCTGCCGGGCAAATCCCAGCAGTTTGCTGTATCCCTCCTTGAAAATAATCTCCTGCTGCCTTGTCAAACTTGTCTGGCTACAGCCAGTCAGGCCGTTTTGACACAGAGAACATGAAGCTGTTGAATTAAGGTGGCAGGGTTCAGAAGGAAATCTTAAATGGCTCAGGCTGCCAAAGAGCTGCTTTGCTGCTGAATTGGTTCCATTTTCTTTTTAACAGCCCATTTACCGAAGGGAAAGGAATTCAGCAGGTAAAATAAAGGAGATGTTAAAAAAAAAAAAAAAAAACCTGAGCCATGATTGCTCAGTCAAATCCCACTTAATGTACAGCAAGCTGCAATCCAGCCTTGTCGTTTCCATACCGGTTGTGCTGCTTCTTATCTTGTTTGTCAGAAATGAAAACAGGTGTACGAGGTTCTCCCTCCCCTGATATTCAAGATAGTCATAAAAATGCATACATTTATATAGTTAATGTGTCCTTTTTCTTTTCCTCGGTAAGAGGCAGTTAAGGATAAAGTCAGTGCTGCGATTCACGAAGCCTTTTGTTATTCAGTCATGCGGGGACGTGACGTAGCAGTGCTTTGTCACCGGACTATGCTATCACACCATCTTCATTTCAGGGTGATATTTACACGGTGCTTGATCTGAACCTATTCTACAAATCAGCATCAAGGATTTCTGAGGGCAAATGGAGTTTTGCTTTATTTCATTGACGCTATCCCCTTTTAACTCGTTTTGGCAGCCAAATGCGCTGCTCTGTATTAAGTTCCACCTTAGCACAGATGCCTATAGAGTCACATATTGGTGGGCCAGCACTGGTCTGCATCAGAAATGGCAATTATCTCCCCCTCTGCTGTATCAATGAATAGTCAAGCAGATGAAGTGACATCATCACTGGAGTCAGAAATGAGGAAGCCCCAAGCCTGATGATGTGACATCATACATTGACTGTCCCTTGATTTTATGTGTTCATTCGTTTATTTCTACATTTATATTCCACCTTTCCTCAAAGAAACTCGGTATCAAAAAGGATATTGCAGAGGTTGGAAAAGGTTCAGGAAATGATCAAGAGAATGGAGCAACTCCTCCGTGTGGAAAGCTTGCAGCATTTGGGGACTTTTTAGTTAGAAATGTATGAAATTAGGATTGACATGAAGAAAGGGAATAGAGAAAAGCTTTCCTCCCTCTTGCAGAACACAAAATGTCATGGACATCCAGTGAAGCTGAATGCTAGAAGATTCAGGGCAGATAAAAGATAAAAGTACTTCTTCATGCAGTGCATAAACTATGGAACTCACTTCTGCAGGGGATGGTGATGGCTACCAATGTAGATAGCTTTGAAAGAGGATTAGACAAGTTCATGGATGAGGTTATCGATGGCTACTAGCCCTGATGACTGTGCTCTGCCTCCATAGAGAGCCAGTGTGGTGTAGTGGTTAAGAGAGGTAGACTCGTAATCTGGTGAACTGGGTTTGCGTCTCTGCTCCTCCACATGCAGCTGCTGGGTGACCTTGGGCTAGTCACACTTCTTTGAAGTCTCTCAGCCCCACTCACCTCACAGAGTGTTTGTTGTGGGGGAGGAAGGGAAAGAAGATTGTTAGCCGCTTTGAGACTCCTTTGGGCAGTGATAAAGTGGGATATCAAATCCAAACTCTTCTTCTTCTTCTTCTTCCATAGTAATGGTTTTGAATGACAGTTGCTAGAAGCCACAGGAGGGGAGAGTGTTTATGCGCTCAGATCCTTCCTGCGGGTTCCCACAGGCATCTGATTTTCTGAAAACAGGTTGCTGCACTCGATGATCCAGAAGACTCTTCTTATCAACTTATATTGTATACACTTCTCATGCTCCCCCTTTTTAATCCTGGCCATAACCACGTGGTGCAGGTTAGCCTGAGAGACTGCAGCTGGACACAGGTCACATAGAGGGCTTTATGTCAGTAGAGATCTGAACCCTAGTCTTCTTCCAGGTCCTAGTGCAACACTTTAGCCTCTACAGTGGTACCTCAGGTTACATATGCTTCAGGTTACATACGCTTCAGGTTACAGTCTCCGCTAACCCAGAAATAGTACCTCGGGTTAAGAACTTTGCTTCAGGATGATAACAGAAATCGTGTTCTGGCAGCGCAGCAGCAGTGAGAGACCTCATTAGCTAAAGTGGTGCTTCAGGTTAAGAACAGTTTCAGGTTAAGTATGGACCTCCGGAATGAATTAAGTACTTAACCCGAGGTACCACTGTACACTGCACTGGCTGATACCATCCCATTGTTGTTACGAGGGAGGGAACAGAAGCAGAGATGAGGCTTGTGGCCAGAGCTGATGTCATGGGTTGGCATATGTAGGCAACTGCTAAAGCAGAGCCCTCTGGAAAGGCAAAGAATTCCTGCCCTTCTCCCTCACCCTTGACACCTGCTCACACAACACCTGCTTTACTTTTTTGTGGGGGGGGGGGGCAGACAGATGGATGTGCCATCATGTGCTCACCTGCTCAGCCAAAAGTTCTTTCTGGCAAGTGATTAGGCAGTGGTGGGACAGAGGAACAACTACAGCAGCTGCAAAGAGGGAAGGATGCTCTAGCGAAGGTGTCTCATCCAAGGGCATCTTATCCAAAACCTAGAGCCAGCATTCTTTCTGTGTTGGTGGCTGCATTCCTTAGGGGGGACATCCAACTTTCCTCCGCCCCTTTGTTCTTTGAGAGAGTGTTTCATTGAAGCTAATCACCCAGGATTTTCTTCTCATGTTGCAATATTGTAGTCATTGTTTAACAAAACTCAGGTATTGTGGGAAGAGGAATGGAAGATGGATGTAGTTTCAGCTGCAGTTGTTAGTGTTCACAAACTTTATCATCACCTTAGAATTATCCCCACTTTGCTAACATCTTTGATTACATCTTTCATTTACAATAGGTGATTGTCTTCTTCTGTTACTCAACCAATGGTGAAAGAACTGCAATGAGATTTCACACCTACTCATCTCACAGAAGGCATTGAGTTGTTGTCAAAACATCACAATGTCTAGATGGTGATTATAAACCTAAACTAGATTACAGGCAGTACTTGAATCTGAAGGTTCCATAAGCCTTTTTACCAATCATTTGAGCCATCCAATCACTTAATGTTTTCTTATTTTAACATCCTGGTAGTATACATGATATTGCTGCCCCGGACTTCTTTGGGAGGAAGGGTGGGATATAAATTAATTTTAAAAATAAAAATGGGTGGGGTCTACCTAACGAGCCCCATCAGTTGAAGTCCTGTGCAAGATCTTCCACTTGTGCAATGAGGCATTCCCCTCCCCTCTATGTGCCCATGCACACCCCAATATTTGCTGGGGGGGTGGAGGACCCCCCAAACAGCTTGTGGGAGGAGGAGAGCAGGGATTGTTCTTTCTGGAAAGCTAAAATTCTTGCATAGACAGAATGACTGGATGAACTCAGTGTTGAATTTCACACATTGTTCCCAGGTCAGAAATTCAGTTTTAGACAGTGATGTGGAAGCCAATGTGAGGCTTGGTAGAAAAGGCTGGTATTAGATCATTTTGATGTATAATCATTGAGAAGTTGAATGCTTTTCATTCATTGTCCCTCACTTTTCACTCAGTATGATAACAACTGGAAATGGTGGATGCAGATAAGGTGACTCCCGCAGCACTGAAGCCAGTTCATATTTGAAGTTTTTGGAAGTTAAATGACATGCCCAAGTGGGAGTAGAAGCAGTGGAGAAGCAGGAGCCGCCATATCTTATAAGATGTTGGCTGGCTGGCTGGCTGCAGAATGTTTGTTTCAGGCCCAAGAAATGCAAAAGAGTAAAATGCTGTTCATGTCCATGTGGTAGAATTTTTTCTGTGGCAGGTATGCTTATTCAGCACATCTGAGGCTTCTAAACTACACGGAGGACAGCAGAAATGGAAGGAACAAGGGGGCTCCAGCAGCTATAAAATGTATCAAAGAACAGCACCCACCCCCCAACGCAATAGCTGATCAGAAAGAAACTGTTTTATTTTTGTATAAGAACTAATATGAAAGAGGCCTCCCAGCATTCTCACAGGCCCATATAAGAACACCGTAAACAGTTGGGCCTGATGAGCATTGACTGTTCCCAACCCTAATCCTGTGGAAAGCCATCTAATTAGATTTTAATTTGACCCTGACTTGTTTTTTAGGAGGTAATTTAATTATTGCTTGATTTTATACCAATGTTATATATTTGATGTTAGCCGCCCTGAGCCCGGTTTCAGCCGGGGAGGGCGGGATACAAATTAAAGTTCATTATTATTATTATTATTATTATTATTATTATTCCCAGTGTATTAAAATGAACCCAAGAACAGACTCCTAGCTGGCAGCTGCTTTTTAAAAGGTTGCATTAAAAATCCCCAATGAATACAAAGGTCAACAGGTTTTGAACAAATGCAAACTTTACAATCAAATCTAGGCAATTGCATTATTTCATTCATGACTTGAAAGTGGATTTTTTCATCTGAGGGCTTTTTCACATCTCGGGGCACACACACAAACACACACAAAAGGAAGTATTTCACACAGCACAGAGTTAAGCTGTTGAATTTGCTCCCATGAGGATAGTAATAGTCACCAACCTGGACAACTTTACAAGGGGGGGGGGTGAAACAATTTCATGCAGGATAAGCCTATCAGTGATGAGTAGTTGTGATGGGAAAGGGACATGGCTTAGTGGCAAAGCATTGCTTTGCATGCAGAAGGTCCCAGGTCCAACCCCAGGCATCTCCAGGAACAGATGCAAAAAAACCCCCTTCCTGATTAGCCATGTCAGCACAAGCCCTGCTCAAGGGCTTCCATATCTGGCCTTTTCTTCCTCTGCATCCCCCCCCCCTGCACATCTGCTCCCCTGCAATTGGTGCAGGGTGTATGTGCCAGGAGAACCCCCAGAATAGTGTACAGAGGGAGGGGCAGAGGATTCTGTTTTTGGACAGCCTGATATGCCTGAGCAGATGGAACGTCTAATAGTGGGACATTGAATTCCACCCAGGGTCTGGAATCCTGGAGATGCGCTGGCAGTCATTGCTGACAGTCCTGTGCTAGATGGCCCTATGACAACACACACCACAATTGCCTCATTACGTAAATCGTGTTTAGAACACCACAACACATACGTATCTGGCTATAAAGTAACATAACATTATATGCAATGAAACTGTAATTTAATCGTCATATCAAAAAATTGCAAAGCACAGTTCCTGATGGCAGTAACATATCATATTACTATTAACCTTCTGTATGTGTTATTGTCGTAAAGTCCAAGGATTGTCAAATCCAAAGATTACAACGTACAGTTTCTGTTGGCAATGCCATTTCATACTGATATTTTCCTTCTGCATCATCCTGTGTCTTAAAAGTGTAACAAACGAAACTTCATTCTGCATCGTCCTATGTCTTGAGAGTGTAACAAACGGAACTACTTAGTAACAACAAGGCAGCTGATGATAGACCAGTTCTCAGGATACACCCTATGAAACAGTTTCCTATGTTCCTATAACTGTGTACTTGAGGCAGTATTGCACTGAATGCCAGTTGCTGGAGAGCATGAGTGAAAAGAGTGCTGATGTGCTCAGGTTCTGCTTAAGGGCTTCCCACGGGCATCAGGTTTGCCACTGTGGGAACAGGATGCTGGACTAAATTGAACTTTTGGTCTGAACCAGCAGGACTCTTCTTACATTGTTATGTTTATTAGGTTTTGAGGTGCATACCTAAACACTTCAAGAATGAGTGTGACCAACAAGTTGGCTGGAAGGCTTTGACTAGATGTCCTCATCAAAGAGATGGACTTGACAGAACCTCCCCATTGGGTGTACTCCCAGTGGGAAACATGGACTTCTTTCTGTGTAGCATATGAACTGGCTCTTGATAAAGAGTAAAACTCAAAAATGCGGTGTCAATTATTTCTAGTCAGAATGGTAGGCTCTGGGTGGTTGGGCAGCAGAATCTACTTGGTTACCCAGTCCAAGGCTGCATTCAAATAGCAGTTTATTCTGTTTTCCTGACGTTTCCCTAACTGTTAATTTCCACATTGTATATGCCCTTTTGAACAGCATAGCCAACTTCTAGAAATATGGAGGAATATATCATAAGCTTAGCGTCTGTTTGTGTATCATTTGCTTCTAGAAAATACTTTGCTTACAAATAACAGGGAATGAGCACTAAACCTGTGCTATATTCCACTATATGTCTGGATGAGGCTTATATGTCATGCAAAAGCTCAAATATAATGCAAAAATTGACAGGGAGATGGCAAAAAAACAGAATAAGCTGACATGTGAATGCAGCCTAAATGATAGAGAAATGTTATAGAAATGTTGGGCTCAGTGTTCTGCAAATTCTTTGCTGTTTTTGTTCATGAAGGATTTCACCACACTTTCATTTTAAGGATTAATTTTGTAAGTAGCTAGACCAGCCTTCTCCAATCTGAAGCCCTCCAGATGTGTTAGACTACAACTTGCACCAGTCCCAGCCAGCATGGCCAATGGTCTGGGTTTATGAGAGTTGTAGTCAAAAATAGCTGGAAGGTTCCAGGTTAGAGAATGTGAGCTTTCCATGGTGGTACTAGAAATCACACTGCTGATCTTCTTCATTTTTAGGTGATGTGTAGAACTTAACTTTTGGCTTAAGAATATATATATATATATATATATATATATATATATATATATGAATAAGCAATATTTTACAACTCTTACTGCATGACTGGACTATTTCATAGCTAGACTACTGAGAAAGAGGTATATGTAGAGCTGTAAATACTTTGCATTTATAGAAGTAAGACTTGACTTTCCTGTTTCGGTTTGCTAATTTTCAGAAGGCAGCATAGATACTTTGGCATTCACTCAAATACTCGGTAACATTTCATTCCCTTAGTCACAGATATAGTTATTTGACCTTTTATAAAGCTCTTATTACAATTTTTCAACGGCAAAAGTGGGGGGGGGGACTTGTCCTTTGGAACCATATTTCAACATTATTTTGATTCAGAACTTTACCAGGGATAAAGAAACTCTGAACCTCCAGGTGATGTTCTGCATCAATTCTCATCACCCCCAAACATCATGGTCAGTGGTAGCCACTGTAGTCTATCAGCATCCGAAGGGCCACAGATTCCCCCATTTTACCACAATAATGCCCTTTGTCTATTTCCACTATTTCGTTACATAACCTAACAATAGGATTCTGCACCATTCATTATCAAAGTCATAAGATTCCTTGTTGTAGAGTGGTCTTGTGTTGATGTGATAGTTCTGAAGAAATTGGTTTAAGGATTACAGTCATAAGACCATGCCTTCCCCCCTTGCTTCATTTTGTGACTCCAAGGCTCATTCAGCTGTCAAGTTTGCCACCAGGAAAAGAGTCATTATCAATTTGTTGCTAGTCTCTCATTATCAATTTGTTGCTAGTGGATAGGGTATAGCGGAGAACCAGTACATGTGTAGGGAAGTTATTATTTTATATCTGTCCCTCCATTAAGCTTAGTATAATTTTGAGGACACCAGGAATAGGAAACCTTTGGCCAGAGGTGCCCACTTGGGCCCCTGACTGTGAGTGCCCAGTGACATCATGTCATTCACACACTGCTTGGCCGCCACCCTCTGCCGCCATGGCAAGGCAGAGTCTCCACCTCCACTGTCTCTGTTGGGGCCTGACATAGTTGCAGATGCACCCCAGAAGCATAGCGACAGCCACAGCGGGCCCCAATAGAGGACTTGTGGTGTATGCAAAGGCCCGGCCCAGCTGCTGTGGTGGCACCAGAGAGTCAAAGGTAAGGCAGCAGGCAGTGGAGGCCAGGCACCCACAGCAGCGGCGTAGCGTGGGTTGTCAGCACCCGGGGCAAGGCAAGTAATTTGCCCCCCTAACCCAGGGCAAGGCAAGTAATTTGCAAGGCAAGTAATTTGCGCCCCCTAACCCCTAACCTGCCGTCGTGGCCAGCTTCTTCTTGCTGCTGCCTGGGCTGGTCTGGTGTGGTTCTCTCCCACGCTCAGCGCTGCGCTGGGCGGCCGCTGCACTGTCCCTCCCCCAGATAGTCCCTCGCTCTCTCTCCGCACCACACGCCTGGCACCCACCCCCTCCACAGTGGGCGGCGACCCAGCGGCTCGGATCGGATTCGCACAGCCAGCACTGCAGTGAGAGAGAGTGAGTGAGCCAGGTAGGGGCAGAGAGCTGCGAGTGCGAGCGCGCCCCCCAGATGTTGCGCCCGGTGCGGCCGGCCCCCCCTGCACCCCCCACGCTACGCCACTGACCCACAGTGAACATTTTGTGGGTGCCCAGGCACTCAGAGACCCCTGGAGTTGGCAACTGTGCCTGGTGGGCCTTTCACAATAACATGAAGGGCCAACTCTCATCAGGTCCTGGTAAGATGGCCAAAGGTCAGGAACGATCAGAGTTGTAACCACTGCCATTTTTCTAGAAAAAGAGGTGCTAGAACTTACCTCTTGCATTCTCCTAGAATGGCAATGGTGCCCACCTGACAGGTGCCAGTACCAGTGGCATCGCAACAGGGGTGGTGGTGCACCCCAGGTGCCGTGTCTGGGGGGGTGACAAGAAGGCACTCTGCAGGGGCTCACGGGGGCGCAAGCATCCATCGCGCCGGTGCAGCCGCATGTGGAGGATCCTCCATTCGCGGCTACAGCTGTGAGCAGAGGATCCCGGTGCCAGAAGCAGACAGCTATGTACAGTGCATGTGCAGCGTCGCACGCATATGCTGTACGTAACAATGCCACACATGTGATGTACATAGTGGTTTGCCACTCGAGTGCCATACGGATGGTGGTGGGATCCCTCCGTCGCAGCTACAGCCGCAAAGCGAGGATCCCGGCACTGTCCGTATGGCGCTGGAGCAGCGCTGCTGGCAAACCACTATGTACAGTGCAGGTGCGGCGTTGCTATGTATGGCGCATGTGCTGTACATAGCTGTTTGCTGCCCCGAGTGTCATGATGACTTCATTTGCCCCTGGCCAGTACAGTGGTACCTTGGTTTAAGAACAGCTTAGTTTATGAACAACTTGGATTAAGAACGCTGCAAAGCCGGAAGTAGGTGTTTCGGTTTGTGAACTTTGCCTTGGAAGCAGAACATGTTCCGCTTCCTGTTGAGTGTGTTCCATTTGTAAATTGAGTCCCCCGCTGCTATGGGAAAGCACGCCTTGGTTAAGAACGCTTTGGTTTAAGAAAGGACTTCCAGAATGGATTAAGTTCGTAAACCAAGGTACCACTGTACTGCGTTCCGGTGAGTTCTGGCAGGAAAAAAAGGTCTGGGCTGTAACCACAACTGGAAGGCCATAGGTTCCCTATCCCTGCATTGAGCCAAACTCATTATGGGAATTGCTCTATGTGCTATAGTCCTGACAGCCAAATATAACATATAATTCCCACTGGACTCCACACGCTAATCTCTACTGCTGTCTCAAGCTACTGGTGTCAGGCGACACAAATCCTAAATATTTCAGTGGAGGAGCATCCAAGATGAATGTCAGCCTACAGCTGTTTTTATGTATTTTCTTAGTTTTGCTCTTGTTTTAATTATCCGTTGCTTGTTTCCCTACTGGGCTATCAACTCCATGGCTAATGTTTGCAAAGATGCCCGATGTACCGTGGGTGATAAATGCTACTATTATCTTAAGCAGGGAGAGGCTGGCTGCCCTTTTAATTCAGAGGATCTTCTGGAGGGATGGGGTGGAAAAGGATGGGTGGGCGACTGTTTTCTCAGTGCTGTTCCTTTGATACCATCTTGGCAAAATAGCCATATATTAAAGACAACACAAAACATTGGCTCAGTTCCGAAATCTAAGGGGACCCGACTAAAGTTGCTTGCTTTAATGTTCAAGGGAAAGAAAAATACTTGGAAGTGCTGTTCTGAACCATTATGAATCAAAGGGATACTCTATTTCCAGATGACACATCATGAATGTGTTTCTCTCAGAGACGCAGGGTGCAACTTTGATTTGTGCTAGTCACAGATGAGGAAAGCACAGTGGCTTTGAGCACAATTCATCTCAAACCAAAGGCTTTTTCTAGTTTTGCACTGTACTACTGCACTGTAAATTGGGGGAAAGGACCACAAGCCAGAGGTTCCAACTTAACACAGGACCATTGCTTAACAGTTTTGAGCAGTGTTGCTTCCTCATACTCTAGTGCATCATATGAACTAGTAAATGTCCAGATACTTGGAGTATCCAAGGCCCATATCTACAGCCAAGAGGAGAGAACAGCAGTTGAGCAATTGACGGGAACCCATTCAAAAGACTGTTTATCTTAAGGGTTTACCATCCTGCTTTCATTACTGCCTGGATCCTCCTGGCTTTCTGGGTCATCAGCAGGAACAAGACTTTCAACACCTCCTAATCTCATAACATATTTTGCAATTCTCATGGATGTTTTAAGTCGACACTGCTCATGTCTTGCAGGTAATAAATTGAGAAACTTAGCAATTCTGTAGTTTGTCCAAGTTAAAGCGGGGTCTTTTAAAAACTCAGACTGAGGACCTTGTCTCTAAGGACATCTTAGAACCATTTTTTTTTCTCCCCTGAGGAGAAAAAGCAATAAAACTTCTCTGAGGCATGGTGCAGATGATTATTTAAATAGATAAATAAATAAATAAACCACTGACTTTCTAAAACAATGAAAGGACAGAAGAAATGTCAGGCAGAGATTTCTGCCAACCAGCCTTGTGAGAAGCTTCTTCCCAACATATAGTCATACTTTATCCTTTCATCAAATTGAAATCAAAAGAGGGCTGTTAGATTTTATAGTGTGTTTGATGGTGCATTGCATCACTAGCTGAATCTTCAGCCTAAATGTTCATTTTGAACAGCGAATTAACTACTTAAGCATCCTTTAGAAGAGGCTGAACCCATTACCTTTGTTTTGTTTTTCAGGTCTTTAAAGAATACCTTGGTGCAGTCATAATTGCCTTCCAGAATTATCTTGGTTTTGGAAGCAAGTTTTAGATGTTTTCATCAAAATATGTTTTCGAGCCTATTACACACAGTGTTCAAAATGGTCCCAAGAAAGGAAGAGGTGATTGTTTCATTCCTTTGCTCTCCAATGTTTAATATGGGTTCTGTTGCAGTTTCATATTTCTTTTATTGTACTGACGGAGAAAATTTATGAACCAAGCCATTTTTAACCATCAAAATCATCATAATCATTGTTGAGTTATATGATATGAATTGCAGAGTGGACTCAGGAGATAACGAGATGTGATTGGCTACACTGGCATTGATGCAATTTAACACTAATGAGGGCTGTTGGGTTTTGATGTGAACAGAGGCAAGAGAAATAAAGTGAAGCAAAAGCTTGAATGCAAAGTGAGAATCTAGATGCATAGTCTAGAAGACCGTGGTGACTAGCCTGCACAAAAATGTATCAGATTACAGATTTTGGGGTGGCAAATTATTATGGTAAGAGATCAGTTGGTATCTTGAAAAGAATCACTGTATTTTTCGCTCTATAAGACGCACCAGACCAGAAGACGCACCTAGTTTTTGGAGGAGGAAAACAAGAAAAAAAATATTCTGAATCTCAGAAGCCAGAACAGCAAGAGGGATCGCTGCGCAGTGAAAGCAGCAATCCCTCTTGCTGTTCTGGCTTCTGTGATAGCTGCGCAGCCTGCATTCGCTCCATAAGACGCACACACATTTCCCCTTACTTTTTAGGAGGGAAAAAGTGAGTCTTATAGAGCAAAAAATACGGTACCTGATCGTGACTCAGCAAGTCTTTGAAATGAATGGCTGTGTTGAGAGTGTTGTGTTTGCGGTTCCTGCCTTTGTCAGATTTAACCTCTGTGTGATAGGGGAATAGAGGAAGGTAACAAAAGTGATGAGGAGCTGTGTACATTTCCAGGACAGGAAAAAGTTGCTAGAAGGTGCTAACCCTGAAGCTTGCTTACAATAGGAAGGAATATATATATATATATATATATATATATATATATATGCAATGTACAAGATGAGAAACAATGTAGACCGCGAGCATAGGGAACTTTTCTTTGCCAAGAAGAGAGTTGTGCATTGAAAGGAATAAAAGAAATATTTTCTGATGTGTTCTTCCCCTGCTGTGGAAATCTGTGTATGCCATACCCCTGTGTGGCTGATGGGTAAATCAATGGCTATTTGGTGCAGGGGAAAGAGGAAATATGATGCTTTTGTTTTTTCATAACCTTGGAGTTAGCACTGCACTAATCACCCTACTGTGTTGGTCTACAGTATTTCAGATCCCTCTCTGTAAAATTACTTGAATACACACCCTGTGTTAGATTCTCCTTGCACAAGCAAAGCAAACTGAAGATGTGAGCTAGAAGCTCTTGTTTAGTTGGGTGGCTCATTTAATAAGTTCCCGGCTGTTGTACCTTCTCTGTATGCTAGCCATCACACAGGGGAAATTATAAGGGTAAATTACCAGAAGCTTATTAGCAGACTCAAGGTTGCCATTTTAGGATGGTAATGATGAGATGATAATGATGATGATAATACCGAGGAATTATGTTGCACTTTCAGTTATTCAAAGCGCTTCACGTACATTATCTCAATAATCCTTACAACAATCATGTAAAGGTAGATCAGGATTACTATCACCACGTTTCAGATCAGGTGTTGGCATGGGACACATTCCGCTTATGACTACCAAGCAACTTTGAGGGAAAGGTGAGATCTGAATGGGGAACTTAACTGGCTTATAGCTCAGGATCTCAGGCACAATGCTTTGCCATCTCTCAAAGTCTGCTTGCATTAGCGAGGAACTCCAAAGTATTGTGGCCCTGCTCCTTTGATGGTTATTTTAGATCCATGGAATTCTATACTGTGTAAGCCATGGGAATCAAGAAACCATTTATTATGCTTATGATCGCTATTTCCAGGATTCAAAAAAGGTGAGCTGTGATTCACTGAACTTGTCAGGCTTTACTGACTGCCTTTCATCTCATTTCAAATTCTGATTCATCCACTGAATGAGAAAACAAATCAGAAGTTCTAGTGGAGAGGGAGCCAATGTGATGCTCTCTAGGGGTTGTTGGACTACAACTTCCATCATCCCTGACCACTGGCCATGCTGGCTAGGGCTGATGGGAGTTGGAGTCCAACAACATCTGGGAGAAATCTCATTGGATACCATGGTTCTTGTTCATTCAGTGATTTCTATCTTGTGATAGTGAGAAAAACAGGTCCTATAGAAACAATTTAGCTTTTATTTGTAATTATACAGCAAATACCTCCTGGAGCCCAAGGCATACACTTTAAAAGTTACTTAAAAGTTCCTTTGATTCAGGAGGCACTTTGGAACAGATTTTGATCTGAATTATTCTGTTGTTACTGTACACCTCTGCAACTGAGATCTGAATCTGTTCTTTACATTTCATCCTCATTCCTTAGAAATGGAAAGGTTATAACTTATAAGTGCTTTGCAAATGATAAACAATCCTCCCCTTTGCATAAAATCTGAAACCAATTATCCTTTTGTGGGGAGGGGGGGACTTTGAAAAGCATATGGTTACCCCCACCCACAAACACCCTTGTTTCCCAAGCCAGGATATAGTAAAACACACACACACGTCATCTAAGCTCTGCTTCTTAAATTCTGGAGCACAGCCATAAATTTTAATTGGTAATGCCAACCTTTGTAATTCAGACTCTCTGAGTCAATTGCACAGAGCATTCCTTCAAGGAATTTGGCCCTCAGAGTAGAAATTGCAAGGTGCCGTAAAGGAACTGTGGCAAATATTCATTGAATTCTGTACATAAACCCTACATAAAATCCCTTCAGATGTATCCAAACCCCTTTTATCTTTACTGCCCAGACACATTTGTATGACTGGCTTCTGAAGAAGCTTGCAAGATGCACATTTCAGGCTCTCTCAGATAGTTAAATGGCATTTTCTTGAACTTTTGGGATATATACTCAAGACTAGAAATGCTTCTAATCTGTTGTTGGTGGTAGTCTAATCGGTGGTAGCAGCAGCAGCAGCAGCAGTACTACATAGCCATTACTGAATATGGTGCTTTAAAGTGTTTTCAAAAGCAAAAAAGGAGAGGTTCATATCCCATGAAGCTTACAATAAACAATCAACAATAGGTCAAACAGCAGACGGATGGGAGGAAAAGGCAAGGACAGCAAAAACTTTCCCCCAAGACTGGCTGTTAAAGGAAAGTTTCCCTTTCTCTTTCTCTTTCTGAGACCTTAGCTCTGATTTGAAGAGCTACAGCAGAGCTGACAAGTAAATCAGCTGGATGTGGAGCCATTTGGCCCCCAGGTTTAATAATATTGCCATCCCATGATCTAATACATTGTAGAAAATATGAAAAAAAAAAGACAGGAGAGGAAGAAAAGGGGGAATGGGTGAGTTTATTTGTTACTCAGCCTTTACGGCCAGAGAACTTGGCACATTTATGGGAATTAACAATAGTTTAATATAATTATAATTATTCATAATTTAATGTTTCGTCTGCAATTTCCGGAAACGGTTGAAGACATTCTTGTTACGACAGGCTTTCCCAGTTGGATGAATGGGTCTTTACCACAAGTGCCCACTTGCAGTGGTTTTAGTCTTGTTTTAAAGGTTCTCACTGTATGTGTCATTTTTGTGTTTTTAATTATCTTGTGCAGATCACCTTAAGATGGTGGTTTAGAAGGCAATTAATAAATCAATTGTAATAGTAGTTGTAATAATTAGGGAGGTGCCAGAAACTGCCCTATAAGGAAATGGCTCCTCTTGTTGCAAGACCTCCCGCCAAGTACAGAGCAAGCTTACCTAAATATTGGAGCAGGCTAAGCTGAATATCGGGTAATTATATGAACAGAACCCAAATTCTTGCCTGCAGGCACTAGCTTAGCAATACCTGTAAATTCACCATCTACCTGAGGCATGTTCTTACTGGAATAAAAATGCATGTCTCAGTGTGTATCTTGCAGTTGTTCATGGCAACTCCAGCTACTCCCAACATTTCTTTTAGCTTTACAGTGATGCAAACTCAGGCACCACATGAGATTCATTATATGCTGAGAACAGGACTGTGTGTGGACGGTTTCTCGAAATTCTTCATGCTATTTTTGAGCAGGGAAAGAACATGTGCACTAGTTCACTGATTTTCTCTGTCTTCTCCCTGTTAGCAGTGACAATCCCACAGTTTCTTTCTCTCCCCCCCCCCTTCCTTTTCGTTTTTATGCTGCCACTGCAGCGGGTTACAGAAGCAACTATGTCGACAACCCAGACACCATTTTGTTTCATCTGCTTTGCCTCATCATCTGTAGCATCATTTTTATTTTATTTTATTTTATTTTATTTTATTTTATTTTATTTTATTTTATTTTATTTTATTTTATTTTATTTTATTTTATTTTATTTTATTTTATTTATACATCACCTGATTTTAGAAACAACCCTCAAAGTGGTTTACAAAAAGGAGAAAGCAATAAAGTTATCAATAAGGAAAATCAACAACAACAGCTTAAGACTTTCAAAAGGTTACAATAAGAATGAACTAAAAACAGATTAAAACTTGCATCAACTTTCCAAACATTTGGGTAGGCTTGCCTAAACAAAAATGTTTTTGGCAGGTGCTGAAAAGAGTACAGCAAAAGCACCTGCCTGAGATCAATAGGCAGGGAGTTCCAAAGTGCAAGTTCTTACAGATGCAGAATGGGTATTATGTGGCACCTGTAACAGAGCCAGTTTCACCAGTTGAATCAGTGAAGTGGGACCTTCTGCTTGCTGCCCGGAGTGACTGGGACAATCCAATCAGATTACTATCATCATCATCATCATCATCATCATCATCATCATCATCACAAAACCTACGCGTCAGGCTAATGGACTGGTGCCATGCAGGCTGTGCATTGCTTTACAGTGGTACCTCGGGTTACATACGCTTCAGGTTACAGACTCCGCTAACCCAGAAATATTACCGTGGGTTAAGAACTTTGCTTCAGGATGAGAACAGAAATCGTGCTCCGGTGGCGCAGTGGCAGCAGGAGGCCCCATTAGCTAAAGTGGTGCTTCAGATTAAGAACAGTTTCAGGTTAAGAACGGACCTCCAGAACGAATTAAGTTCTTAACCTGAGGTACCACTGTACCTGCCTTTCAAATCAGTGAAATGAATCAAATAAACAATAATTAATAATTGGCAGCAGCAAAGATTGTGGGGCTCTCCTTCTTGAATTGCATGAATTGATTCCCTTTTTCTGTTCCCCAGCATTGCTGTTCCCCAGGGACAACCATACATTCATTTAATCGTGACCTTCTAAATCACACTCCCCATTTGCACTCTTCCAGTAAACAGAGGAACTTCGGCCAGGGCTTTCATAACAGCGCATTCCCCACCGGGACTCCAGTTCTCTGCCTTCCACTTGCATTGAATTGCCGTGAGGTTGGTACAAGAGGCTGAAGAAAGGAGAGTGGGAATGCAGCTGAGCTACAAGCATTAAGGGCCAAGTTTTTCTAAGTGTAGATTTCTGAGCCTGAAAAGAAGTGTTGCTTAGTGGTTAAAGCCGGGGGGGGGGCACAGAGACATGAACTCATGACTTTACAATCTGTGTTACAGATGCATATTTCTCCCTGAGCCTGTCTCTCTTTCCTCTGGCAGACACTTTCCTTTTTTATTTTTATTTTGGTAGAGACTCCAAGAGAAGCAAGGAGAAAAGTTACCACTTCCGTTACAGAAATAGTAGTAGCCTTCCTGCCTACGCCCTGTTTGCGTGCACTAAATAATTTGAAGGCAAGTAAATTTTAAGAGGCTCTTTGGAAGCTGAAGACAAGTGTTCAGGCAGATGGCGAGAGAAGCCTCCTCAAGGAGGATTAGAGCTCATCTCATTGCCTATAGCAGGCCTAACCAGCGTCTGTTTGGGGCAGAGATCCGTATCATAACTCCAATTAGCTGTGTTCAGTTAATTGTTTGTGAACAATTGCATGCATGTAAAAAAATAAAAAGTAACAGGGTGGGGTGGTAGCAGGATTGAAATCATGGTACATGGAGAAAAGGGTGAGGTTAATATTTCTCCTTTGTCATCACCCTGACAAAATTCCTCATAGCACAAAGCTCATCTTATCTCACGGTGGTGGTGGTTCAGTTTCTATAAAGCTATGCTCTATCTCCTGCTGAGTTTGACTGTGTGAGGCATCAGAAGGAACAGCAAGAATTGTTTTATTTCTCAGAAGCATAAAAAGCTGGGTCAAAGGGCCCTTTCTGGGCCTAGTAAGGATGACATGCTGTTGACTGGGGCCAGTTCTAGGGAGCAACCAGACTGGCTGCCAGCTTGCTTCAAAACACAGGTAGGGATAGACAAACCAGCCAGCTTCAATTTATTTTGGTTTCAATCCCTCCTCACAATCTTAAATTCGGTTTTCCACATTTCCACATCAGTTGTGATTTATTTCTTTATTTTAAAAGCATTTTGTAGGCCGTTTTGCTGAATATACAGATTCTTGCAAGCAATCTCACCTAATATAATGCATATATGTATGCAATTTTGAGAAATATGCCGTAATACACACATTTTTATACATTGAGTTTTTGTAGTTGGAGGACTGCATCAGAGAATTCTGGCACAATTGCAAATCACGGGAACACACGTTGGACAAAATTATATGTATTATCTGTGGCCATAAAGCATATGGGAGAGTTACCTTGTCTCTGCCACTGTTCTACGGTGGTAATTAAACATTACCTGTCTGAGAACGATGTCCTGAGGATTAGTTAGAAGCCCTACCTGGCAGCAGAGCAGGGTTCCGTTTGTCCTCGATAGGAGACATGAGGTGGCCGTTTCATTTTATTGTGGGTAGAAATCCCCTTACCCATCCAGCTAGTGATGGGATCTCAAATGAACCAGAAAATTAGCCAGTTTCTCCGGTGACAGTTGTCTCGTTAGACAGCACGCTGCAGGCAAAATTTGCCATGCACAAATCCCAAACCTGCCCATGCAAATGGATACTGTATTTACTTAGGCAAATCTGATATTGATACACTAAATCGTGGCCACTTGAAAAATGAGATGTGGCAGGGTTTGTGTGCAAATATGAGGGCTTTCTACTTAGGTTCTGCTTCAAACAAATAATTAGAATTAGATTTAAAAAAAAAATAGTCCGGATGGAGCGAGAATAAGCAGATATACTACTGAAGCCCTCTTTAGATTATGGTGACAAAATCCTGTATTGCAAGAGTGTTGCTAAGCACATTCCCTTTCAGTCTTGGGCTATGCCTCATTGAACACAAGCCAGCAAAGGATACTCTATCATGTTTGCTTTCATTACTCTTGCAGTAAGATATCTGGGACAGGCTGGCTGCGTAGTTTAATGGAGGATGCTGTTTAGCTTCATTTTACCTTCTGTTGTCCAGGGAGTGGGTGGGATCGTGTTACTGTAAATATTTCACTGGAGGGCCAAGTGGGGCAGTTGGATTGATGATCAGTCATATTTACTTAATGCTTACCTTCAGCAACAGAAGCTCTCAGCTGCTGATTGTCCCCCACCCCCACCCCGTTTTTCACTGGTGTATTCTTAGGATATCTTCTGCCCTTTGGCTTTTCTCGTGACATTATTTTTCAAAGCTTATGCTCTTATTGAGCTTCAGCCTAGCTAAAATAGGCAACAAACAAACAAACAACCTAGCGCACTATGTGCACATGTGGTAGCAATTATATAAATCAATAGGCTGTATATATATATGGTAGCAACTAGGTGGAGTAGCAAATAAAAGATGAGGCTATAATGGGAATGGGAGAGAAAGAATGGTAACAGAGAGATATGTTGCCATGTTGTTCAAATGGTACCAGTTAGAATATAATGTTGAGGCTGGGTAAGATTAGCAGGTAAATTAAAGGTAAAGGTAAAGGGACCCCTGACCATTAGGTCCAGTCGTGGCCGACTCTGGGGTTGTGGCGCTCATCTTGCTTTATTGGCCAAGGGAGTCGGCAAACAGCTTCCAGGTCATGTGGCCAGCATGACTGAGTCGCTTCTGGTGAACCAGAGCAGCGCACGGAAACGCAGTTTACCTTCCCGCCGGAGCGGTACCTATTTATCTACTTGCACTTTGACGTACTTTTGAACTGCTAGGTTGGCAGGAGAGCAGGTAAATTATCAAGTCCTAAATGTATTGATCATTCAGCATTAATCTATCCCATAAAAATAGATGGTTGAACCCTGGATGGACACTCAATAGGCCTCTGGGATGGCAGAGAATTAAGCACAGCTTATTCGTGCAAGATGCTTTGTTCGGTAATGCACATTGTGATCAGTCTGTTGCCAAACAAAGGCTGCACAAGTATCTTTGATGGGAATATATTGCTTGCAAGTGTAATATTTGCTTTTCACGGTATGTGAATGTGCAACTTTGAAATTCACTTTCTCAAAAGATTAATGTCATCAGGAAAATGGGACAGCTCAAGCTGACAGAGGAATTGACATGAGACATAACAAAAATGGAAAGTGAATGCCAAGCAGTGCATTGTCAGGATTAATTTCTGAGCTGGCGTTGGGGAGGGGGTATTTTTTATTATTATTATTATTATTATTATTATTATTATTATTATTATTATTTTCCAGCAATCATTTGCACCTATAACAACTATTATCATTATCAGGAAGAAAATTTTCCAGCATTCATCTGTTTCTAACAGAAACTACTTGGTTATGTATAATAACAACCCCAGACTGTTAAATCAACATTGATTTAACCTGTGGGATCTCTCCAGTATTGGATTCAAACAATATCCATAGGTAATTGCATTGACTGGGAATTTCTTTCTCCCTCTCTTGTATACAAGAGTGTTGTGTGTGTGTGTGTGTGTGTGTGTGTGTGTTGCAGCACTTCTCCAAGTGTCCAAAAGGTCACCATGGGATGGGGCATGTACCGGCATTTGCTTGCATTTGGAACAGACCATGTGATAGTCCCTCTGAGGAAGCACAGAACAAGGAAATAAGATTTGTTTTGCTTCCAGCTTGCAAAAGAAAGTGTATGTGTGCATGCAGACACCTGCCTCCTCCCCATCATGCGCTAGACAGGACTAACTGAGGATGGCTTGAGGCAGGAAGTTTGAGCATTGTCTTTTTAAAATTCCTTTGTTGTATTTTAGCCACTTGTGTTTAAAAAATGTGTAAGAGTTAACCTGTGGAAGTAGCAGGGTGATTCCACACAATCTCCTGGTGCTGGATTGACCGAAACAGGCTTCAGAAGTTGAGGTGGAAGAGTTTAATGCAGACTTGGCTCCATAGTTCTTTAGGCCCTCATCAATGAGCTTTCTACACTAGTGCAACTGGGCTGAAGTGGCAATGTCCTATGGCTGGTAAAAGAAAAAGCCTCTATGCTCTGACCCTGCTGGACTTGAAAGATCCAAAGTTGTAACAGTTTGTTTCCTAGGCTTCAGTTTAACCTGGCAGAGTTGTATCATAGCTGATAACTCTGAAGGGAAGAGGGTCCCGCCCAGCTAAACACATCAGCACTATCAGAGTGCTGATAATTTACCTTTTTCTTACTTAAGTTCACTATTTAAACAAAAGTGTGGAAAAAGAGCATGTTAATTCTTTGGGCTGGGGTAGGAAATACCAGATTCAGTCCAAGTACCGTTTCCCTCTCTGCTTAACAAGTGCTCTACATCCACCTGTATCAGGTGAGCCTGTGAAGATGCTGAACTAGTGACTAGAGGCAGTAAGGGGCCAGATGAAGGTCAACAAAGCAAACTTAAATTGTGGCAGCACAGAGGCATTGTGGATAAATGGTGTGCAGTAAGTTTTGAAGCTGGAGGAATGAAGGAAGCTCGATTGTATCATGTCCTTCAGTTTGCAAAAGGTCTAAAATTTCTGTCTTTTGAGCCGCATGCATAGATTAGGAAGGGCATTTAATTTTTTGCTGTTTTCTCTATTCTTGAAGGAGGAGGGTTGAATCAATCATGGGATATAATGGTAGCAGTAGAAAGGTTTTATGCCTTTGTAGTATGTGGACACCTAAGGCATACTGAGGAGAAACCACTGTGCTTGTTCATAGTGGGTGGTCTATTGGGGTTAAGGAAACACAGCACATATGTCAAAACTCCTGTTACCCCGTTCTTCGTGGCGAGATTGTATATGGATAACTCTGGCCTTTCCAATAGAACTCAGGTCTTGGTGGTAGGCCAGGCAGCAAATCACATTAATACAACGTCAGAGACCTGGAAAGAGATAGGGAAATTTAGGGGGGAGGGCTGTCAAGTTCTTTTTTCTGTTTCTTTGTCAGCCTGACAGTTTGGTTCAGTACAAAGACCTTGGATTTGAGTGCAAGAGAATTGCAGAACTTGAACTACACAAACAGAATGGCAATTTAATAGCCTATATCTGTAGAAGTTGGCTTTGCTGGTGAGCATGCATGAATAAGGGAGTTAATTTTGCCAGTGTATATAAACCAGAATCCTTACGGGAGAGGTTAGGCATTTGCTGTCTTATCACCGATTCAGTTCTTGGCTGGGCTCTGTCTATGTCCTGCCAAATATGCTATAAAGTGAACATGACACTTTGGCTTCACTGAAGTCTAAAAACAAACCTGCATTGATTCAGTAATGCCAGGTAGAGGAAAAATTGTACACTGGGCAGTCCATACACACCGAGTTTGGTGATGACTTCTTTTTGATTTGATTTATTATTTAAACACAATTTCTGTGCTAGGTACTTCCCCTAGGTAACAACACATAAAATCAACTTCAATCAAAGAAGGGGGCATTTAAAGCAATATAGAGCCATGCTTTGTGTAGGTCTCTGACTTTGTATCTGGTCCAGAAGCTGCAACTAGTCCAGAATGCAATGACCAGCCTGCTCACATGCTACTCCATTGCAGAGAGAGCTGCACTGATTGCCAATTTGCTACTGAGTTAAGTTCATGGCTTTTGTGTTAACAAAGTCCTGAACAACTTGGGCTGAAAGTACCTTACGGGCCACCTGATTCATTATGTGCCACCTTTATCATTGAGATCTTCTGATGGGGCAAAGTTGGCCATCCCCCATGCCCGAAGGTTAGCCAGTCTTTACCATTGGCAAAACACTAGTGTTGCAGGCCCTGCTCCACAGAACTGGCTTGAGTCATCTCCACTTACTTTAGATGTCTTCTGAAAACTCTATGGTTCAGACAGGACTTTGGAATTTGACTTTTTTTAAAAAAATGCATCATTTTTTATGGACATGTTACTTTTACTGATAGTGCCTTGTTATATTTCTTATGAGAAGGTGGTTTATAAATATAAACAAAACAGAAAGCCGAAAGTATCGGTTTGTCAAAAAAAATTACGGCATATGTATTGGTTAGCCATAATGCACAATTTTGATAGCGGTAGTGGGCTCTCCAGACTGCTTGGCCCCTTTTCTTTTTTTGCAAATGTATTCTACGACAGTTCAGTAACATGGGCCATATACACCCTACATTTAAACAAGGTTTCCCCAAAGAATTCTGGGAACTGTAGTTTGTTGATGACATTGGGAGTTGTCATGGGACAGGAAGTTGTTATGAGACAGGAAGTGAAGCAATTTGTCTGCCCCAAAACTTTTTCAGGTACAAACGGGAGGGAAAGCGGGATTGCGCATAATCAGCCTGATACCATCATGAGCACAAATCATCGTGAATGCAACAGTAAAAACAGACATCTGGAGGGACCAAAAGAGATAGAGAGGGAGAGAGGTGATAAAATGCACAGTGTTGATGTGGGTCAGAATAATAATAATAATAATAATGACTGCTCCCCGCTTAAAACGGGGGGCGCCCTTTGCGTGGACGCGTGCAGCCCTGGATCTGGAGCGGCCCCATCAGCATAGGCTTGGCTTTGCCTTCCCTCAGGTGGGATACCTGGAGGTCTCCACCTACCTCAGTCAGTTGTCCAATCCCACCTGGGGGAAGCGTTGCCAAGGAGACCAGGCCAGGTAGGGGAGGGATTACCTGCCCACACAATAGAGAGAGGATCTTACCTGGGAATCCTCACTTGGCTCCAGAGCTTCTCCCACCCTACCCACCCTCAGCTAATGTCTTCTTTTGCAGGTTAACTTTTCTTCATAGGTTTTGCAGGTTAACTTTTCTTCACAGGTATGCGGGCGCTGCTACGTTAAGGTCGCTGTTAAAGAGCAGGAAAGGAATTTCCCTGCATTGGCAGGTTTCGCCTTTCCCGTAGCAAAAATGTCACAACTTTGGCGGTATCAGGCCTTGGGCGGAATCCTTTAGTCCATCTTCCTCTTTGCGGCGGCGATACCAGGGTTCCCTGTTAAAGGGGTTTCTGAAGGGAGGCTTTGACAGTACGCCGAAAGGTTGTCATTGCTCTCCCCTGCGGTGGCGGTGTAACGGGGGCGGCTATCTCTGCTTGAACATATGTTCTCCAGAGCCGGCCCATCCCCCCCACACGCACTGGATAACCCTGAAGCTCCCTAGGTCCCCAGCTGGGGACTGGGGAGGGAGAACGCCCAATGCCTGAGCCAAGGTCTACCCACATTTGAAATTTAATAAAGTTGTGGCCCATTTAATCCCATAGCACGTTGTCTTGAGTCGTTATTCCACATGACGGGGGGGGGGGACTGCTCAGGATTTGGGGACTCCGCCTGTCCACGCAATAATAATAATGCTGGGCTTCATAAAATTCAAAATTTTAACAGCCAGCCTTTCAAGATGGTGAAAAACTACTAGTACTTTAACTGTTTAATGCCACAAGGGCATTCAGGCCATAATGTACCACACATATGTGTAAAGAAGAGAATGAGGTAGTAAATCTCAGCATGGTCACCAGGGCTCAATGATTAAGAGCAATAAAACATGTGCTGAACTATATAAGACTTAAAACCCCGAACACCAGAAAGTACATTTTATTTTATTTTTTAGTTTAAAATAGCAGTTGAAAAACCATTGTAATTGAGAAATGGCAGCAACAGGAATATGAGTGTGTATTATTTTATCATAATGGATTATATTATATTCATCTCCCCTTACCTAGCAATATTTTGTTTTTTGTGTAGTGACTAATAACGTTCTCTCCTGCTGCAATTTCTCTAACTCTTTGTGATGTTAGGAAAAGCCAAGAGATAATTAATAACCGTCCTGTGATGATAAGAGGATGGCTCGTAAGGAAATGAAAATGAATCACTAATGCGGTTCAGATATTGTAAAATAGGGGGTAAGATGCAAAAAAGGGGTTGCAGTCATAGCATACCATATGGGTAAAAGTGTTTGGCATGTCCTGAGGAGTTACACTCTGTAGGTATATATCTTAGTTCCATATCTCTATCTCAGTTGTTTTTCAAAACAGATTTACAAATAAGCTGCTGGAATATGCTAATCTCTGACACATCTTTATTTTAAGCGGTGTGGTTTTTGAGGTCGGTAGTGATCTATCAAGCAGGTAAACCTATTGAACCTCAGCAGGAGTCGCGTATCCCCTTTCACCACTTGAGGCAATACGGGAACTGCCGCTTTGCCCTGCTGCTGCCACCCCGACCTGCCACCATGGCCTGTTCTGCCACAGCCACACACCTTGCTGCATCTCCATGGTGGTGGAGAAGCAGCACTGCCCAGGGCACAAATTTCATGCAAGATCACGCCAATTTGGGGGCAAGATCTCATCCAAAATTGTCTGAGAGTTTGCATGCTCCACAGGATCTCACATGATTTCGGGTAAAATCTCACCCAAAATGAATGCCATCTTGCCCCAAATCAACGCTGATGGCAGCAGTGCATGTGCACCACTGGCAGAGGCAGGGGCCAAGCGGGGCACCCATAGGTGTGTCTCCTCAGAGGCTTCTGCCACCTGAGGCAGTGGCCTCATCCTGCCTAATGGCTGGGCTATCTCTGTGCCTTAGAAAACATTCACCATATAAGCTTTGTGGAGGGTACCGTTCTGTCACCTCAATTTTTTTATTTAAACTTTTATATCTGTTAAAAAATATTTTCTGTATATATAAATTAGCAAAACCCTGTTACAGTGCAATGCTTTTTTTTTAAAGGGAGGTGAATGCTTTCTCACCACCACCATTTTAACAAGTTTCTTCCCCCACCAATTAAATACTTTCATTCCACAATAAATGTTAGAAACTGTGGGTTTGTGGGCATTTCCTGGTTAACAACAGGTGATCTCACTTAAAGGAATAAGCAGTTAGAACTAAACAAATCATTTATTTAAAGGTCACTTTGATTTTTCTCTAAGTGACCACTCAGATGAATTGGACTTTCTCCCCCTCCCACAGCAACTATATGTCATGCCTACTAAAGTGGAGAGAACTTACTAGGAGGAATATGCAAAAATATCCTCGATTGTGTGGGAAGTCGGATGCAATTCTGTTTGTAGTGTACAGCAGAAGAGCAGTAGTAATTAGTGCTAGGAACATCAGCCTTGAAGCTGGATATGTGTGGGTGTTAAGGACATGCAGCAGTCATTGGAAAGTGGCAACCTTTCTGCTTGAGGGTGGTGCATTTGGGCCCACAGGCATTTCATTTTCCTCATTTCGTGATTCTGCCTCCCACAAATAGTTGAGCCAACAGGAGATCCAGCAGGTGTGTCCACAAGAAGAAAATGTGGCCTGTAGGGAAAAGCTGCAGATATTCAGCAGTAAATCATGTCACAAATTAGGCTTGCTCTGGGCAATGCTTCCAGTCAGAATTATTGCAGCCCTGCTGGAAAGGTGATTGACCCCTCCTCTCAATCCCACCAGGAGCTACTATGAGTGCAGGTGATATTTCAGTTATTAAGAAGGTTAAAATACCATACATATGTATTTCAACAGTCTCCTTTTTGTTCCAAAACATCACTGCTGATTATCAAATCAAGATATTATTCTTATTCTTATTCTTATTCTTATTCTTATTCTTATTCTTATTCTTATTAAAATCAGTTTCTTTTCCCTTTCCCCCCTGTAGTGTCAAACATGTATTGTTGTTACTTCAGTCCCTGGGTCAGTTGAGTCACATCACTATCACTAAAGCTAATATATAGAGCATAGATGGGCAATTTGTGACCCAAAGGCTGCCTTTTCTGCAGCCCTCACAGGCTCCTGAAACTCTGCTATTCTTCCATTCTATCACATATCTGTCCTTTCTTCTTGTTCATTCCTTCCCTTTTTTTCTGTGGTGTTGTCAAACAACTGGAAAGGGGCAGTACTTTACTCAGTGAAAAAGTTTACCAAAATGGTTGTATCACTTTGGGAAAAGACATCATCTCCAACTGCCTGTGCACAAATTGCCATCTCTCTCCCTCCCTCCCTCCCTCCCTCTCTCTCCCACACCCCCCACACCCCCACAGAAAGGAATAACTTCCAGAAGAGTTGCTATATTGGTCTCTTATACTTTAAAAAAACATAAATCCTTGGTGCACTAATTTTAGAGTAACTGCATCAAACCTAGTGGGACTTACTTCTGAATAGACTTGCATAAGGTTGGGGATTTATATTTGAGGCAGCCATGTTGAACATTGAAGCTGAGTAGCCTTCATACTGAATTAGTTAACAATTTTGTATATGGCACCTCCACTATTGCCCAGCAGAAAAAGAAATTGTATGTGATTCCTGACAGATTATCCCTTGACAGAAAAGAAAAGTTTGCCTGCTGCTGATTAAGAGTTTCTCTGAGGAAAACCTAAGGAACCAGTAGTGGTCTCTTTTCAGTAGCCTCAAGTAGTGTCAGTGGGAATGCAAATATAATCTCACAAGAGTACTCTATCAAGAATAATTTTAAGAATAAACACTGCACAGGAGGAGCATTTAATCAAGTGATGCTCAAAACCCACAAATTAGCTCCTTGTGAAGGAACACTGGAAAAGTCATGGTCTTTATACGGCTGAGGTGGAAAAGCTTTCGGTGTGCAGTGTGTAACACTTGTCATTTTGAGTAAGCCAAGCATCTCAGACAGGAGCTCGACAAGTGCCAAAGGAAGCCTTCCAAAACTCAAAAGAGAAAAAGCTCAATCCTCTCCTTCCTTCCAAAGTTATGATTAAATAACATCCCCACCAGCAGAGCTCACTCGTGTCCCAAGCTAGAGTGTTGGGGGGTGAAAGGAAGATCTCTGTGAAATCTTCTGAAAACACAAGCTGGTGGCTCCATTAGACTCCTTCAGCTGGGGGGCGCAAAGCCTTTGCTCCCCAGCTGAGCAGCCTGTGTCTTGCCACTGCACCCCCATTAGGAATGCAGCGCCACGCGACATGATACGCAAGTGTCAAGATTATGTCTCTGCAGATGCAAAGTTGAGTCGCTTAGGCCAGCGAAAGCAGCTTTTTCGAATTATCTCCAGACATTTTTGCTAGGCTGCCTGCCTCTCTCTAGATAAAAGCAAACAGGGTAGAATAATTTATAGGTAGAGGCCAATTTGCTTGCAAAGACACAAAAGACTGCTCCCTCTCTCCCCCTCCCCTTTTTTCAAAACAAGATGCATTGTGCCACATGTGAAATGGATAATTTAGGTTAAAAAAAGGCACCCCTTGCAATTTACTTTGGCCCTATTACCACATAGGCAGGACCACATCTATATTTTTTTTTAATCACATAGAAAAAACTGATAAAGGAATAAACAGAAACGGAATATCTCCTTTTTATTGTCAGATCTTGTAGAATTATTTCCTTCTGCAACATTGACTTCTGTTGACACAGTGCAGAGGTATGTAGCCATGAGTACTGATACCAGCCTGAAGGTACTCGTGGATTGTCAGTGGAGGCGCAGGTGGCCTCCCTGGCTAGCAGTGCTTGTTTCCAGTTCCAGCTGTGTCACAATCTGCAGCCCCTTTTGGACAGAAATGACTTGGCGGCTTTATTCCATGCTCTGGCAACTCCCAGAATGGTTTATTGCAAAGAGGTGTACATGGGGCTGCCCTTGAAACGGACTCTTACACTTTCACTGGTCCAAAACCCAGCAGCTGGCTTGCTGGCCAGGATTCCATTCAGGAGAGCTCATATAACCCCAAATTTCAAAGAACTGGACTCATTTCCAGTTCATTACTGGGCCCAATTCAAGGTGCTCACATTGGTCTTTAATGCTCTTAATAACTTAGGCTGAAAATAACCAGAATACCACCTCCTTCCCAGTTTGCGTGAAGACTGACAGATGAGACCACTTGGGAGATCTGCCACCCTCAGAAGTGTGGGGAATGATGGCTTGGGAGAGGGCTGTCTCTGTTGCAGCCCCTAAATTGTGAAAATCCCATCCCACAGATGTATGTCTAGAATCATCGTTCTATATCTTCCACATGTGCAGAAGACATACCATATATATTAGAACACAGCCTGTTCTTCTGATTGTAAAATGTTTTAACTGATTTCAATATTGTATTTTTGCAACCCAACCCATCCCATGAGCTTATTTTGAAGGGTGACTAAGAAATCCAATAAAATAATTCTAAAAGATGTTTCTAATAATAATCATAAAGGGGCAAATACCATACTGATTTTATCCCTTCCCAAATTTTCACCAGTATTTTACCTGTGTTCAGGTTGGATAGAGAGTGTGACTGTTTCAAAGCATGCATTTCTTGTGTGCTCTGGATTCCATCACAGTGTTCTGTTGTGCCAGAAGTGGTTTAGTCATGCTGGCCACATGACCCAGAAAGCTGCCTCTGGACAAATGCCAGCTCCCTCAGCCTGAAGTGAGATGAGGACTGAACCCCATAGTCACCTTTGACTGGACTTAACCGTCCAAGGGCCTTTTACCTTTTTTACCTTACTCCCAGGCCCAAAGTCTTGTCCAGGGGTCCTTTACTCCTTTTTGTGTGTGTGAAGTGGGCATTTAACTGATCTCTATATAGAGCTACAGCTGATGCTTCTGCAAAAATATACTCTTGTATGTTTATTTCTTATGAATTTATTTTACTTAAATACATACATATTTTTCACCTCAGAGCAGCTTGCACAGATCATTGCAAACAAGATAGCTCCTGGCTCAGACATACAGTCTAAAAGACAGGGCACAAAAGAAAAAGGGGTTGGGGAGGGAGAAGGGGAAAACAAAAGCAAACTCAGGTACTAGTTCCAAATGTTTATTATTTATTTATTTGTTTATTTAGTTCTACGCCTCCCCATTTTACCCTGGGATAGAAACCATTTAGGTAGCTACTGCTAGGTGACAGTTAAGGAAGATGCACAGACAGTAGTTCTCTCAGCAGAGACAGTGGAATCACTTGGCTTCCTTTCTCTTCTTCTGTTCTGTAGCCTGATTTCTGGGCTCCTCGTAAATAGAAAATCTCCATGTATTCCTTTTTGCCTATTAGTTGGTGACAAGGCACACCTGACGGACCCGTATCTCTTGAGCTGGGAAATAATACCAGCTCTGCGTGTAACAGGTACGTGCAGCGCACTTTCTTGAGAAATGAGTTGTCACGCTTGTCTCCTTAGCCCACACCATTAAAAAAAAAAAAAGTTTCAATTTTACAAGGTTTAAACTGAAACCACCTTGAGAAATGTGGCCTTGAGGGAAGGTGAATCAAGACACCAACTGCTCTGTTCCATAGCAGTCTCCTCTTCGAGAGGGAACACAGTTTAATATGAGTCCTGGAGCTGATCATCTGTTCCTTTCAGCCCAGTGGAGTGAAAATGGCATAGTGGTGGCCATCTGGAGGGAGATTATCTGGAATAGCAGCGCTCACAGTTTTCTATATTAGAGGAAGCCGAGATCCACTCATTCACAGGTGAACACTTCATCATTACGGACTCAGGGTTGACACCAGAGAACTCTCTAAAGCGTCAAGCTCAAGCAGGACACTGGAACACATTTGCTTAGCGGCACTGAGCAAATTACACCTGTGTTTCGCATGCTGCCCTGCTCTGCCATCTGCTTCCGAATGTAGTCAAAAGTATTTGCTTTATTTTGAAAAAGAGGAGCCCTTTGCAGTCTGTGCTCGATGCCATATCACTTGCAGTTTTGAAAATGAGATTGCGTGAGCTAATTCAGCCCACAGACATTTACATTCAAGGTCACTGCACAGGCCAAGTTGAGAAGTGGCCTGAGCCTTAACAAGTGTGGTGTGTGCAAGTGTTGTGAAATAAGGTGACCCACTGGCAAAAATGACTATACCTTTAGGAACATCTTGTTTGACCCAGTCTTGAAGCTTGACTTCTTTAGTCTGCATATTACAAGTTTATGACACAATGTGTTGAATTAGGTGTCATTTGCGATGAAGGATGGGATATCAGTTTAATAAAAGAAATAAATTTGCATGTGGGGGGGGATAATGAAATACCAAATAAAGGTGATAGATGTGTATAAAATTATTCATGGTGTGGAGAAATTGGATAGAGAAAACTTTTTATCTCTCTCTCTCATAAAGCTAGAGCCTAGGGCTATCCACTGAAGATGAATGCTGGAAGATTCAGGTCAAAAGAACGTACTTCTTAGTTAAACTATGGAATTGGTCTCACAAGAGGCAGCAATGACCACCAAGCTGGGTGGCTTTAATGGAGTATTAGCTTTATCCCCCATGAATTTTGTCTATCACTGGCTTTTAGCCATGAGGAGTATATTCTAACTCCTCTGTGGGAGATAGAAACACAAGTGGGGAGAGTGTTGTACTTGGGATCCACTTGAGGGCTTCTATAAGAATAGAATGTGCCACTAGATGGGCCACTGGCCCAACTCCGGGGATTATTCTTATGGAACATCTATCAATACTTTTTTTTTTGGTCTTTCTATTTATAAAAGGAGCTGTACTTATTAGCAATGTGCAATATTTTTCACGGACTTTGTACCATATTAAATGGTACAAAGAAATGCAGTAAAAAGAAAAGGCAGAGCCTGAAGTGGACTCTGGTCCACAAAAAACTAAATAGATTTTTTTAGCCTTTAAGGGGGGAGGCATTGTTAGGAGGTGGAGCCCAGGAACATGTCCCAGCTCTGTGCTCCTATGTCTTTTGGGCTAAGCTATATCTTGCCCCCTATTGCCCTCTTTTATTTTATTTTTTAGATTGCTTACAGGGCAGCTGGGTCCACTGCAAAGTGAACCCAATGTCTTAATCTGCCAGAGGCACTCTGTACATTTCTGTGAATTGGTGTTGAGGGCCTATACTTTGAATCCTTTACATGGTAGAAGTGTGCCCTTAGCAACCAGTCAAAATAGTATGAGGAATTACTCGCTGAGGTAATTTGTGCCCTGATTTGCTGTTCTGTTCTGAAGGAGTTTTCCCCTATATGTTTAGTGGTTAACGATTTCTGCTATAGATGAAGCCTAAGCTAAGAAAGGCAAAAGCTCTCTGTTTATTTCTCTTCATATTATATTATGTTTTTGTAGAGATTATCCTTCAAAATATTATCCACTCCTTTTCTCCCTGGACTCCATCCATGTTATTCAAATGACTCAGCTGACAATTGTCACTTATTCAATGGCATTTGATAAATAGCAGAGACAAACATTTTGTTTTTGTTTTTTATAATATTTTATTGGTTTTCATTATAACAAACATCTTATAACATTAAAAAATAAAAATTTGAATAACTGTATCATTTTGCATAATGTTTGTACATTCAATATAGTATCGAAATATGGAATTTCTCTAATCCCCCGACTTCCCTCTACCCCCTCCATGGTTCCATTATTTCATTGTTAAATCGTTCATGTCCAAATCATATTTCCATCCATCCATATCTATTTTTATCTATTATGCTAGTATTGCAAGTGTTTTTTTAGAACTCTGCTGATGTATTTACTTGTATACAATGCTTTGTCATATATGCAATAAAAGTTTCCCATTCATTTTTAAATTTGTTATCATCCTGATTTCTAAGTCTACCAGTTACTTTGGCCATCTCTGCATATTCCATTAACTTAATTTGCCGATCTTTTTTGAGGGCATTTTTCCTCTTTCCAGTGTGGCTGGTCTGATGGTCTCCCTCACTACCTCCAGAAGCAAACATTTTGGAGGTAGCACTGGTGAGGGAGACCATCAGTCATGATGTAACTAAGGTGCACATCAGAGTTTCATTGTTGTTTTAAAAATGTTCCTTCTTTGATCCCAACACCACCACTTAAAGAGAGCCCATCTTGCAGACCTGGGGAAATGGTAGGAATAGATGCCTTTGTTGTTTATCTCATCAAATACTGTAGCAATGCTGGAAACATGTTTGGGTTTTGAAGAAGTAACAAAGGGGGGGTGGATGAGACATTTGCAGCTGTATGAGAGCTCCCCCTACTGCTGGTCAGAAATAAACTCTTGTGGGCTCCTCTTGGATGGTGAATTCAAGGCATCAAGGTGGCTCTTGCTTCAAAATGTGAAGGTGCTGTAAATAGGTTTTGGTTAGCGGGTGTTGTGTTAAGCACAAGTTTTCGGTAGTTTGCATCACTCCAGCAAATGTTTCTCAGTTTGGAATGGTTGAAGCTGAACTAAAAATGAGAAGAGTAAAGGGAATGCAAAGCAAGCAAAGGGACAGCATCTGTGCTCTGTGCTTTAACAGAAGAAATAATGGTTGACTTCAATGCTTTTCCAGCAGTGCTCCTTTCTAGCATGTCTCAGACAGCATACTACAATTCCCAGAATTCCCTGGAAAGAGTGGTCAATGGTTAAACCACTCTGGGAACGGACGCTGCTTCAAATGTATAGTGTAGATGGAGCCCATGACTAACTCAGACCCATTCGTTTCAGTGTGCCTTCTCCAAGTAAAAGCTAGTTGAATACAACTCACTGTGGTTGAGAAACCAATGTGAGTATAATGAATGAATAATCAGTCTAATATGATTTTAATGAATGATTTGATTAACAATGCATCTGAGATCTTTAATAATGGAAACGCATGGGATTGAGAATGGGGAAAAAACAACACCACCAGATTTATGCACCGCTATCAAATATGATGTACGGGATAGGCATATTAAATCTAGATGCTCCTTACTACAATGGTGGCTTGTGAAAAGACATTTGGATGTCATGGCTGACCAGGATTTGAATCTTGGTTTCCCAGTAATCTATTCACTCTGGTACTTGAGAGCTGAATTCAGGGTCCCTGAGCTAGTCAGGTTTGAGACAAATAAGCTATGCCAGCAATGTAGTGTAATGCTCTAAAGCAGATACTCAAATATGCCATATTTTGTTCCAGAATTATTACTCATTATCGGACAGACAGACAGCTGAGCCTGGGAGGATACTGGGGCCCTTGTGTGCAAGTGGTTGTCATGATTAAGATGGAAGAATTCAAGTGAAATTAATTATTGGAACCTTTTCTTTTCTTTTTTTGTCCTTTTGTTATGCAGTTCCGTGCATAGTTTTCTCATGCAGCATGTGGCCTATTTTCACTCTCCAAAGCTTTAATTAGAAAGCCTGGTTAAAAGCAAATTAATCTTACTGCGATGTCATACTCTCCTACATCTTCACATGCAGGGTACAGAATATAAGGAGAGATCTCATGTGCACTCAAGCATCCAGCACACGTAGATCATCTTTGGAAAATCAGATAAACATGCAATGAGTTTTAAGTGGGGTTAAGCAGATGTGATCCCCACATATTTACGGAAGATCTGAAAAGTGATATGAAAAATGCTTGCTTTAAAATTACCTCCATCTACTTGCCCGTCCACCAAATAAGAGGTAGAAATGTGCAAAAAGACTGAGATTGTTTTAAGCTTTAAAGTTTTTGTGTTGGTTCATAAGTTTGTTCCAATTGTATGATCCCATGGCTACCATACGGGGAAAATACAATTAAAAAGTTTATCAGTTACCAACAGGAGATAATATTAAAGGAAGCTTATGAAAGTGAAAGCTCCCCTCCCTTAACTTTTTTCTTAATTACTTCCATTTTTTTAACCACTTCCCATAAAATATCTTGATGTGGTTTCATATCAACAATAAAAACAATGCAAAAGAATTCCATATTAAAATGTCCATATTTGCAAACAATTAAAACATCTCTCTGTGTGTAAATATCTCCACTTTAAAGGATTATTGAAAAAGGAAGTTCTTCAGTAAGTGCCAAAGAGACAACAGAGGACCTCTCTGATATGTAATAAGGAGTTCCAAAGGGGAGATCCATCCATGCTAAAGGCCCGATTCACATTTTACTGTATCTGCAGGAGACCCTGTCCTGCAAAGTACAGTGATCAGTTAGCTAGCTATATATGGCATGAAACAAACCTTTTAAATACGTTTTAAAAGGAATAAGAAAGGAAAGTTTGTTCATTCTTGCAGCTTACTTTTAGCAAAATAAGATTATATGATAGCAAAACAGTTTGAAATTGTGCAATAAAAGGAGCAGGAGTAGATTTAACTCGGACTCAAAGAATCTGACACAATAACAACTGCCTTTAGAAAAGGAACCCCAGTGTAGGGGAAACAGCTTTTGACCGCTAAAGGAAGAGAATATGATGGTACCTTTTCATGACTATAATTACCTAGCTCTAAACTTCTGTGTATGAGAGATTTAAGCAATTTGCAGCAAAAGAGCAGCATGGCAAAAACATTGTTGCCACAGTGGGCAGAAAAGTAAGCAAAGATACGGTATAATTCCTCTCTGTTTAATTCCTCTGCACCCTGGATATTTATTATTAAACTTAATGATGGGAGGGAGAGACTTCTCAGCCTTATTAATGTAATTACCGTAATCTATTATCAGCTTGTGAGAATAAGGAGGTATTTAGTCTGAAATCTGACGTTGCTTCCAGATGACCTGTTTATTGAGCATTCATCCATTTGTTGGGGATGCTATACCAGCCACATTCACAGCATATATTTAAAGCACTATAATGCCACTACAAATGGTCATAGCTTCCCACAAAGAATTATGGAAACGGTAGTTTATTATGGATGTTTAGAGTTATCAGGAGGCCCCTATCCCTGCTCCCAGAGCTACAGTTCCCGAGTGGTTTCACAATCAGGCCCTCTTCACAGAGAACACTAGAAATGGCAATTCTGGGAGGGAACAGGCAGCTCCTAAACAACTCTCAGCACATTTAGCAAACCACAGCTCCCAGAATTCGTTTTTTTTGGGGGGGACTCTTATTTTCAACTGCTTTCATAGTGTTTTCATTGTGTGCTGTGAATGCACACGCAGTACCAGCTATTTATTGAACATTCATCTGACTTGTTTGTGGGGAGGTTCTCTGGCATTATGTCATGCAATTGTTATCCCACAATTTCCTGTGCACTTTATTGTCACTTTTCTTGCCAGAAAGTCTGATTTCTTTTTTCTTCTTCTTTTGGGTGGGGGAGGGCAGATTTGTTCCACAAGAGCACCAAATCCATCTTAATAGTAAAACCTGAATTTGCCAATATGAGAGTGAGGCTGTGTGCATACACATGTATATTCAAAGCACATTTCCCACCCAAAGAATCCTGGAACAATAGTTCACCCCCCCACCACCAAGCAACAGTTCCTGGGACCCTTAACAGAATTCACAGAATTCTCTTTGGGAGGGGGGTTGCTTTAAATGTATGCTGTGTATGCAGCCTGAATCCCACCTGCAAAATGGGAAGTTCCCAGAGAAAATAATATTCAAACCAAATTTTGGCATGCAAAGCCCGTGAGAGTAAAAGCAACAGTGCACAAGTCCTCATTTCCCCAGCCCTCCTCCTTTTACTTTTGAATGTGTTTGCATTGTATTCTGTACTTTGAAAGCCCAGGTTGGTTCTTTCTTCTGACACATAACGAGACTTCCCCTTGTATGTATTTACTGTCGGTCATTAAAAATGGAGCTAAGCAGTTTGCGGCTCAATTTTACAGGGTAGATCTAACTTTCTTCTCACATCTGCGAAGACGTGCTAGCAGCCAATAACACTTTTATACAATACTCCCCCCCCCCACACACACCTCCCTGCTCTTGATTACATAAAGATTGTGCTAATCACTTCGAAAAGCCAAAACACATTTTAAACAGTCTCAGGGGGATGACTATTTTCAAAGCTAATCCTTCTCTACAATTAAACAGTTATATGCTAAGCCTGTGAGAAATTAAAGGAAGCCTCGTTTTCCTTCCATCTTCTGCACCTTGAGTCAATAGGAGAGTGGTAGGTCAGTAGACAGAGAATCTGTGGCACTCTGGATGTTGCTCAACTCCAACTCTCATTGGCTGCACCCAGGGCAGTGGGATTCACAGTCCAACTGAATGGCCCCTGGACCCCCAACCCTGTTATAAGACACCAGGACAGCACTGAATGAATCAAAGCAATGCAAACAGAGCTTAGTTCCTAGGCATCAGGCAAGGCATATTTTAACATAAAAAAAAAGCTAGACAGAAAACCCTTGCTGCTCTGCAGCCAGAGCCCTCATGCTGATGCTTAAGTATGAAGAAGGGAAAGGATTCAGCAGAGCACATGGTTTGCATGCAAAAGGTCCCAGGCTCTCTCCCCAACATCTCCAGGTAGGGCTAGGAGGGAAACTCTGAAGAGCTACAGCCTGTCAGTGTAGACAGGACTGAATTAGAAGGACTGATGGTCTGACTTTGTATACAGCACCTTTTATGTTTTTTGTTTTGTTTTTTATAAAATGTTTATTAGGATTTTACAATAAACATAGGTTTAACAAACTAAAAAGAAAACATAGACAGAAAAAGAAAAAAGATAACAAGAAAAATACCAAAAATTACCAAAAAAAGAAAAAAAATCCTAGAAGGAAAAAAAAAAGAAAATACAAAATACAAAAAACAGATGGCTAAAAAAGAAAAAAATTAAAGAAAAATCCATTTTTCAATATCTTTAGGCTCATTTACTTATTTCCTTGACCTCCTCACACCTCCCCTTTTTGTATTCCCGTTTACAAATTCCTTTCAGCAAATCCTTACCCTCTTTCATTTATCTTTACTCTGTGTCTTAACCTATTATAACTATATATTTTCGTCCATATGACTATCTATATTTGCATATTCTTTTTAACCTTATTACCAAAACCACTTATTTTCAATCCAACATCATTTTAACATTCATTAATTTTACAGTATTTCTGCAAATAGTCTTTAAATTTCTTCCAATCTTCTTCCACCAACTCTTCTCCCTGGTCTCGGATTCTGCCAGTCATTTCCGCCAATTCCATATAGTCCATCACCTTCATCTGCCACTCTTCCAGGGTGGGTAAATCTTGTGTCTTCCAATACTTTGCAATAAGTATTCTTGCTGCTGTTGTTGCATACATAAAGAAAGTTCTGTCCTTCTTTGGCACCAATTGGCCGACTATGCCCAGGAGAAAGGCCTCTGGTTTCTTCAAGAAGGTATATTTAAATACCTTTTTTAATTCATTATAAATCATCTCCCAGAAAGCCTTAATCCTTGGGCACGTCCACTACAGGTGAAAGAATGTACCTTCAGTTTCTTTACATTTCCAACATTTATTATCGGGTAAGTGATAGATTTTTGCAAGCTTGACTGGGGTCATGTACCACCTGTATATCATTTTCATAATATTCTCTCTTAGGGCATTGCATGCCGTAAATTTTATACCTGTGGTCCACAGCTGTTCCCAGTCAGCAAACATGATGTTATGTCCAACGTCCTGTGCCCATTTAATCATAGCAGATTTAACCGTCTCGTCCTGAGTGTTCCATTTTAACAGCAAGTTATACATTCTTGAAAGTATCTTTGTTTTAGGATCTAACAGTTCTGTTTCCAACTTTGATTTTTCCACCTGGAAGCCAATTTTTTTGTCTAAATTATAAGCCTCTCTTATTTGATAATAATGAAGCCAGTCTCGCACTTTATCTTTTAGTTTCTCAAAACTCTGCAATTTCAATTTGTTATGTTTCTACCACTATGCTGGTATCAGGGGTTTTACACCACCAGGGCTCCCAATCCCAAGAAGTGTTCTAAGTACATTCAGTGAATATGCTCAGAATCCCCCTTGAAGATCAGAAATGAAGCCGGCAGGGTCTGGCATGTTAGGGGGAGCACTTTGCTTCCCCTCGGCATGTTCTTTAAACATCTAAATACTGGCTCCAGCCCTTTGGCCCTTCAGCTTTCCTGCAAAACCATTACTCACACATATCAGGGGAAGCTGCCCCCCTCACCCAGATTTTTGATTAATGGTTTTAATGTAAGCTTCAGGAAGAGAACCCTGGTGAAGATTATGTGTGATGTAAATAAGTCAGTTTTAAGTTTTGATTCGAATGACTGAATGGATCAATTAAATCAGTACATGGAAGGAGCATCCTTAAGCTGTGCCTTGTACATAGTTTACAATACATTGTGACACAGAAAAGCAATCAAGGCTTTGAAAGGCTGGAAAAAGGATACAGTTGAATGATGATCCTGTCTCCACTATTAAATGGAACAAATTTATTTAAAATATACATTTGTACAAGAGTATTGGCACACTGGAATAGATTTGCGTCTTAAGGTTTCACACAATCGTGTTTTTGAGTCAGAAGTACAGATCCTTCAGGATTTGATTGATCCTGTAAGATTTGATTGGTTGTTTTGCTACATCACTTGAGCTGCAGTCCTAAACAAGAAGGCATACTTTGCTGCCTCCATTGCATCCTCATTATACTATTCAGCAGCACTTTTCCTGGTAGTATGAAGCCTTTTTCAGTCTGGAGATAGCAGAAACAATAGCTGACTGTGACTTGTTTGCAAAGCATTTTGAGGATAACATTGCTTTCATCCACTACAATCTTTATTCTGCTGTTACAGCATATGAATCTCAAGGGGTGTCCAGAACACTATCCTGTTGTGTTGGTCGAGTTTCAATCAGTAAGGCTGGGGTAAAAGGACCCCTGGATGGTTAAGTCCAGTCAAAGGTGACTATGGGGTTGTGGTGTTCATCTTGCTTTCAGGCCAAGGGAGCCGGCATTTGTCCACAGACAGCTTCCCAGGTCATGTGGCTAGCATGACTAAACTGCTTCTGGTGCAATGGAACACCGTGACGGAAACCAGAGCGCACAGAAACACTGTTTACCTTCCCGCCGTAGCGGTGTCTATTTATCTACTTGCACTGGCATGCTTTCGAACTACTATGGGAGCAATGGGAGTTCACCCTGTCACGGGGATTCAAACTGCCGACCTTCAGACCGCAGCGCCACCCACGTGGTCAAGGTGCTTGGATCAGTCAGAGTGACTGCTTGCTCTCTGAATCCTTGCCCCTCTTGGTTGATAAAAACTAGCAGGCAGGGGACAGCTGGCTGGGCCAGGGAGGTGATTAATGACTCCTTGTGAAAGGGGGTTGTCCCTGCCTGCTTGAAGGAGGAAGTGGTATGATCACTCCTTAATAAACCCTACAGCTTCCAATCACCCCTACTTGGGCAAGGTTCTTGAACTGGTGGTTGTGGACCAGATCCAGGTGCTCTTGGAGGAAACGGATGTTCTAGATCCATTTCAATTGAGATTTAAGCCCAGTTTGGGCACAGAAACTGCTCTAGTCACCCTCTATGATGACCTCTGTCTGGAGAGAGACAAGGAAATGTGTCTCTGTTAACTCTACTTGACCTTTCAGTGGCTTTTGACCATGGTATATTTCTGGAGCAGCTGTCCAAGTTGGGGGTGGGTGGCATGGCTTCCAGTCCTACTTGGATGGTCTTTTCCAGAGTGTGATGTTTGGGAAGTGCTAGTCAGCTTTGTGGAGCCTTCATTGTGGGATTCCTCAGGGTTTGTCTTTATCTCCCATGCTGTTCAACATCTACATGAAACCACTGAGTGGGGTGATCCAGAGTTTTGGAGTACGCTGTCTGCAATAAGCTGATGACACGCCGCTCTACTTCTCCTTTACATCTGCGGGTGTAGCAGTGGATGTGTTGGACTGCTGCATAGACTGGATTAGAGCCAATTAACTGAAGCTCAATCCAGATAAGTTTGACACACTGTTAGTGGGTGGTTCCCTAGACCAGATGGATGGGAGGTAGCTGAAGAAGAAGAAGAGTTTGGATTTGATATCCCGCTTTATCACTACCCAAAGGAGTCCCAAAACGGCTAACACTCTCCTTTCCCTTCCTCCCCCACCTCAAACACTCTGTGAGGTGAGTGGGGCTGGGAGAATTCAAAGAAGTGTGACTAGCCCAAGGTCACTCAGCAGCTGCATGTGGAGGAGCGGAGACACGAACCCGGTTCACCAGATTACGAGTCTACCGCTCTTAACCACTACACCACAGCTGACCCTACACTTCCTCAGAACGTAGCTTGGGAATACTCCTTTTGTCTATGCTCTAGGGTAGATTACTGCAATGTGTTTTACGTGGGGCCGCCTCTGATGACGGTTCAGAAACTTCGGCAGGTGCAGAATTCAGCAGCCAGGTTGCTCACTGAGGAAAGACGATTTGAGCATATAACACCGATCCTGGCCTGACTTTACTGCCAGTTATTTTCCTGGCTTGTAGCACTGGGAGTAAACCCCTTTGGTTCCGGCATTTCTGAGCTGATTTGCATAGGATTGCTACTGTGGGTTAAGTCATGGTAAAAAAGCCCCCGGCTATCATTAGTTTTAAGCTACTTTTCTCCCAGCACTTTTCCCCTGGCATCGAATCACTGCATCTCTCTGCTGCTAGCGACTTGCTTTATAAACATAGTGGGTGATACAGCTTCTGCCCTGAGGAATGTACAGTTGACAAAGGTAATTGCAGAGGGAAACAAAGCAGCATCGATCGGGCTGACAGTGGACACATGCACACTGAAGCCATATGCGCTGGTTATTGGTTCCATTTCCACTCCACACACTTCGCCCTGCCTTCACCCCTCCTCTTTCCTTCCTCATTCATCACGTTTGTCTTCTCTGCCTCATGCCTGTGGCTTTGGCCTGTTCCCTTTCTAATTCTAAATTCCATTAGTAATGAGGCAGAAAGGCAGGTGTAATTAAACTTGTGTCAAGAGGGATATGAACAAGGAGAATGCAATATTCTGGTGAACAGGCTTTATAGGGTAGTTTCCTATTAATGTACTAAAATGTGGGTGAAGCTAACCCAGACTTTAGCTAGAGACATAATATTTCTTGAAAAGCTTTGTTGTTGGGGAGAGACATTGGGGGGGGAATGAAATATATAAAATACTGGATTTCTAATCATACTTACTTTACTACTTTAAGAATATGGAATGTACTGTGTATGACATAGGACATAAAACTGCATTTTTGGAGGGGTATATTTGGATCCATTTAAAAGTATAAATGCCTTTGAACCATAGAGATCCAAAATAGATATATCTTAGTCTCTGCTTATTAGGAAAAATAGAAGTGTCAAATTTGTGAGAGAAAGGATAGCCATAGAATGAAGCAAAGACAAATATCAGAGACTGAAAGGAGAAAACTGACATTCATAGGACAGGCAACAAACCATAAGGAAGAATGGGGAAGGGGAATCATGTGATTGGAAAAGAAAGATATAATGCACAATTGTTAAAAACGAGGAAGTTGGAACATTTTTCTATCTAAAGAAAATGGAAAATCAAGAGAAATAAAGTCCTGATAGATAGAAAAACTTGGATAAGGTGTGTAGGTTAGAAGAGCAGTAAACAATAAGTGCTTCAAAGTACATTGTGTGAGCTTCAGTAACAATAAATTAATTATTGTAATGATATATACATAAAAGTATAGAAACCCTGTGATGGGGGTGGGATAGTAGTACACAGGAGAAACAATAAATTAGAAAGTAAATAGAAAATGCTAAAAGAAAGAATGGAATAAGTATAGAAAATGGGAGAAATGGAGGCATTATAACAGTTTGAAAAGGGGAATATATGAAAATGAATGACAGCCATCCATATGTTCCATGAAATGAGCACCAAGCCAAGTTACAAAGTTAATAGAATGAACTCAGTGAGCGGAAGAATTGTATAAGTAAGTAACTGAAAGAAAACCAGAGGCATTTAAAAAGCATTAAAGCATTTTGACATTTCACCCTGAAAAAGCAGTAACAATAGAGGAAAGACATCAATAAGAAAAAGAACAGTATTCGTTTCAAGCTAGGTCACCAAGTATTTGAAAACAGTTCAGAGCAGAGTAGCATATATAGTGTAGAAAAGAAAAGAAATGAAGGGGGAGGAATCACAAGCGTTGAAAAATACGCTGAAAAATATTATAAAATATTTAAAACACTAGGGATGGTGGAAGCATTTCAAGTGAGAGGGTCAAAGTTGTGCAAGAGAAACTAGTTGAATGGGGTGGGGGATTTTAAATGGGACCCAGTCCACTTTCAAGCTGGGCTAAATTCATAATAGAGCTTTCCTCGTATTTCATCTGCTCCTTTCCCCCTCCCTCTTAGTTACTTTTCATGCCCATTCCTTAACAGACTACAAGGACAAAAATAAAAATAGCAAAATATAAAACCCCACCCCATATCCCCTTGTTTTAAATAATTATTTAATGTAATTATTTAATGTGATTTGATTTTTATCTCACTACATCTGAGTAAAGGGCAAATCCTTACAAATAGTACTGATATTGCATAGAGAACATAATATCAGAAAGATCCATAACTTCTTATTCTTTGACCACGAAGTTCATGGGCTTCAGAAAACAGATTTGCATGAATTGAAAGGGTAATAATAATAATAATAATTTATACTCCGCCCATCTGGGTGGCTCCCAACAGAATATTAAAAACACGATAAAACATGTTTAGACAGCCAGGTTTTACCCTAATTTACTCAGTGCCTATTTGTATCATTAGCTGGACTCGACTCCTACCTTTCTTAAAGTAGCATGTGCCTCTCTGAGGGGATTCTCATTTTATTTGGAATGATTGAACGGAAGGCAAATGGATAGACCAGTGTAATGTGGGTAGATTATCACTCTGGGAAACCTGAGCTCACGGCCCCATTCTTGTGCCCATCGCTGTCTCTTAACATAACCAACCTCACTTGGCTTTTGAGGGAGTAAAATGAGGCGGTGAGGTAACTATGTGTGCCACTCTGTGATCCTTGGAGGGAGGGTGGGGTGAAAATGAACATAGTTTAATTGGGTTTGCTTTTTTAAGGGAGAAGGCAATTGGGAGACGTGTCGTTGCACACACAAATGTAAGGTTGTGGTCATCCAGCAGGAGCATTGTTGCAAAAGTGGGTTTAAAGGTAAAGGGACCCCTGACCATTAGGTCCAATCGTGACCGACTCTGGGATTGTGGCACTCATCTCGCTTTATTGGACAAGGGAGCTGGCGTACAGCTTCTGGGTCATGTGGCCAGCATGACTAAGCCGCTTCTGGTGAACCAGAAACGCCATTTACCTTCCCGCCGGAGCGGTACCTAGTTATCTATTTGCACTTTGACGTGCTTTCGAACTGCTAGGTTGGCAGGAGCAGGGACCGAGCAACGGGAGCTCACCCCGTCGTGGGGATTCGAACCGCTGACCTTCTGACTGGCAAGCCCGAGGCTCTGTGGTTTAACCCACAGTGCCACCCACGTCCCTAAAAGTGGGTTTACGTGGCTGTAATCTGAAGACTCTGAAAACCTTCCTTTAGTTTATTTGTGTGTGTTTTTAAAGGGGGGGGGGTCATGATGGCCAATCTGGTTGGTATCATTTAGAAGGGAGCCCAGGCACGTTAAAGAATGATAAACTGTCACAGAAGATGTGTGTTAGAATGTAATCCTGTTAAAAATGTCTCTGCAGTATCACAGCATCTTACATAATTGAAAAGGAACTGGTCCTCTATGACAGAGGCGGCTTGTAAGAGATCAAAGCCTCAAACAGTGCATTAGGTAATCTGTCCATTTCCACAGGAGCACAGGGCACACCAGTGAGGCAAAAAATGAATTTTCTGCCTTAACCAGGTGTGAGGCTATGATTTGGATTGTGCTGTGAAAAACAAAATAGATCAGTTTATTTAGCTAGCTAATGTCGGCATCTCCCCCCTCCATGCGCACACGAACACACACACACACACACACACACACACACACACACACTTGATACAGTTTGGGTAAAATCCTGGCAGCTGTTAATTACCTACAATTCAATTAACAGTGGGAGCTTAATGTGTGCCATACTTCTCTCTGTACTTTACTCTATTATATAAGTTACTGTAAGATCAACTAATGCCATCAGTTCAAACAAATGTATTGAAATGTAAGTAATGGAAGCATTGCCCCCTTATTAGAAAATACAAATTAATCATCAAGCGTGAGATCTTTCATAACCAGCATTATCCCAGCATGCTTTAAGGAACTAAATATTTCAGCTTTAAATTTAAATAATGAATAATGCCAGAGGGAGAAAGCAAAATTAGGACTGCTTTGAACATTACTGGCTGAACTGCATGGTAAAACCTTTCCAAATGGAACAGAACACTCTCTCATTTATCATCCCCAGCATCAGGTCATCAAAGATACTAGAGGTAGTATTGTCATTGTAACTACTAGCCGTTGATAGCTTCATCCTCCATGAATCGGTCTGAGCCACTTGTAAAGCCAGTCAAGTTGGCGGCCATCCCTACATAATGTGGGACGAAGTTCCACAGTTATATTGTACTACGAGGACAATATTCTCAGGGCTGGTACTACCATTAGGCAAAGTAAGGAAGCTGCCTCAGGTAGCAGTCTCTGGGGGGCAGCAGGGGCAGCCCCAGCCATTTCTCTTTGCATGACATCAGAGCTGCGTGTTCTACAGAGCCTGTCCCTGTAGGTAGGTAGGTAGGTAGGTAGGTAGGTGTACATATTGCATAACATTTATACACAGCTTGATTGTACAAAACTTCAAAGCTGTTTACATTAAAATAAAGAAAAATTCACAACCATACTTTAAAACATGCATGCACCCTCTAAACTAGCCTGCTGCTCTCAAAGTCAGTGGAGGATGCTATCCTATTGCCAGTATTAAAGTAAGATCCAATCAGCTTCTTGCATGCAAAATGGGGAGGTGCCATCTTGTCCTCTGCTTCAGGTGGCAAATAGTCTTGGGCCAACCTTGTATGTGTGGTGTCACTGGAAAAGCTTTGTATGCAGAAGGTCCCAGGTTCCATCCTCAGCATTTTCAGGCAAGACTGAGAGAAGACTCTCAGTCAGAAATCCTGTCAAAAACCCTGGAGAGCCAGTGCCAGTCAGTGTTAACAATACTGAGTTGACGGACTATTGGTCTGACTCGCTATAGAACGGTTTGCTATGTATTGGATGGGGCGGTTGGGGAATGTTTGTCCTGAATCTCCCAAACACCCAACCTCATTAGATGACTCCACTTTCTGGCGTTTTGAGAGGAGAAGAAAAACACCACTCCCATTTTCTCCACACAATGCATGGCTTTATTATGCACCTTGGTTGTATTGGGGTAGCAAGCAGTACCTAACTTTGAGGTGCACCACAGTCACTGCTGCCCCCAAAATCCTACCAGGAACTCTGTGCAGCCTAAAACTCTAACCTGAGCTTGCTGCCCACTGTTATGTCATTAGCCTGGGAACCAATTATCCTTCTTGCTTCCCCAGCTGATTTTTCCACTTGGCTTTAGAAGCCGGAGGAGAGGGAGAGGGAGAGAAGCCGCCTAGATTATTTATGTTACCATTTCACAAAGTTAATGAATTTCTGTGCACAGGATGTTTGTCAGTTAACAATGCCACATTATTTATTTTCCCTTCTCTCCCTTTCTTAACAGATTTCTCAAATCCAGCCTCAAGCTAAAATGAATGCCTTGCCGACTGAAGGAAACTGAGGACCCTGTCACCGCAGCCAACAGAAGTACTAATCCAGCCGTCCTGTCCGTCTCTGGTTGACGTTTGGCACCTTGCTCTGGGTTACCTGTACGGGACACAGTTACCTTAGCATTCAGCATACATGGCGAGAGGCAACAACATGTGTAAGCCTGGCTAGCAGGACAGCGACTTTCCAAGTGAAAGGCCATCCAATTATAAACGGATTATTTTGCATTTCGCCTCTGGGACGTTACCTCTTACCTGCATAGAAACACAGCATCTCTTTCCATATTTTTTTTTTACTTCTTTTTGCTAGCATTTCCCCCCTTTTTTCAGTATTTTGTTTCTTCATTTAGAAATGGGCCCGTGGACTAGAATGTGGCCCGTGGACAGGGTTGTTTTCTTTAAATCATGGCTTGTCTTTTCTCTGGGCCTCTCCATGCAGTTCTCCAAAGCTCTGGCCTGTCCAAGTGTGTGCCGCTGTGACCGGAACTTTGTTTATTGTAACGAGCGAAGTTTGACCTCAGTGCCTCTTGGGATACCGGAGGGTGTAACTGTACTCTACCTCCACAATAACCAAATTAATAATGCTGGATTTCCTGCAGAGTTGCACAATGTCCAGTCTGTGCACACAGTCTACCTGTATGGCAACCAGCTGGATGAATTCCCCATGAATTTGCCCAAGAATGTCAGGGTTCTCCACCTGCAGGAAAACAACATCCAGACCATTTCTCGGGCTGCTCTAGCACAGCTCTTGAAACTGGAAGAGCTGCACCTGGATGACAATTCCATCTCTACCGTAGGGGTTGAGGATGGGGCATTCCGGGAAGCTGTTAGCCTCAAGCTTCTATTCTTGTCCAAGAACCACTTAAGCAGTGTGCCTGTTGGCCTTCCAGTGGACTTACAAGAACTACGAGTCGACGAAAACCGCATTGCCATCATATCAGACATGGCCTTCCAGAATCTCACAAGCTTGGAACGTCTCATAGTAGATGGCAACCTCCTTAACAATAAAGGCATTGCAGATGGCACCTTCAGCCACCTATCCAAACTCAAGGAATTCTCTATAGTACGGAATTCACTAACATACCCTCCCCCTGAACTCCCAGGTACAAACCTGCTTAGGCTTTCTCTCCAGGACAACCAGATTTCACACATACCACTTTCAGCCTTTTCAAACCTCCACCAGCTGGAGAGACTCGATATTTCCAACAATCAGCTCCGGATGCTGTCCAGAGGTGTCTTTGACAACCTTCGCAACTTGAAACAACTCACAGCAAGGAATAATCCCTGGCTATGTGATTGTAGTATTAAGTGGGTCACCGAATGGCTCAAGTTAATCCCTTCCTCTATCAATGTGCGAGGGTTCATGTGTCAAGGACCAGAGCACGTCCGAGGCATGGCTGTCAGGGAACTCAACATGAATATGTTGTCATGCCCCACAACCACCCCTGATCTGACGCTGGTTACCCAAGCTCCCTCTACATCCCTACCAACCACAGTAACCCCTACGTCACCGGTCTTTACACCAAGTAACAAACACACTCCTCTTCCCCACACTGTAGCCACACTCCCCACTGTGCCTGAGAGGGACGATGAAGAAAAAGTGACCCCTCCCATTACTGAACAGTTCCAACTCTTCATCCACATTGTGAATGACACTTGCATCCAAGTCAGCTGGCATTCCCTTTTCAACGTGATGGCCTACAAACTGACCTGGGTTAAAATGGGCCACAGTCTGGAAGGCGGCATCATTCAGGAACGGATAGTTAGTGACAAGAGGCAGAACGTTAGCTTGGCGAGCCTAGAGCCCAAATCCACATATCGGATTTGCTTGGTCCCCTTGGATGATTTTAATAATTACCGAGTTGGCGAGGACACCGTCTGCTCTGAAGGCACCACCAAGGCTTCCCTGCTGAGCAATGGAAGCAACACGGCTTCCAGCCACGAACAGACCACTTCTCATAACATTGGGTCCCCGTTTCTCTTGGCAGGCTTGATCGGGGGGGCCGTGGTGTTTGTACTGGTGGTCCTGCTCAGCATCTTCTGCTGGCACATGCACAAAAAGGGACGCTACACCTCTCAGAAATGGAAATACAACCGGGGCCGGCGGAAAGATGACTACTGCGAAGCAGGGACCAAGAAGGACAACTCCATCCTGGAGATGACGGAAACCAGCTTTCAGATTGTCTCCTTAAATAATGATCAGCTCCTTAAAGGAGATTTCAGACTGCAGCCCATTTATACCCCAAATGGGGGCATTAACTACACAGACTGCCACATCCCCAACAACATGCGCTATTGCAACAGCAGTGTCTCAGACCTGGAGCACTGCCACACGTGATAGTTGAGGGGGTTGTGTGGCGAGACACCTGACGCTGAGAGCAAAAACTCAGAGGGAGGAAAACAAAACAAACCTACTCACACAAAACAAACAAAACAAAACAAAAATTACATTTGATAAATGTTACACAGATGCATTTGTGCATTTGAATAATCTGTAATTTATATGGTGTACTATATAATGGGATTTAAAAAAAAGTGCTATCTTTTCTATTTCAAGTTAATTGCAAACAGTTTTGTAACTCTTTGCTTTTTAAATCTTAAAAGAAAAATATATTGCTGAAGTACTGTACAGGGTTGTACAATAAGAACCCAATGCCATGGCAAAGGAAAGAACACCTCATTCTTCAAACATTAACCACTTTGCTTTCTTGGAGCTGTTTGGGGGATAGCAGCTCGTACATTTTCCAGTAGTTTTAGGAGATAAGTTTGTATTAAATGAGGAATCATGTGGAATGTCTAAGGTAGAGCAAATGACAGGAGAAATACAAATTAACCTTCTCTTTTGGTTCATAAAATCGGAGTAACTCATGTTAAACTTAGTTCATCACTTCTACCTGCCTCTGTACCTTTTAATTCCCCCCCTCCAGCCAGAGAAGAAATTAGGGCCTTTTTGGTATCAAACACTATGAATCTCCACCATTGTTTATGTTGATAGCTTTTCTTCCCCCCACAGGATGCTCATAATGCATCTGTCCCTCCTCGCAAAAGCTGATGTGAAAATATTCAAGGCAAAATCTTAGTTTGTTTTTAAGTTCTCATAAAAATCAGGACATTATTTTAAAAAAGAAAATCCTGGCCAGTCTTGTCAGAACTTTTAGTCTACATTCAGATTTTTATATTCTTATTCCCTCCACCCCACCCCAAAAGCACATTTCTTTAGTTCTGGCCAAGACCAGAACTAAAGTTTGCCTTGAACTTATTGAAGAGTATTCATTCCAGCAATCCAAACAGATGTGGTTAATTGGCCAGGGCAGCAAGCAATACCGATTCTTATCACTAGAAGTATAATCCAAAATGCTCTTAACTCAACAGAGGAATTCATGTTGCTATTTCTCAGCTTCACATCTATCCCTGGCTTACTCAGACTGAAATCTGATATACATGTAGCTGGGAGTAAGGCCCATTGATCTCAATGGGGCTTAATTCTGGGCAGACATGTTTCAGATTGTGCTCTAAATTTTTTTAAAAAAAATTCTTTTTTACTTCACTCACTGAAGTTCGCCTGCTCCATGAGGAGGAAAGTGAATATTGCAAGGCATTTAAAGCATATAAACAATTCAGTGAGGAGTGTTCCACAGTTCTCCAGAGAGATAAAATCATCAGCCCTAAGTTCAGTTTTAGCCGGGCAGAAGATAATGTGTCAAGAAAAAGATCAAGTTAAATGTGTTTTAAAGGATTTGTGAGGCGCATGTCACCTTAAATGCATTCCACATCCTTTGACAATCCCTCTTTGATAGAACGTGTTTGGTCCTTGAGGCTACAGCAGTGCTCCCAATTTTGTCTGATTTCCACTAATATTATTTTGAGAATGTTGTACCTCTGCAAATGACACCCTGGGAATGTATGCTGTACAGTCCCTATTAAAATGAAACAGAAATTGACTCAACCACTCCTCCCTTTAAAGCTTGAACACACCCACATAATCCCAAAATATGTGATATCAGAGCACAAAAAAAATCATAAAAACAAATTCTATTACTTGCTTTCCTTGACTTACATTGATTGGGGAGGTAGAGCTTTTATCGAAACCCTTTCCTAACATCAGAAAGACCAGACACAAGTTGTCATCTCAATAAAATATGTTTTAATTGAAAAGTTAACCACAATTACTTTTGAGAAACTGGAATTACTTAAGGGGTTGAGCTGAGGGGGCAGTTAGTACTTGCTCTACTCTGTCTCTTGTTCATCACCAAACTGAATTCTGCACACAGCTTCTTCAGTTCCTTGACAATCTTCACCCGCCACTCCAAGGAGATTGATCAGCACTTTGGCGTACAAAGGCAGAGTACAATCACTTCCCGAGGAATTTTGTCCTTTCCCACCCAACACCTTTTATAACCACATTTTGGATTTCCATTCTATATTCTGTATATTTGCTATTTTCTCCAGCTATAACAGGTATTTTAGGCAACCTGTGTGGCTACTGTAATAGTGAAGTCACTGAACCTTTGCTAAATAAAAGGCTGCCGTATGGTTTGAAATGGTGTAATTTTAGCTAGAAACCTTTATGCAAAGCGTTTTCTTTTTCTTCCGGCTATATAAGCTGTTTGGCTGTTGACAAAAGGAAAGTCTTTTTAAACATAAATAGTGGTATGACTCTCCACAGTAAAAAAGTGCTTGTGTGTGTGTGTGTGCATAAGGAATCAGAGAACTGTAGAGTTGGAAGGGACCCCAAGGGTCATCTAGTCCAACCCCCTGCAATGCAGGAATCTCAGCTAAAGCATCCATGAGACATGGCCATCCAACCTCTGTTTGAAACCTCCAAGGAAGAAGAGTCCAGTACCTCTCATGGGAGACCGTTCCACAGCTTTTACTGTCAGGAAATCCTTCCTGATGCTTAGTCGACTGGTGCTTGTTGCAAACATGCTCAACAGGGGTTACATTTAATCTACCCCGATTTAATATATAGATTTCATTTCAGCAGAGAGATGAATGAGAACTGGTTGGTACTAAAGGTGTCACAGCGCTACTGGCTGAATAGTCTAGGAACCAGTTTTCTTTTTCTTTTAAAGGCTACAAAGGGTAAATGTATGCCTGAAAGACTAAAAGTTAAGTGTAGAAAACATCAGCTGCATGTTAGTCCTCATTGCTCAATAATGCAGGCACGCACGCACAAAATTCAACCACAGATGTGCTGTTCCTTCTCACAGATCAATAATGTGGTCATGGTGATGGATAAGCTCAGCCTTCGGAATTAAAGTGAAGTGTCTAGACAGGAAGGCTGTTTCAAGGCCCACATAATCTCAGAGGCCATGCAGAAAGGGATCCATAATCTAAACTAGTGCTGCGCTGAAATCCAATTACTCAAAAGTTTTATGCTCCTGGAAAAGAGGCTTCCATTTTCCACCCACATTATCAGGGCACTATAGACTTTCTTTGAAATGTCTCTGGAAGTTCAGTAGGTATAGAGTTCTCAGTTTAACTTATTTCTGTGAGGTGGTGGTGTGCGTGTCTTCCTTCCTGGTAAACATTTTGCAAGCACTTTGCAGCCTCCCTGGCTGTCTCAGCTTCCTAATATCAAAGAAGCCCAAATGGGAAGTTTATGACACAACATTTTCCCCTTAATAAAAGTGTAGACATTCAGGGAAGTTGCAGAGGTCTGTTACTAGAACTCATTTCATTTATTACCCATCCTTCACCCTAACATCACAAGGTAGGTCATGACAATTTAAAATACAACATTAAAAGCACATTACAATCACAAAAGTAGGGTGGATCCATATATCTCAGGTATCAATGGCCCTGGTGTCAATGGCCCAGTTCACCAAAAACTGGATAGTAGAGGTGACAGGTACACCTTTGTGAGGAGGGAATTCCACGACTTAGGGACTTCTACAGAGAATGCCCTCTCATGTGCCATCACCAACCTGAGCTTCTGAAGACAGTGAAACTACGTGATTATTGCAAGATTGAAAAGGTCTCACAAACATCCCCAGCCACCAAAATAGCGAGTTGACCATGGAAAACCGCCGCACCCCACCCATGATAATTTCACTGATTTTTTCTTTCCCCTTTGATAATTTTTAATGCAATTTAAATGGGTGAAATCTTCTGAACTGAAGACATAATGCTGTAACAAGTCAGGAGTCACATGAATGTGATGTTTCAGAGCTGTTTTAATTCCAGATCAGCCTCCTGTCCATAGTGGCTGGCATGCCTCATAATATAAGCTCTCTTCAGAAGAAGCCTAAAGAATTTAGTAAATGTGGGAACACCTACAGACCCTGCCCACAACATCAATGTGTCCCACTGACTCTTCATGTGTTCAGAGTAATGTCTGAAGCGGGCATAGCATATGTCTACATTATGCATGTCAATACTCCGTGTGCCCGGGCCCATAGGCACACCCTTCAGACCGTTGCCAAATGCATAAAGCCAAGGTGTATGCAGAGCTGGTGGATACAGAGATGAGATGCAGGCTCCATCCCATCTTCTGAAGAGGCCCTTTCCAAGCCAAGCCAAATTCAACCAGGCTTCCCACCCACATGACTACCTTCCTCACTACTCATCTTCAGTCCTCATCCTCCTTTGTTTTTAAACTCACGTATCTGCCTTAGGTGGCTAGCAGTCAATCATCCTCAGAGAGATAGAAGCTGGAGTGGAGCTTGCATAGACTATTTTAAAAAGCATAAGAGAATTCCTTATAGATCAGGCCAAAGCATAGCTGTCAACTTTTCCCTTTTCTTGCGAGGAATCCTATTCGGATTAAGGGAATTTCCCTTTAAAAAAGGGAAATGTTGACAGCTATAGGTCAAAGCCCATCACTGCATTTTCATGGTGGCCAATCAAATGTCCATGGGAAGCCCTCCAGCAGAACCTAAGGGTAACAGCACTCTTACCATATTGGATTAAAATTCAAGCCATCAAATAATTGGGACTCTGAATACATGCCTTGTGCATGACAATCTCTTGAAACTCATATCCAGGCACTGGAAATACATGTTCTGGTTGCATCTCTAAAGTCAGGTAGTATAAACTATTTCAATTAGAGAACAAGTTCAAGCCTTCCTGCATCAGGATATGGAGGGCCTCGGCCAGCCTTGAGTCCCCAGATGTTGTAGGACTACAACATCATCCCTGAGCACTGGTCCTGCTTGCTAAGGATGATGAGAGTTTTAGCCCTACAACATCTGAGGTCCCGGATTTGATAAAAGGCTGGTCTAGACTATTACTCCAATTGCAGCTTTCAGATTTTTTTTAGTTCTCCCCCTGTGGGACCAAGAATTATCCAAGGCACACAATAAGAGCAAAAATGCTGCAATCCCCATAGGTTCTGAAGTCTCAGACATAACCCTAAGGGAAACATGAGCTTCCAGAGCTCTCTTGGGAGCAAGGGAAAAGTGTATAGCCATCTACCTAAAAGCCATCAAATGTTATCCTCAAAAAACTCTGAGGACTGACTTCCCTAGCCAAATGATTTCCGATACGCAATTCTGTAGGTACATTGTGGGACAGCTGAAATCTCTGCAAGGGCCTCATCAAGGATAAATCAAGATTGATGCAGGATTTAAATTGATGCAGGATCTAAATTTGCAGGATTGGGAGTTCTGTTATCACCACTTTCAATCAGACTGCATGAAAACACAGAGAAGAAACAAAATTAGTCCCTTGGGACAAATATATCCTTCTTAAGTTCTATATGTGCGACAGAAGGTGTGTCATCTCCTGTTTCCACTCCATTTGTCTTGCCAAGCTAACAATAGAGAATGTTTGTTTGTTTAAGTATTTTTTATACCACTTTTCATTTACAGAAAATACCAAAGTGGTTCACATTATAAAACACACAAAGTTCAATAAAAACAATAAATGTGAGTCTCAGCATCACAGAAACCAAAGTGAACAAGAAATGGCACCAGCAGTAAAGCTTTGGTGAACAGACGAGTTTTTAATTCATAGAGGAGATAACCCACCAATGTTATCCACAGAATCTCAAAGGGAGAGTATTCCACAATATTGTGGGTACCACAACAGAAAAGGCCGTTCTCTGGATCCCCACCCAATGGACACCTGCAAGCTGAGGAAGGACACACCTGCAGGCTTTAGTGATCTGGGCAGTCTGTAGAGGAGAAGATAGTTCCTCTATAGGACTGCATGGACTGCAAGACAAACCCATGAACCTCCATTCAAAGATTCATGATACATGACACAATATGTTTGCCATGGTTTGATAGTTTGGGGTGGAAAACGTTGCTGGCATGCTGGCCGTATAGCCTTTGATAAGTTGATCTATTGGTCTGGTTGTGAGGCAAATATTGATTTGGGATTGTTCATACCTTAAAACAGGGGATTTCAGTCTTTCAGCCATCAGGGAACCCTTTCCACTGACTCTCCTGCTGAAGAATCCTATCCTCTGTCATGGAGCCATGTGCCTTGTCTGTTATTCTGATATGTGCTCTAGAGCTCACACTTAGTTTATGAGCCTCATTGGCCAGATTTATGAGATTTCAGTATCACCCTGGGTGAGCTAAAGTGCAAACAACACTGCCTGTGCGAGGTCAAGCTGTCTCTCAGGGATGCTCAGAGCTGGACCAAGACATTTTGCTGCCTGAAGCAAATATGGCATCCCCACCCCCCAATTCCATGTACAAAAGCTCATTGCACTGGAAGTTGGATGTTACTTCAACCCTGGCAATGAGACAGTGCCCTCCACTACATCTGAGGAAAACAGGCTTGCTAAGGGGGCCCTGGGTAGGCTGGGATGGTGGGGCACCCACAGCTCTGCTCTCCAACACCTCACTACCACTCTAGTACCTTTTGCCTGTGGTTCCCTCTGTCTAACGGCAGGGCTGGTGCTGGGGATGCTGACTGTGATTGCTGTTTTGACATAGCCATAGGGATGTGACTACAGCCCTGGAAATTCTCTCAATCCCGGCACAACCCATGGTTGGTGTGGAGGGGGAAAACCATACCCACTCCTTAATAGCAACAACATGTGACCAAAAGTGCAGACAGTCAACTCCAAAGTCACTCTTAAAAACATTGGTTCAAATGTCAGCTATGCCTTTATGAAAGGTAAGTGCAGAAAGGTCCCAGCATTTTGAATATACTCCCATTTAACAAAACACGGCATCTTTCATTATGTGTAAATGTATTTGGCCTTCAGGAAAACAAAACAGCACCCCACAGAATGGACCCCCTGCTCTCAGTCAGCAGCAGGGCAGAGAAAGGAGAGCAACACCACAGCTGTATGTTTTGTTAGAGAGTAGTTATTTTAAACTCCTAATTAAACATAATCCCCTATAAGCTAGTCTAGGACTGCATCCAAGGCAGGACAGGCAGGTTGGACCAGATTCCAGGCTCCTAGGTCAAGGCCATGTTGCAGCCAGGGGGCTGTGCAAAGCTCAAATTAGGAGAGGCACAATGCCTTATATTTAAGCCCTATGAAACATATGTTGCTTAACTTTAGCCTAATCGTGCCTTGTGTGTTCTTTAAAAGTGGAGCCATACCTAAAGAGAATGTTAGAATGCCAGATGCAAATGTAACCTTCATTTTCAAAAACCCAGCAGCTGCGCTTCCACTGAATGAGCAGGTG